CACTTAATGTTGTTAAAAATCCGCCGATTCTTCTCTCGCACGAAATCGATCGCTCATACGGCAGCCATTTCGTTCGAAAGCAAATTGCATACTCCTACCGTCATGCTTAGCGCGCCTAGTGCTATAAGGGGAAAGGCCTATTGTGCTGCAGTACAATTAATGATTTTCCCAAAACAAACAAAATGGCGGAAAGGTATTTTAAACACAAATGTGAAATGAAATTTTAAACACAAATGTGAATGAAATTGCCCTAGAGGAACTAGATGAAAAGACGAACAAACGCACCAAATTTTGCATGAAAATACGAACAAAAAATACCAACAAGTGTCAACAGCCAAAGGGAAACAAGATCATCCGATCCTGACCATTTGTCATTCACGACAACACGATGCAAGACAACCACATTCCAAAAGTCCTATTTAAATAGATGTACCAGAATGTGGAATGTACTGCCAAAGAACTTGACAGGCAATACGCAATAGCACCAGCCTTAGTCAGTTAAAAATTGGACTTTTTATGTACTATAAAGTAGCATTACAAACGGTCTACGACGTGGATGATCCAAGAACATGGAAATCAATATGTTTGTCCTGTAACAAGTCCCGTAATCTGTCCTGTGAAGTATCGTGTTGTTATTAGTTTAATGTGCTTACATGTAAGGGCCGCTGTAATTGGCGTAAGCTGTAGCGTGTTCCCTGCCATTGTCCATATATGTATTTTCTGTGTTTTAATGTTTATTGGCAAAGTTAAATAAATAAATAAATAAAAGCACCACTGGCCGCAGGACTGGGCTTTGCCGAGAGAATATGATGTTGACATTGAGAAGCATCCAATTTTGTCATGCTAATAATAAACAAGTAATCATGCAATGTTGTTCGTACAATTAGGGATTAATACTCATAATAGTTGGAAATTTGCCAAATTGGACTCGCCCCGGCGACTCGTCCAATTTTGGCAAAATTTCCAAACATAACTCGTACTATTAATCCCAAATTGTAGTCGCCATCGCATGATTACCTATACTAACAATTTGTTTTGTTATTCCTGCCCCTGGCAAATTCACCAATCCTATTTTCAAATTCAATTTCTAGCATATGGGATCAAAGGATGACTTTGTTCTTCAAGATGAGCAAGATACGAAAGAAAAACTTGGAGAAATTGAGAAGAGTGTGGAGGATAATAAAGACGAGGTCATTCAGCGTATCCTATCTTTGGTCTATGAAATTAAACCTGAGCTGCATCAAAACGTGCGCTTGTAGACATACTTATCACATATAATCACAAATTAATATCAGCAATTATTAATACAGGACTATTTAAAATATAGAAATGTTGACCTACAGTTCTCACATATATAATGCAAGCAGAAATATTGTGCTTATTAAAAAATTAGTAAATGAAATACACCTTCACATAGTAGACATAAATAGGATTTTGTATAGGTAATAGCATGGCATCGAGTGCAATTTGGACATAACATGCGCGAGTGAGTTTTTCAAAGACCTGATAGTGGCACTAGTCCGAAGGACGAGTACTATTTGAGATCTTAAAAAAACTCACGAGTGCGCATGTTTATCCAAATATCACGAGAAACCATTCTGTTACTTATTAATAATTTACATAAAACTGATAAAAGTATTCGAGACAATCAAATTTGAACTTCACCAAGTGTGGGAATTTTGAAAAAGAATATTTTTAAATTTTTCCCGCCAAACCTTAGCTTAATTTTGATTGGTTCATACAGAAAATTGCACGATGATTACCGATTTTTGCACTGCTGTTGGGGATTATACTGCACTGAAATCAACCAATCACAGACGAATGATACTTTTATGTATGATATTAACATCCATATCACATCTCATGCTCTTAGCTTATATTGCCATGATTTCAATGCGCAATTCTCTTTTATCCTTGTAAAAAATCTGATAAGATCTGTCATTGCCTGTATAATGCTGATATAAACTTCATACCTGTACTTTTTCAGAGTTTTCTATATATATTTTAGCCTCTGTTACTCGGCATGTCCAGACATCTATTCTTAAATGCGGGTTAAATTGGTGTCTAACATGTTTACGTATTCACATGTGAAAGACCTTGTATCAATGCTGTACTTGTATCAATGCTGGTTCAACATTGAGAATGTGTTCGTCCACGGCTTTTTTTGCTTGTTTTTTATTAACTTTCCAATCATATTATATAAAAAGTACACATACAGCTCTATAACAGAACGAGAACCCAACACTAGGTCCATTTAAGTCCATCTATCTAGTATCTAACACTAAAACACGACATATTACAGACTACAAAGTGGTCCAAGAATTCTGTAAATCTGTACATGTAAGGTATAACAATACATATGATGTGCCACACTTTTCCAACAACAACAAAATTCGCTTCCATCCATATTTTTTGTAAACTGACTACTGAAGTACGTACGACCCTATGGTAGAATATTTGTGACAAGTTGGTGCTGTATTCCAGCCGTCTCTGATAATCAATACAGTAAAACCCCGCGTGAAAGAACCAGTGGGTTAAGAACCACCAGGCTGAAATTTGGGCAATTAAGCACCCAAAATACAAGAACCACTTCAGGCTGACAAATGAAACTGGTTCTTAAAAAACCTTATTAAACTTTTAGCTGAATTAGTAAGCAGGTACTAGGAAGAAAACAAAATACTGTAATCTTGCTAGCAGGAATTATATCTTTCAGCCACATCATGCATGCATTTATTTTATCAAAATAATTAAATTACAGTTCATTTACTAGTTTAATTATATACAATAAGAGGTTTACAACTCTAAACCAGGAACAATTGTTTTTGACTGGAAATAAGAACCAGTTTAGAACCACTTCACCCTGATTTCTTTCTAAGTACCTGTTATATAAGCACCACTTCAGCCTGAAGTCAAAATTCACTGGTTCTTTTATGCGGGGTTTTACTGTATTCTCGATTACAGCGTATGTGAGTGTTGGTCAATGATGTTATTGAATTTCAAGTGACATGTATTTTGGCACAGTACAATAAGCCCGATGTTAGCCTGGTCACAGCTCGCATGATTGCTGCCCTAAAATTCGTGGGTGGCATGCTTGCATGAACAGTACAGTTTAAAATGTTTTTTGTTTACATTTGCTATTTTTAGCTGTTCGTGTGACATAAAACAATTATTTTCGGGTGGGTGGCGTAATTTTGAAAATGGATGTAAAATATGCTACTTTTAAAATATGCTACGTGACTGCTTTGGAGACGAGAATACTTTGACTATATGTGGGCGTATTTGGCTGTGTGTGGCTACTTTGTCTATTCAGGTCGTGCAGTCACGTGGGAATATTACGCCGCGCTAAAAATCACGCGATTAGACATTTCCCATTATAGACTGATTTTAAATCTAGGCAAGGAGATAAAATAAATCACCACAGCTAGAAAGAGCATACTAAATTGAGTAAAATTATTATAGTTTGGTAGCGAAATGTTGTAAAATGCGGAAAATATAGCCTTGCAAATTTTGTATACTTTTGTATTGCATTCGGAAATTGCTACCATTTTCGGCTCAAATACAAAAGTATACAAAAATATTGTATATTTTCCGCATTTTATACAACATTTCGCAACCAAACTTTGTAATTTTACCCACTTTAGTATGCTCTTTCTAGCTGTGGTGATTTATTTGCATCTCCTTGCCTAGTTTTAAAATTAGTCTATAATGGGAATTGTCCATTATATGGACAACTATATAAAGAAGCAACAGAATTTTAAAAACTATAGTAGTAGCATACTAAGCATAGAATGACTATTTTTACTTCGTTTTCGAGATATTTCAGTAATAATTTGATATATGTGTGAGGGATTCTACGTCACAAATATGCATAACGAGTTTACGGAAAATGGTATATAAATATTAATAATATATAGAGAATAATTAATGGGTGCGCGGAAATACCAGATTTATTTCGAGTGTTGAACATGATATCTCACGAGTGAGCGCAGCGAACGAGTGAGATATCATTTCAACACGAGAAATAAATCTGGTATTTCCAAGCACCCATGTATTTTTCTGTTTATTATATAAAGGACTGTCTTTGAAAAGCAATAATTTGTACAGAAAAGCGATATTTGAAAAGCGATAATTTTCACATGTGAGATTATCATGAATAATCTCACATGTGAGATTATCACTTTTATAATTTTTAGACTATACTTTATATAATAAAATAATAATAATATAATAATGATTTAATAGCATTTCCATATAGTGGCTCTTCTATGCTACAAGTGAGTTTGATTATAAGATAACAAAGTATACAATACATACAACGGAGTACATAATACGACACAACAAGTATTACAATACGTAGTATGTTGTACATTACAGTATTTAACAATTGACATTACTTATACACAGTAAAATACAGTTTACGACGTGTCACTAATTCTGATATTATATTTAATATATTCTCATGTTGTTATGAAATGAAATTAATAGAGAATCCAGGTATTTGGTGTTGTAGAACAATACAAATGCACACTATATATACTTCTATATTAAAGCGATTTCGTATAAAGTGAGGCATTCACTCCCCTGGAACATTAAATTTCAATATGTTTTCAAGGGGTGACGGCCTCTCTTTAGGGCACTTGCTAAGAACATGGCGGACTGAAAAAATATTATGTTTTCATGCCACGCAATCACGAAACCCAATCCAATCCCCAACTATAACCTCCTAACCAATCATATTTCGTGACATGAAAATATAACCGAAAAAAATCCCTTAAGCCCAGGTCACACTACACAACGATAACGATACGATAACTTGTATACGCGCGCTGATTGGTCAAAAATTTATCGTTATCGTCCGACTGAAAAAAAAAACGCTCAGGTGAGCGATTTTAAAATCGTTATCGTTCAACGATAATTTTATCATTTTCGTTGTGGTGTGGACACTAACACAATTCTTTTGCCAATTATCGCGTGTTTACAATTTATCGTATCGTTATCGTCGTGTAGTGTGACCGGGCCTTAACGCTATATTAACCTGACTTCTGTATGTAAGTACTCCGTAGTATGATGATATACATTGTAGGATGATGATATACATTGTAGGTATACAGGGTGTATAAAAAAAGGTAATCGAACTTCAGCGCGCTATTATACGTGAATCACTCGGCGTATGAACATTTGGTATTCATATTCGGAAAGATCAGGCTTTTAGCTATTCAATGACATGCTTTTCATACCAAGTGGAGAAAAAATAAGCATGTACGAAGCCGATCAAAAATGTTGGTCAAAATCGCATATTTTCACCTTTGTGCCTAATCAAAACAATGCATAACAAAGAAAAAGCAATTAGTCACGAACGTGTCGTAGCTTGGCTAAGATGTATTCCTACTTAATAATAATTATGAATATGTGCGTCGTTTATTGAAGTGAAATTCATCAACTTAAATACCAACGGGGGTTCATTTTCAATTGTTTTAGACCCAACTCTCAGCGGTGAAAATATGCGATTCTGACTATCATTTTTTATCGGATTCGTATTTGCTCATTTTTTATCATTTGGCATAAAGAAGATATCATTCAACAGCTAAAAGCATGATCTTTCCGAATGTGAAAAAATCTCGTTCATACGCAGAGTAATTCAGATACAATGGCGCGCTGAAGTTCGATTACCTTTTTTTTATACACCTTACCACATGTGACCCTAAGTATTGCCGTGTGATGATATGTATTGTACAGTTCTCTGGTGTTCAAACAAGTGAGTCGAATTACGTGTTGTGGCCATGGCGCCTTCAGTTGCGGGAGCTAGATACGTGACTACTCTGACTATACGTGACTATACCAGGCCACTTTAACCAAGAGACTGCAAGCTGCTAGCCCGAGTATCAGGCAGGCCCAGAAAATATATTTCTCTTCCTGGCAGCGAAATCCAACTTCCAGCATATGTAGATTTCAGAGAACGTACGTTTGCGCACAGTGTGATGATAAACTTTAATCTTGGAACAAGACAATCTCGACTTGTAAAACGCTTTTGTAAACAATCAATAAATTATATGGCATTCCGGTATATAAGATGACAAACTCACCCAAGCCTTCCCCAGACGCTGACCTATCTATTTAACAAAACGTGACATGTAGGCTGTAGTCATGTCGTGCATGTTTAATTCTATAATTGCACCAATCTAATTATACCGTATTTGTCTCTTCAAAAAATTAGAAATGGTCGCGCACTAATAATTTCAATAGTGGGAATGGGTTGCGCCTTTTTAAGGGCTGTTCTAGAAATAAACACTGGTAATTGCAGTGTCGTCAGAAGATCATATAAGTGAACGTGCACTGATAATTTTCAATAGCGGGAAAGGGTTGCGCTTTTTTAAGTGTTGTACTAGAAATAAACACTGGTAATTGTGTCGTCAGAAGATCATATAAGTGAACGTGCACTAATAATTTTCAATAGCGGGAAAGGGTTGCGCCTTTTTAAGTGCTTTACCAGAAATAAACACTGGTAATTGTGTCGTCAGAAGATTATAAGTGAACGTGCACTAATAATTTTCAATAGCGGGAAAAGGTTACGCCTTTTTAAGTACTATAGTTGAAATAAACACTGGTAATTGTCCTAAATTTTCAATAGACCTTTGTCTCAATGACGTCAATCGTGGAAAATTTTAAACAATCAATTTTAAACAATAAATCGCAATGCAAATCGTTGCCGCGCCAATCAAACCAATTGTGCCTTTTGTACGCTGGTTTCCTGCTATGGCTTGCTGTACAGGTTAAAAACCATGGGCTTCACTGGTCCCCTTTATATAAATCACTAACCACAACGTAACAAGCCAGAATACTTCGCCTACCGCGTGGAATAACGTGAGCTGAAGAAAGTCCATCAAAAATTCCAACAAGAGTTTCACACATCTATTTACTCATCTGGTGGACAAATTTGAGAAACAGAGTTAGCTGAAAATTTTCATTTCTCAAAAATCGTGCCGAACGGAAATCTCTCATCACTGATAATAAAACTGTACCTGGTTTTGTTCCAATCACTTTGAAACTTTTTACGACCAGAAATAATATGTCGAAGGCTACCTGTCAAGTTGGAATCCCAGTAATTGATTTATCGAGTTTACAAGATCCACACAATCAGAATGATTCTACGAAGACAACAAAATCCATCGCCGAAGCATGCAGAGATTACGGTTTCTTCTATGTCAAAAATCATGGCGTGAGCGAGCTTGTACAGAACAATTTATTGAATACTTTGAAGAAATTCTTTGCCTTGCCTCTGGGCGAGAAGGAGAAAATCAAATCGCATGGTACACCGGGCATGGCCGGTTACTTCAAATTTCAAAGTGAAACAACAGCTTACTTGGTCGATGACACCCCGGACTGGCGTGAGGGATTGTATGCTTTCGGAGACGAACTCCCTGACTCCCACCCGAGCAGAGATAATTTTCCACTTGTGACACAAGGAAATCTATTGCCTGAAGAACCTAGGAATTTCAAGGAAATTCTTGATGCGTATGATGAAGAGCTGAAAGAATTGGGTTTCAAAATTATGAGTGCTCTAGCGCAAGGCATGGGTATGTATGTAGTTGCAATATACCTGTCACGTTTTAGGAAGAGTTGCTATTTTAATTTAGACTTCTGTAATTTTGCATTCTTTTGTATTTTAAACTTTAAATCCTAAACCTAACTGCCCTTACTCTAACCTTAATCCTACTGTAAGTCCTAACCTTTCCCTAATCCAAACCCTAATCCTAAAAGTCTAAAAATATATACTAACTGTTCCTAAATCGTGAATCATATATGAGTTGCAAACCTACTGTATCGTCGTAATCAACATTTTCACAAACCGCATGATGACGGGGAGTATAAAAAATGCACGCGTTTTAAAAAGACCCATTATTGAACTCTCTGTGCGCTTGTGAAAATATCAAGGACAATTAGGCTACCTTGCTACTCTTTCTTATAAAATTAATTTAATCACTGATGCATTTGGTAGAGTCATCGCGATCATATCGGGGAATATTACAAATATAACTGAAAACCCCAAAAGTCAAAAATACAGGACTAAAGGACACAAAGTACAACATTTTCTCACTGGTATCAAGCCTGAGACCAACCACAACTCATAGCAGCAGATTTAAGGTTCACTACTTACAAAGGCAGTAAAACAAGACAAGAAAACCACCAGATCCAATCACTCTATTACTACAGTTCGATTTTCATGTGTGCATTGTTTACAAGAACTTTTCAGTCGGCTTTCTATAGTTATATTTCATTCAAAATAGTTTTCTATTATTCTGACACTACAGGGTACAAGGAGGGAATGTTGCCTTCTTATAACTTACAGTCAAAATAGAAGAAACTTCTGTAGTCTCATATTGTTGTAAATTTCTGTAAATTGTTCTATTTTTCTGTAACGGTCACCGAATTATTGTACAGCGACGAAATTTAGTTTTCTTTGTTTTTATATGATAATTTGTTGAAGGATGCATTTTTCGTTAGATTCACTGCATTTTAGCACATAGTAAGAGCTGCAAAATTTGAATTTTATCACGGTATTTATCTATAAATCTGTAACCGCTACAGTAATACAGAACACATTATAGTAAACGTCAACAGACTACAGTGGGAAGGTTCTTATATTTTGACTGCAATTAGCCTTTCTCGCGAAGGTCTAAATTCGCCATTTTGCGTACTATTTTATAAATGTCAAAAATCTAAGCGATGTGAAAATAATTTTTCAAATATTTACAGTCGTGTCAATAGAAGCGTTCCGAAAAATGTTGATCAATTCATTTCCTAACTTCGAGGAATTCCTCTGAACAATTCCTCAACAATTTGATACTGAGTTCCTTAAAAAGTTCCTAGCTTCCTGTTTCATTGACCAATCAGATTTTATATTTTATTTTTGAGCAATCTGATTGGTCAATGAAAGTAGAAGTTAGGAATTTTTTAAGGAACTTATCAAATTGTTGAGGAATTGTTCAAGGAACTCCTCGAAGTTAGAAAATGAATTGATCAACATTTTTCGAAACGTTTCTATTGGCACGACTGTAATTGTAAATCGATTTATAATGAATATACTTACAACTATAGTTATAGAAAGTTTCATTTTCACTGCTTACTATCCCTGTTCTAATCGCCACCCAAAAATGGCGGCGTAAGAAAGGCTAATTCAACCTTATTCTTTGCAGGGTTAAAGGAAGATTTTTTCACTCAAAAATTTCTCCCATATTCCTCGACGACCATTGGCATGTTCCACTATCTTCCGAGCAGAAATCAACCAAACGAGATTTGCTGTGGAGAACATACAGACTATGGTATGCTGACCATTCTCATGCAAGATGATGTCGGAGGGTTGGAGGTACGAAGTGACGATGGTAAATGGATCCCAGCTCCGCCTATCCCAGGAACGTTTGTCATCAATCTTGGAGATATGCTCGAAGTGTGGACGAATGGTTCATATAAAGCCACAACTCATCAAGTCAGGAAGTCAAAAAGTGGAAGAGATCGTATTTCTGTTGCCTATTTCTTTAACCCGCGGTTAGAATGCGTCGTCAGCCCTCTTGAGATGAAGAATCCACTAATTCCATTCAAAGAAAGGGAACTGAATGGTAATATTGAATTACCAGTAGTCTTTGGAGAATTTTTAGAAGAAAAGTACCGAGGCACTTTTCCTGACCATGATTATTGAACTTCATCGTATAATTAAAAATTTCTTTGTTTACGTAAACGTGAGTGTAAGATAAGAATAGAATGAGGTATAGTTAAGATAATGATAGGACTTAGGGCTTTTTTCAGGGAATTTTGTAGGCCGTTAAACGGCTTCAAAAAGTCAATCTTGAATTGAGATAAACAAATATTCATGGAATCTATATATAACAAAAAATTGATATCACGAGCTGTTTTGCGAAATTGAGAGCAATTTCAAATCTGTTCAGTTTTTTTTATACACCGTGTATATTTTGTTGCCGAAACAAGGAATGGATAAATCCAGAAGTATAACTCTTTAAACACATTATGTTATCTTTGTCATTTATATATTATCAGTGATCTCAGTAGCCAGTTGTAAATTACCGTATATGAGCGAGATTTGCAATTGTAATATATAAGATAAATAACCGTTTAATAAAGTTTCCATTAGTATTATTATTTATTATTATATGGCTTTTCAAAATGCTCTATTCTAATTGGTTGACAAGCGCTCCGTAAAAACCCATATCCGGACCGTGGTCCGTATTTTCCGTATCTGGACCGGTGTCCCAGCTGTCGTTTATCTGGCGGGAAATTTCGCTTTGCAAGCAGAAAATTTTTTTGCTTTTTAAATTTCCAATTGTGCTTAACAGATAAAAAATTCAAACAACCAAATTGTTTTTTATTGAGCATGCATGCCTACCGTGTGAAACATGACTACCTTACCCAGTGAAACTGCATGAAGATAGCCGATTTAATTCGCGCGAAAAGCATATGCTCACAGACTCAGTTCAGCCATATAATAAACCGATTATTGATCTCGCTTGTTCGGTCTGTACTGTGAAATATCAGACCTCTGGGCTTTTTTTCATGGACCTCGCTCCTTCGTCGCTCGGCCCATACTAAAAAACCCCGGTCTGATATTTCACAGTACAGACCTCACGCTCGCTCAATATTGGGACCGGTCATTATTTATGGCGGGGGGTGGCACCGAAGAGAAATGTTTTTTGTAGCAAAAATTTTGCTGACCCAACCATTAAGAAGTAAAAAAATTGATTACCCAACCTCGAATATCAATTAAAAAATAAATACCCACCCCTGGCCAAAAAGTTACAAAAGGTACCATTCAGTTGTCACATATGTTTTTTACCACTTCTGTGACATAAGTTTGATAACGGATTGTGAAATTTTCTGCAGTCTGAAGTTTCATGTTGTCTGCACATGTAGCTACTTTCTTTGGAGATCCCATCGGAAATTGATCAAGATAATGACTCTGATTGATATATAATTTTCGCTGTTTCTTTACACATTTAGTAAATCTTAGTATAACACCAAGTTCATCAATTGCTGCTATTTTGCTAGCAAATCCATGTATAATAAACCCTGGTGTTTTGCAATCAAAAGTGATGCAACCTGGATAGTGGAATAAGTTGATTACTGTAGGCACAATTTTTGGCCACTTAATAGTCAAAGGTCATGCATAAATAAGAACAGTCTTTAATATTACCACCTTACGGAGACTTTATATTAATTGTGCTACTCTAGGATCTAGAAGACCCATAGGTCCCATACTCGACTAGCAACATAATCAAGTTAGTTATGTTAATTCATTATATATAGGATCAATGTTAAAGGCAAGGTGGGCTATGAGCTATAATCATTTATATGGCTTATAGAAGGCTAATTGCTGCGAATAAATTGAATAATGAATGTAGCACAATATTAAATAGTTGCATGATGACGTCAAAGAAACTAGTCAGACTACATTTGCAAGCTTTGCAACTCTCATCGCTTAAATTCCCCATACCTGAATACAAAATAAACAGTAAACAACGATTACCTTTTACATACCATATATAAAACGGAGTTTTCATCCTTTCTAGAAACTCACTTCCTGAACTTTTGAGCGCAAATGTAATGTATTAAAAATGTATATCATATTCACAGCGGTTAATACCATTCATATATCGCGGGCGCAATACAAAACAAAACACGAGAATTTTAAAATGTTTTGATTAGCCCGCGTGCAGGCCCAAGGGAGCAGGCTGAAGGGATGTTTTGATTTGCAAATAAACAAGACGCCTGCTCAGGCGTTCACACTGGCCTGAAAATAACGAGATACGTGCTATGGTGCAAAAGGCAGGAATACAAATCTTAAACCGCAAGCAAATTTTATGGACTTTTTTTTAAAAAGTAAAAGACCTTTTCGGGAGACGTTAATGGTGCAAGTCAATAACTAGGAGTTACTATCGCAAGGAAAGTGCTGCCTTTTTGGCGTATGAACTGAATGCAATTATGCAAAAATTTATACTTCTACACAATTCAATTTCTTGGTTATATCCCCAATGTTTCCTTCTCGTTCATCATTCACAAACTCATTCTTAAATTGTATGCACGGAATACGAGTAAATAGCCAACATGAAAATGAAGCCATTGGGTCTATTACCTATTAGCTGCCAATGCACACTACTTTAGTATTAACTCTGGCTAACGCCAAACCAATTTACACTGTAACACTTGTTAGTGGCAGAGTACTGTCAGTAAATGGGTTAACAAACACATCTGCCAATGTCTCTTATTAACCCATTAACAGGCAATGCACCCTGCTTTAGTATTCTTTAGTGACTCTTCAGAATTTGCTCAGAGTCAATGTGAGTAAAATACATCTTGTATTCAAGCGCTTTCATATACAAAGTTTCGTTTGAATACGGCACAGAGTAGGAATATTTATTTAGAATTTTTCAGAATATCGGGTTTTTACTCGCACGCACGTTTATAGCTCGATCAATGCACGTGCAAATCATGCCGACCTACAGAATCGATTTCCGGTTTTTCCTAAACAGCGCGTTGTTTTGATCATAGTTAATGTTTTGATGTGCGTTCCATGGGCCGCGCTAAAAATATAAATATTCTGTAAATACCGAAATAAAAGATGACAATCTCAAGACACAAGCTTGAAAATAACACTATAAATAGTGTTTTCGATTCTGGTTCCAATAATATCATTACGAAAAAGATATGTCCAAAGGGGCCGAAGTTATGTTCGGCAAAATGTATGGCTAGTACGTTTACATTGTTTGTTATATTATGAAATATGATACCATACTTGTATTAAAATTCGCGTCGAACTAATGTTATTGTATTAGGCAAATGAGTAGACTTGCCACAAGTCGACCTCGAACGAAATGCGTTTCTTCGAGGTCGACTTGTGGCAAGTCTAGCAAATGAGAACCATACAATAATGGTTCTAGTTCTTGTTGGTATTTTGAACGCACGCTTTATCTTTAGTATAGCTACCACAAAGCTTTTCGCGCGGATTATATTTCGCGCAGTACTAAAATTTCCGCACCCAGCGGCCATAGCCTGTGAGAATAAAAGAATTTACGGCTGTACACAGGCTAAGCGGCCAGCGCTACGCTAATTCTCTTAATTCTAGTACTGCGCGGATTTTAATACATGTATTTAAAGGTATATTGTCGACATTTGACTAAAACTATCGTAAGGAATTCGGAGAGTTTGTCCTTGTTTATATTCCAATATATTGTATAAATTCGTTGGGTACAAATTTATGAAATTTTGGGGTTTTCGAGTCGTTTAATTTAATACAAAAAGAAAAACATTAATTCAACAGGCAAGAAAGTCCAGAGTGCGATGCAAAAATTAACACAAGTACACAACGGATGTTATGAGTCCACGACGTATATTTATAGTTGTTTATTAAAAAGTCCAACTGTCAAACCTTTAACTTGTCCTTGTTTAAATATCCTTCTATATATTGTATAAATTCGCTGGGTCTAAATTTTCGAGTCGTTACACAAGGAAAAACACATTAATTCAACACGCAAGAAAGTCCAGAGTACGACACAACGTAAAATCCATAGGAAACTGGCACAATTCTTTGAAAATTCAACGAAACTGTGTAAAATATAGTTTGATCACTCTGTGAAAAGCCGCCATTGGGGTTCGGAATTGTGCGCGTGCGTACAAGTGTATGGGCTAATAAACGAAAAATGCACCACAAGCATGGCATGAGTCGGCTATTACGTACATAAATACGGACTTATTACTATACTATGTAAATCATGGAACCGAGGGGATCGATGGCATTTTGGCTTAGTCGTTGCACCCTGAGCCTGCGATGAGCTAACGCAAACTCGATTTCTCGACTACGAAAAAAACAGGAAAACACAGGAAAAAACAGAAAAAGAGGGATTTAAGACACTTGGCCTACAGGCCAGTGTAATTAAGACAATTTAGGGTTAACAGCCACCTTAGTACATAATAATGTGCAACCTGCAAATGTGTTAGATTAAATAGTGGCCTTATTTATGTATTTAATTTAACCATGCATTTAAAACCAGTGTCGGAGCAATATTTTTGCATGCTATTTTAGCGTCAGCCAACAAATTCTAGGAACTGCTGCATTATAAGCAAGATTTCAAAATCATGACAAAATGATACTGCACTAATTAATTAACACTTGTATTTCAAAAACTACAATCGGCATATATTATAAGTTAGTTCCCATGCACGCAACACGGAAAATGCGTAATATCCAGCTAACTAAAATTATTGCAGCCGCGTTTTTGAATTTTTCTCCAATAACGAACCGTTGAAGATATTTTGTAACCATTTGGTCCCCCGTTGTGGATCCTTGCATAATCTTGACAAGTTGCATTGCGCCCAAGAACTTTAAATGTTGCATAACGGTTCATGTATGCTTTATAAAAAAAAACCCAGAACAAAACATAATAAACAATTAATAAATGAGGTTGAGTATGATATCGAAAATTATCAAGGCCGAAATTTGAGTTATCCAAAGAAAGCAAAGGCTGAGGTGGATAACACAAACCAAGGCCTTGATAATTCACGATATCATACGAAAACAGAATTCAATAATTGTTTTATTATATATTCAAAAGCTAAAAAACGCAAAGCCATTTTTTGTTTACGCTTTTAAAAATATGAAATTTCCGCGCTTTTTAGCAAACAATGGACCGCGCCGGAGCTTGGTAACCACACCGTGCAATAATACTTTTTTGAGGCGGAACTTCGTCCAAAAAAGTATTATTGCAAGCTGAAAGTATTATCGCACCCTGATGGCGTCTGCTGCTGAAACAATGCGACGGCTTCAAGATACGCAACTGAACTGCCCGACGCGTTTTAACCATCACAAACGAGAATAGTCTTTGAATATATAATAATTAATAATTATTGGATAGGGTTGGCCAGTGATATCAAGAATTACCAAGGCCGGTGTTGAGGCTGGAGCCGCAGGCTGAGGGCAGATAACACAAACCAAGACCTTGATAATTCTTGTTTGTATTTTTGGCAAGTGAACATAACAAATCCTACAAGTTGATTGCTCAAACTTCAAGTATTAATTAGCAATTATTCGCCGAAGGCGAGGTGATTATCGGAAAATATTCGCCGAGACGAAGTCGAGGTGAATATTCCTCGATAATCAGCGAGCCCGATGCGAATAAATGTAGTTTAGTATTTTTGTGTTTTTGGGACTGAATTTATTTTAATTTCGCTTGATTCTTTATCAGTGTAACGTCCACAAAACGGCTAGCCGCCATTTTGAAAATTTTGGTTTTGTTATATTCACCTGTACGGCTGTAGGTGAATATAACAGCTTAGTATATTCACCTACAGGCAGGAATGCCGGAACGATGTTAAGGCAAGGGAGGCAGATTTTCGTGAATTGATATATACTAAAAGATGTTTGCAAAACATCCGGAGTTGAACTTTTCCTAATCATGTTTCGATTTATAATTGGATGGTAGGAGTGTGAGGGGGGTCTCCGCAAGGCGATTGTGCTATTCTTGAAGCTCAATGACTGCATTTCTTGCGTTTTCTGAAGCAAATTCATAAAAAAATTGCACTAACATTTCTGACAATTTGCTATTTCGCCAAGGCAATCCTTTAAATTAAAAGGGCACCTTTGCGCCCCCTTGCCCCTTCTAGTAAAGTTCAACGGGAGCGGCTGCCCCTCCCCCTCCCCAGTTCCGACGTCCCTGCCTACAGGTGAATATAACAAAACCGAAGTTTTCAAAATGGCGGCCAAGCCATTTTGTGAAAGTTACAAAGCAAAGGGAATAAAACTAAAACAATTATTCGCGTCAGGCTTGGTGATTATCGGGGAATATTCACCTCGACTTTGTTTCGGCGAATATTTAACAATTATTCGCCGAAGACGAAGTGATATATTACCGATGAATATTCACCGAGACGAAGTCGAGGTGAATATTCACCGTAATCACTGAGCCTGAGGCGAATAATTTTTTTAGTATAAATTTTTAATGAATAAAACAAAATATTCGAATATCAGTTCAATTAAATTTCAGAAATAAAACTGTTTTCGGTCTGTTCACTAATAGTGTTGCACTGTTTCTTGTACGCACATGCTTTCAAAATGGCTTCTTGTGTAACTTATAATAAAGTCATACAAAATGGCTTTATTACAAAGTTGTTTTTCTCGATTTCTGCATGGAATATAAACACAATGACGGAATGACTCTTTCACCAGACTTACCATTAAAAAAAGTCTCTGTTTAGCATTACTTTCTTTAGGAAGTGGCTTAGGAATTTGGTAAAATGAAATGTAAAACTATATCTTTCGAAATAAAGTTTTAATATAAACACTTGTTACTTTACATGTTTCGAAAACACAATACAGCGGTCAGAACACCATACAGCACAATGAAAACATAACATATCAAAAGAAATAGTATCGTACAAATTGGGAAATCTATAGCAAGGTTTTTCCCAAAAGTCGGGATGGATATTTGTTTGAAGTGAATGTTTCAGAGTTTTAAATAAGTTTTAAATTTTCCGTGAATATGTTTAACACAGTAAAATAATAAAGGAATCCTACCTTTCAAGCTAAATACAACATTTTGTGCTTCTTTCGTTTTCTGGGGACAATTTTTTAAATATTTTGTCGATTTGAAACCAAATTTGCCGAATCATTCTTTTTGAAAAGCATTATTTACTACCCAGGTGGTAAATAATGGCTCAGATTTTCTGGTCAGCTAGCCAATCAGAACGCGCGAAAGCTCATTTGATATGCAAAATTTATACTAATCCCAGATAAATCACCTCACCTTCTGTGAATAATTGTTAAATGTCACGCAAAAACCGATTTCAATAATTATAATTTTATTACGCATATAAAAGAAATAATATAACAACGAATACTATAACGACATACAGAGACAATTCTTTGTAAACCATTTTAATGACAGTAAAAGGTTAGGTCTTTCATAGAACACTCAACGGTTTTACAAAAGCATGACCTTAAATAATTGTACATAACTTCCTTTAAATAGTTGAGAAACAACGTCGTTTTTTCTCTCTCACTGAATATACGTGTTGAAAATTTTAGTACTCATTTTGTCGCTTTTTTGGTATTTGTTGCATTTTTCTTTTCCAAAGATTTTTGCAAGTCACGTTCCGTTACTGTTGCGAACCTCGCCATTGCTTTATTTTTCTTCATTTGTAGAAACTAATCGCGTTTGCTTATGTAATAAAACTTTTTGTAAAATTGACGTTATCTGTACAGGCAAAAAACTATGATCTGCAGGTGTGATTACACGATATCAAGAATTATCAGCTGCAGGCCAGCAACCAATAAAAACCGAGATGGTTTACGTAATCCGTAATACTAATATTTAGTTGTGCCAAAAAGAAAATGCTTTTGCTTTAAATAATTTTTAAATGCACAATAATTAAATTTATATTATTAATAAATAAACTGATCATTTTGAACTGCTGTGTGAGAAAAAAATACGCAAATAATAAGGCACGTTATTTGTGGGAGTTGTGAAGAAATCGCGTTTATTGTTTGGGTATTCCAAGTATCTACAATTCAGAGCATTCAGTCATGTAAATTAAAGTTGGACAAATTATAAACTTATAAGCTGGGCAAAAAAGATGGGGAAAATAAATATAATTTAAAAGAAATGTGTAAGACAATAGTCGAAAATGCAAGATCAAGTGCATGTGGGGTTTGACGATTTTCTTTGCAAATTTTTCGAATTTCCTTGACTATACAAGAGTTTTGGGCATTTTACACGGAATTTTGTATTTGATAACTTGGGATTATATTTTTGCCCCCCCCCCCACTGTAATTATTTTCTTTCACACACAGACGTTAACAGATTGCACTCTTCCCAGGCAACACCAGCCCCAAAATTGACAATCGGCGAGCTATCGAATCAAGCCCTAGTTTAATTAATACCTCGTACAGTAATCTTAGCACACGAAAACGTGTCCACACAAGCTCGCCAGCCAGTTCCTGGACGACCGGCATCAGCCCAATAATCAGATTGAATATGATAGGGGCCACAAAATTTGCCATCATCACCGCACGGAACGACAGTCACTTTACATCCTGACTCAACAAGCCAAATGCAACGAAGGCACGTGTTGGAAATTTCTTAAAAGTAAAGTAAAAAATGTGACAAATAAATGATTGTGCGTAATATTAGAAAATATGAGTATTACTAAACTAATAACGAAGCTAAGAATAAGAACTTATCGGCATGCATGTCGAGTGAATCGTAATTTAGGGCCTGATCGATATGGAGGTGAGTTACCAGTAAGGCGAGTTACTCAATTAATTAGCAAAACAAATTGCAAGCGATTTGCATAATGGATCGAATTACTCGGAATTTGTCAAAATAGAGACAAAGCTTAAAAAGAAACAGAAGTTCGTTAAAATGCTAAAAAGCATTGCAAAATATCGCAAAAATACACTGGAATATGCGCAGAGAAATTCAGTAAGGCTTACATTATTATTATTATTATTATTATTATTATTATTATTATTATTATTATTATTATTATTATTATTATTATTATTATAATTATTATTATTATTATTGTTATTATTAACTTTTTAATTAGAACACTATGTGGAGTTTGCATTAGGACTACGTACTTTCTGTTTTGCATGAGAGACAGGGAATGGAATGACCCAGAACTTTTATATTGGTAATCTTGACTTTTATCACCATATTGTAAACACTTTTAAATCTCTCTGTACCATAACAGCATCCTGGATGCCTACATATTGTAGTGAGGGCTGGTTGCCTTGTTTTTAACTATGTAAAATCATTATTTAATAATTGTTTCCATTATTATTATTATTATTATTATTATTATTATTATTATTATTATTATTATTATTATTTAAAACACGGTAGCCTTTCACAAAGAGTGATTTTCAAAGGGTCGTGTGGACAATTACATTACTAAAAAACAATTATTTAATTAATTAATTAATTAATTACTTAATGTATTTACAAGTATATATATAATGAAACAATTAGATAATTTAATAAGCAGACATATCTTATGAAGGTACTGTAAATTATTGTAAGGAATGGAAACAACTATCTATTATATTATGGAAGACTGTTAGACTAGTTGTTTCATTTAGAATATTAAGACTATCTATTGGGATGTTATTCCAAGACGTTGCTCCTCTATAGGAAAACTATACTTTAAAAAATTTGTTTTTGGTTCCTTTGGGACAATTTGAAGTTATTGCTGCGCAGATCGTAGTCGCCATTTTCTTAAGTATGAAATAATTGTGATATATAGTTTGGAAGCATACCTTTTAGCGCTTTAAATGTTATGAAAAGGTCTCGCTTTTTTAGGATTAATTCAATAGATTTCCAACCAAGGTTTTGAAATATTAGCGAGGACCTTATACTATAATCTGAATTCGTTATAATCCTAGCAGCTCGATTTTGGAGCTTGTAAAGTTCGTCTAGGTGTGCTTGATTATTATTTTGCCACGCAGTTGAACAATAGATGAAATGAGGCATCACTAAATGCATTATACACTATTTTAAGTGTGTCTAAGTCTACGAAATCTTTGGCTTTTCGTAATAGTTTAATATTACTTGAGATCTTTTTATATTGTTCTTCATTCTGTTTACTCCAGTTAATTTAAATTTATCGTAAATAGTAATACCTAGAACTTCTTTTTATAGACACGGTCAATTTGGTGTTCGTTAATTGTGATATTTGGCATGTGACTTAAGTTTTCCAATCGTTGTCGAGATCCAATAATCATGTATTTAGTTTTTTTAACATTTATTGTTAATTTATTCGCTGATAGCCATTTGTGAATATTGCTTTTAGCCATTTCGCTGATAGCCATTTGCATGGGTTGATTTAAGGCATTTGGGGAAATTCTTAATATAAATTAGGAATGATGAAGGACCAAGATTAGATCCTTGGGGTACCCCACAATGACTTGTTTGAATATTTGATCTACAATTATTTAGAATGCAGATTTGCTTTCTTTGATCCAAATACGACTGAAACCATTTAAGTGCGGTTCCACGCACTCCATAAGCTTCAAGTTGTGTTAATAGGATCTGGTGGTCAATTGTATGAAACGCCTTTTTAAGGTCTAAGAATATAACCCAATTGATTAAACCTTGATCCATTGCCTTTACCCACATTTCTGTAGATTGAAGTAGTGAGGTTTCTCTGGAATGATAACGACGAAAACCTGATTGGTTGTTAACAATTATATCTTTGTGGTCTATAGAAAGGTATTAGTTGTTTGCTGACCAGTTTTTTAAATATGTTTGCGATGCTGGCCGGAAATGACTGATATTGGTCTATAGTTTTCGCAAAGCGGTTTATCATCAGTCTTATAAATATTGGAGTTATCGTTCCAAGTTCCCACTCATCAGGAAATATTCCTGTTTCAAATAATGTGATTCGTTGAATGAACTATTTTTTCAAATTCAAACCTAAAGGGCTTACATAATTCTAAAGTTATATCATTCTAAAGTGCTTACATGCATGGCAAAGTATTAATCCCGCCAATAGGTAATATAAGATTCTGCAGGATCAATCGCCCGCTGATTCTTCCCAAAACGTGTTTCCCCGCTGTTGTGTCGTGCATATTTTATTCAAATTGCACTCGAAAACATCCTATTAACCTACACTAAAAATATGGAGGACTGTCATTGTTAATGGCGAACACTGATTGCTCAAATTTAATGATGTGATGACTGATTACGACATCATAATTACCAGAAAAACTTTTAAGGCTTTCCTATAAATCTGACATACGATACCAATCGAAACAATGTGTTGATATAATTGACCCTTTAGCCTTGTAGAGTTCTAAGCTAAGTGAGTTTATAATAGCACCAGACCAAGAGTGGCTCAGTTTCTCGTCGATAGTTGACTTCTCCCTGGGTCTGACCACCGCGAAGACAGGGAGATCTGTACACAATAGCAATCCAGTCCCAACTAATACCCCCATAGTGCATGATCTAAGCTTAAAAACCTGAATAAAGCAGGGTTTATTTTAAGAAAAATTTAAAACTGCACACATAGGGATGTTACGAGGGCAACGGGTGTTTAATGGGGGGGGGGGGTGTCGAACGATTTTTACCTGCATATAGGTGATAGAATCATGGTGTGGTTGGTTGGGAGAATTGGAGAAAGGTCAGAAAAACTTGGTTTTGGGTGCGGGAGCTAGGGGTGTTCCCCAAAACAATTTGAATCTAGAGGCTGTTAAGTTCTGGCAAAGATTTGCTTTACCAAACCACTCACAAAAACTGTTTTAAAACATGTACTGGGAATCATGGATATTCAATATATGTAACAACCTTAAATTTGCATTTGAGGCAGCAAAGAATATTAAGTTCTCCCAATCTAATCTCTTTTGGCGGAGCTTCGCTCGCCCCAATTTCACCTTCTTTTCAATTGCCACAGCACGTAAGTGTTTTGTGAGGAAAATAGGAGGGGCTGCCGGCCTTCCCCTAGAAATCGTTTATATTTTTGATGCTCAATTAATGACAGCATTTCTGGAATTTTCAGGAGCATCATATCCACAAGGGTAACGAGTAAATGACAAGACTGTTTTAATTAAGGCTATTTTTGTTAGTTTGGTGACTGCACATTTGTGATTTAAGAACTGCACAAATGGGTTTAGAACAACACATTTTGTGTAGAACTGCACGTTAAAATAAACCCTGGTATAAATCTCCTATACCTGAAGAAATTTGTCTAACTGAATATTGTCAGAAGAAACTAGACCAGTTAACCAAACATACCAAAAACATGATAATTTTTTTAATAATACAGATGTTTACATTTTTAATAATATACATAAAACTATTACTCGACTGTGATTGGTTGAATTCAGTGCAGTTAATCCAAAACAGCGGTGCAATTTTCTGTAATCACAGTGCAATTTTCTGTAATCACAGTGCAAACATCTGTAATAAACTGATCTGATTAATTGGTGGAGAAACAATGTGATGATAAAATCAACCAATCAATTTAAAGCAGTTCTGAAGCAACGGTCATAGATTGCTCCAAAACAAAACAAACATGGCGCCGTGCTACATAAAGTAAAAGTTGACTTGGGTAGGAAAATATGATTATTATTCTTTTTTAAAACGGAACAACCTTTATATTAAACAAGACTAACAAAACTTACATAGTTGAGTGGAAGTTTCAAGCTGTTAGCGTTGTAAAATGTGATATAACAAAGCTAGGATAAAACAAGCACTCGTGAATTTTGAGTATAATGTGATATATTAAAGCCAGGATAAAACAGCACGTGAGTTTTTAAAAAACCTTAATTAAATAGCGCTCGTTCTTCGGACTCGTAGCTATTTTGATGCTCTTTAAAATTAATTACCTACACTCAACCTCGTCCCCAGGGCTTTTTCCTTTGTGTCATTGGGAAGGCTGGAAAAGGCCCTGGGATCGGCTGGTCGGTTCTGGCTTTTGATTGGTAAGATGCATTTTTAAATTTATGCATAACTTTTGCTAATTTCTATATAAATTATTTCAAAATTGTGTTAATAAATGGCTGAACTCACGGAAAACAACGAGACGCCAACCAAAATTTCGGCAAGAAATCCTGTTTGTAGGCTTTGTTGCGAATCTAAAGAAGGCCGGCATGTAATCAAAATATTTAGTAAAACTGGTTTAAGTCAAGAACTTTGTCAGAAAGTGGAACTTTCGTGTGGAATAAGTGTGATTGAGAACGATACGAAGTTGAAGGTATTATGTAGATCACGGCTTTACCCTCCAAAAGTTAAGTAGTGTCAACCCGGAGCGTCGAACGCAATACTTTATGTTATACAAAATATAGTGTCTTCAGCCCCTTCAGCCCCTTTAGCCCGTTGAGAACATTATTTTCCCGAGGACGTCAAAGAGTCTTCAACAGAACCCTCAAACCCGTCGGGCAAGTCGAGGCACGCCCACTGTTCCGTAACTGTCAACTTCTTATGGAAAACAGTTTCGATAAGAAAATATGACTTTACCAAAATCTGTGTCCGGCAAGCGGGCGTTGATCACCATGCAAAAAAGCGGTGATGAAAATTTCAAGTGGGCGGTGACGCGTGTGTTAAATCTCGTCGAAAGAGGATCCGGAAGGATTACAAAGATACTTCGTTCCCAGGTAGAGGAACTGAACTGGGAAAACATTAAGTTCCCAACACCGCCGGAGAACATCCGTATGTTCGTGGACGAGGTTAGGAAATTTTTTTTTTTCTCCACCTAATAAATGGTAGATAGTAACAAAAGTAGTCCGGTCTTGGATTACATATTAGAATTTAACGAACGGATGAGGGCAAATGCCCTCGAATTATTTCGCGAGGGAAAGTCGGTGAGAACGGAGGAAGAGATCAACGACCGTACGACGAATACGCGAGGAAAGAAAAGAGGAGGATTATCGGAAAAGGTATTAAATCCACATCGAAAGAATTTAACGATCGTCGTCGACAGAACGAGCGTAAACTCCGCGACGAAAAGACGTGGGAGAAAGACATCGCGAGGGAGAAGAAGAAGCGTCATAAAGAAGTGTCTCGTTGGAAAACTAAGGCCCAAAAATGGAAGAAGGAAACCAAAGACTTCGTCGCAACGAAAAGGCACGCGAAAAGTATGCAGAAAAGAGAAAGCGTAAGATCATGTCGGGCGAATTAGAAATTCGCGGCGAGGATTTTACACCCGTCTTGGACAAACACGCGTTCGGAATGAGGGTTAAAAAGTACACGATCACGCCGAAGGGAGAAGACGAACCGCAGTATTTTCTGGACGTGGTGGGAAGACACGTGTGCGAACTCGTGGATTCTGTGAAGAGGTATAAGAATGTAAGCGTGAGTTTATTCTGCGACATGATGAAAATCAATAAGATAACGGGAGTGGTTACGGAGGATGCCGCTCATTTTTCATCGAAAAACTATAAGATTACGGGAATAAGTTTGACGGACGGAATTTGGGATGAAATGAAAGGGAAGATTTTAGAGTCATTTTCAAAATATCAGAAAAATGGGAGCGAATGGATGTTAAAAAGATTAATCCGACTGGATATTAATATTGGAGAATACGATCCTCTTCGCGGTTCGAAATACGAGAAATTACCGAAGGGATAAAATAGGAGTAAGGGAATCATCAACATAAAGAATACGGACGATCAATGTTTCAAGTGGGCCGTGACGCGTGCGTTGAATCCGGTCGAAAGAGATCCAGGAAGAATCACGAAGATTCTTCGTCTTTAAGCCGAGAAATTAAATTGGGACGAGATTAAATTTCCGATGGCAACCAAAGACATCGTAAAATTTGAGAAAAATAATCCCGGTGTATTTATCAACCTTTTCGGATTTGACGAAAACTTAAAGATTTATCCCAATTACATATCGAGAAATCCCAATCCCATTAATCTTTTGTTGTGGAACAAACATTACGTCGTCGTGAAGGATTTGTCGAAATTACTCGGAAAACAGCTGAGTAAACATAAGTGTAAAAAATACGTATGTGATAATTGTCTGAACGCGTTCGGATCTCAAAAGTTACTGGCCGAACACGTAAAATTATGTTTAGATCACGATGCTCAGACGTGTTTTTACGCGGAACCGGGTCAGACTTTAAAATTCAGGGGTTATGAAAAAAATCCACAGCGTTCCGTTCACCGTTTACGCGGACACGGAATCTCTTTTGGAACCGTTACCTCACGACGAGAAAGATTCGCTACATTATTCGAATACGAAGAAAACCCAGAAACATTCGGCGTGTGGATTTGCGTATCTGATCAAATGTTTCGACGACGAGATTTACCCGCCGAAATACGTGAGTTATACACAACGGTACGACGGAGAAGACGTCATGAAAAAATTCTACGATCTTCTCGAATCGGACGTCAGAGACATTCAGGAAAGATTTAAGTTTTCCGTTCCCATCGTCATGTTACCGGACGACATCGAAGATTTCGCTACGTCGGAGACGTGTTACGCGTGCTACGGTCCGTTTACGAAGGATAACAAAAAGGTGAGAGATCACTGTCATTGCACGGGCGAATACCGCGGTGCGGCGTGTAACCGTTGTAATTTAAGAATGAAAAATCCAAAATTCATTCCGGTATTTTTCCATTTTTTGGCGGGTTACGATCACGTCGTGAAATGTTTCGTGGCGAGCGAAAGCGACGTCGACTGTATTGCGCAGAGGGCTGAAAAATACATCTCGTTCACGAAGGATGTGGTGGTCGGGACGTTCGTGAACAAGAAGGGAGAGTTTTTTTTTTCTGTGTTGGTGTAGTGTGCTCAGGTGAATATGATATTTGTGGTGTTACTCTGAGTGTATATCCACACCGGACGAGCTTGAAAAATATGCCCGGCCACGGTGGGATTCGAACCTACGACCTTTGGAATACTAGCCCAATGCTCTTCCAACTGAGCTACGCGGTCAGGACGGTTCGAATAAGTGATATTCTGTTCCGAAATATCACTTACTCGAACCGTCCTGACCGCGTAGCTCAGTTGGAAGAGCATTGGGCTAGTATTCCAAAGGTCGTAGGTTCGAATCCCACCGTGGCCGGGCATATTTTTCAAGCTCGCCCGGTGTGGATATACACTCAGAGTAACACCACAAATGTAACAAGGGAGAGATTAAGAATAAGACGCGAAAATTACGGTTTGTAGATTCTTTTAAATTCATGTCGTCGTTGTTGAGAGATCTTGTAAAAGATTTGGGAAAGGATGATTTTGTGTTGACGGATAGGATGATGGGAAATTACACGGCGGATCAACGTCAGATGTTGAAACAGAAGGAAGCGTATCCGTACGAATGGATGGATGGATTTTCGAAATTTTCTGAACCGTCACTTCCGTCCAAAGAAAAATTTTTCAGCAGTCTGACCGATGAAAATATCACGGACGAAGATTACGAGCATGCACAAAAGATATGGAAGTCGTTCGGTATGAAAACCATGCGCGACTATCACGATCTGTATTTGAAAACAGACGTGTTGTTGCTGGCGGACGTCATGGAAAGATTTCGCGGTATATGTATGGAAATTACGAACTCGATCCGTCGTGGTACTATTCGGCTCCCGGATTGGCATGGGACGCGTGTCTGAAAATGACACGGATAAAATTAGATTTAATTTCCGATCCGACCATGTTTAATTTTATCGAAAAGGGGAAGCGCGGTGGAATATCGATGATCAGTAAAAGATATGCCGTCGCGAATAATAAGTATACGAAAGATTACGACCCCGCGAAAGGAAGTGTATTTTTACCGTATTTGGACGCGAATAATTTATACGGATGCGCCATGTGTCGACGGCTTCCTTACGCAAATTTTGAATGGATGAATGTGGATGCGTTAAAAAAATGGAATAAACTTCCTCGCGAAAAAGGATGTTTTGTCGAAGTGGATTTAAAATATCCTGAAGAATTACATGATTTACACAGCGAATATCCGCTCGCACCCGAAAGGGTGATTATTAGTGGGAACAAAGTAGAAAAACTTACGCCGAATTGGAACGATAAGAAAAACTATATCGTTCATCACGAAGCGTTGAAAAAGTACGTGGAATTAGAATTGATCGTGACGAAAGTTCATCGCGGCGTGATGTTTTCGGAAAAGCGGTGGATGGCGGATTACATCGAACTGAATACCGATCTGCGTAAAAAAGCAAGGTCCGATTTCGAAAGTAATTTTTTCAAAAAGATGAATAACAGCGTGTTCGGAAAGACGATGGAGAATGTTCGTAACCTTGTCAACGTGAAGCTCGTTAACTCCTTGTCGACAAGTAGTTTCGCATTACATTACAATTCAATTTTTCAAATGTAAATATCTCGGCGAGTAGTTACCCCCCTTTAAAACAAAACCCACCATTGTAATCCTCACAAAATAACCTTTCGAACGGGGGGTCAAGTGTTGTCGAACATTATACAAACCGAAACAATCATATAGTTATACTCACCGCTTCGCCAAACATTCAAACGATAAAAAGAGAAAAAGTTGAATATCTTCTAAACTTTTCGTCATTTTCGGAAAGGCTATGTGTGCAAAATACTCTTTGTATTCAAGCGCTTTAGTGTAGAAAGTTTCGTATGAATACGACGAGTAGAAATATTTATTTTAAATTTTTAAAGTATCGGGTTTTACTCGCACGCACTTGTATTACGTAATAGTTGGCCAATAAGGAGCTCCCTTTAGCCGGGATGACGTCAAACTCACGCGTATGGGTGCACTTTGACCTGTAGAATCCATTTCTGGCATTTCCAGAGTCACGCGATACAAGCGTGGCATTTTTTTGACGAGTTTTCCTCGTATTTCCGGTTGGGATTATCGCAAATTCGGACCCAAAATGTAAAATTCGGCACTAAAAGTCACCCTTTAAGGATAGAAGCTTGGAAATAACGTTACACATGGCATTTTAAATGATTAATTCATCAAGAATATCGCAATGAGCATACGTTTCAAGGGGCCGAAGTTATATTCGGCGTAAGGTATGTTTATGTTTTTATAATTTGTTGGTAAAATGCGTAATTTGATCGTATTCGATCTCACTTTACTTTTAAAGCTCATAAATCGCTGTAATGTTGCCAATGACTAAAACTATTGCTACGAGTGAGGAGATCTAGTCACACTGAATCGAATGGTGGTATTTTTGTCCTCATAGCATTCAATGAACCGAAGATATTAAATCGGCAAAGCGTATTGCTTACAAGCATTGCGGTAATAGGGTCGTGTCGTTAAAGAGTAGTGGAATAAATTAGCGAAAAAAAGTTATTACAAGTCGACAGACATATATACAGAGCATTTAGCGTTGGTTCGTATGCGAAAGACGATCGTTCATCTGACGAAACCCACTTACGCCGGCGTCGCCATTTTAGATATCAGCAAGACGTTGATGTACGACTTTCATTACAATTACATCAAGAAAAAATACGGAGAAAAAGCAGAACTTCTTTTCACGGATACGGATTCACTACATTACGAAATAACGACCGACGACTTTTTCGAGGACATTTCGAAAGATGTTCGTAAGAAATTTGACACGAGTAATTTCCCGAAAACCCATCCGTCTGGAATTCCATGCGTGATCAACAGGAAGGTCATCGGGATGATGAAATCCGAGACGGGTGCGAAGCAGATCAGGGAATTTGTAGGATTACGTCCGAAGTTGCATTCCATCGTCGGGGATGACGAAAAAGAGGAAAAGAAATGTAAGGGTATCAAGAGAAGTGTTGTGAAAAAAGGATTGACGCATCGGGATTTTTTTAATATTATTATTATTATTATTATTATTATTATTATAAATTTCCAAACTTGCAGTAACAACTGAATTACTTTGGAATTACAGGGTATAAGAACATAGGTATTTAATCTATTCTATATTTACAGGTAAAAATAGGTAAGTTAGATAAAAATAACGATAATAATCTAAAGTTTACTTATTATTATAAGCACGAGACGCAGCAGGAATGAAACTGTTCGAAAAACGTTCAGTTCTACACCTAGGTACTAATAAGTTGGGATAAGACCTCAGATTATAAGTTTGAAGACTTTTAGGCGGTACTAAGGCACTCAGTTTATGAGTGGGTTCCAACATCTTCGGAAAAAGTCGCTTGCAATGGACAGTTCTACGTTCGTAAAGAGTCATCAAGTTAGCTTTAAGCAAACATTCAGCATAGATAGTTCCAGGGAAAATAATTTTTAATGCCCTTTTTTGTATTTTTTCAACTTGATCACTCGGGTAATGAGGAAGGCCATAATGCCACACCTGACAAGCATATTCGACAATTGGTCGAATATGTGTACAATAGGTTGAGATCAGAATATGAGAAGGTAAAGCATTTCTTTTAAGAAGGCGCAGACCGTACAAACGCTTCGCGGCTTTCTTGCAAATGTAGTCAATATGGCAGTTCCATTTGAGGTCGTCCGAAAGGACAACGCCCAATAGTTTGGCCTCGGAAACGACGTCGACCTCTTGACCGCGAATGGTAATAGGGGCAAACGATGGAATAAGCTTAGAAAAGCAGACACGCAATTCTTTGGTCTTTGATACGTTTAACTTCATATTATTGTCTGATGACCATTCAGAGCAGCTGATGATGTTAGCGGGTAACTGGGAAGGGGAATTGTTTGATATTATTTCCCAAAGGCCAGTATCATCGACAAATTTAACAGTTTCATCCACTACAGCCAAGTCATTTATCATGATCAAAAATAATAGCGGGCCAAGCTTCGTTCCTTGTGGGACGCCGGCGTTTAAAAACTTCCACTCAGAAAAGAACTGACCAACACGGGTTCTTTGTTGTCTGCCTGTTAGGAAGTTTGCGATCCAGTTGAGTAACACGGGATGAATTTCCATGTCTTTCAATTTTTCCAACAGAATGTTATGATCTAATCTATCAAACGCCTTGGCAAAATCAAGTAAACAAATCCGTATAGTGTTGCCTTGTTTGTCAGCTGCTTCAAACCATTTATGTAGCATGTAGATTAATGCCATACTAGTGCTTGAACCCTTCAGCGAACCAAATTGCAAGGAATCAATTTTTTTTGAGACGGAGTCAAGTAGCCATTTGTAGGGAAAGGATTCAAGAATCTTGCTGATAATTGGTGTGAGGAAGATTGGTCTGAAGTCAGAATCAACATCTTTAGGAGGCGAAGATTTTTGAACTGGTGTAATATTTGCTGCCTTCCATATTGAGGGAACAAATCCTTCACGAACTGATGAATTAAAAATAGAACACAAAGGTCGACACAACACTGAAGCGTTTTCCCGGAGAAGCCAAGAAGGAATTTCATCGGGACCAGCAGATGAATGAAGTTTAGATGATAATAGGGCCTTTTCAGTCTCCTCGACAGAAATGCAGAAATCATCTGGAATGTCATTTGTGGGAAGGGGGAGCCAGTTTAGATTGGGTAAGGAGGACCCTACAGCAACGAACTTGTCGTTGAGCAAATTTGCTAAATCGGCATCAGAGTAGGATTTACCTTGGAACATCATTGTAGATACATTCTTAGAAGACTGAAGACCGGCAATATTCTTCACCGCTGACCACCATTTACGAGAATCGGACTGTTGAACGCCCGCGATACTTTTATTGTAATAATTTAGTCGTGCTTTTTTGCAAAGTGCATATTCCATCGTCGGGGATGACGAAAAAGAGGAAAAGAAATGTAAGGGTATCAAGAGAAGTGTTGTGAAAAAAGGATTGACGCATCGGGATTATAGGGATTGTCTGTTCGGGAAATTGGAAGACGAGGTGAAAGGTAGCGTGAAAGATAAACGCGTTGGGATGACGACCCTTCGCAGTCACAACCATACCGTTTATACCGAACGGCAGGTGAAAGTCGCGTTGTCCCCGGACGATGATAAGAGATATATTTTAGACGATAAGATTCGTACGTTGGCATTAGGTCATAAAGACATTCCGGACGTGGCGAGAAGACTTCGAGAAATTCGTGTGGATTATAGCGGTACGACCGAATTTCCACAGGAGGAACCGAAGGAACCGAAGAAGACATTTAAGGTGATGAAGATGCCGCTGACGGATATCGTTACGAGAAGAGTAAATAATCCTTCGCTTTGCACCATCTCGTGAGTAAGTTTCCAGTCTTGCGAGTAAGTCTTGAATTTACTGGCGAGTAAATTTAAGTAAAATTTGAGTCCATCCTGCGTAATTTCACAAGTAAGACTTGACAGCAACCCCAGGAAAATTAAAGTATTCCCTACAAAACCTTATAAGTATAACTTGACAGCAACTTCAGTAAATTTTAAATATGTTCTGTGAAACTTGGCAAGTAAGACTCGAGTAAATTCCAAGTACGTCCCGCAGGTCCTTACAAGTAAATTTTAAGTAAAATTAAGTAAATTTTAAATAAATTCAAGTAAATCCACCCGTATAATAAAATGTCACATACACCAACAAATCCGGAAATCCTAGAAACAGTGACAAAACCCACACCGCCGCAAAAAGTCAAAGATCCGCGTCGAGTCGCGGCGGGAAAAAGATTGGCGGCCATCAGTCAGCAGGCGAAAGCCAACAAGAAAGCAAGGCTGGAAGCGGAAGCAAGTATCGAACGGGAAGATGATGAGGAAAAAACTTCGATGTTTTCCATGGAAAGAATATGTACGGTCTTCGGATTAGGAATAGGACTCGGATCTCTATATCTTGCGTGGCGAAGTAGTCACGAGAAGGATGAGGAGGAAGAAAGTTCCGCGAAAGACTTTTCGAAAGATGAAGTATCCGTGGAAAAAAGTCCCGAGAGAGTACCCTTTGACGACTTGTTTGATTGAGTATTTTTTTACGACAGCTAGGAATTGTGGGAGTACTAACTATCTTATGGAAAACTTCATACGATAATAAAAATGAGTATTCAGATTTACGGCAACTCTGCACTAAAAGGAAACAAGAAGATTTCCGTTGTCGAGTCTGACGACGGAACAATCTATTTTGCGGCGAAACAAGTCGCACTTGGATACACCGACCCGAACGGTGCGTTACCAGAAAAACAAGGGAAAGAATGAGGACAGCGCTCAGAAATATAAAGGGGTGGTGTATCACACCACCCCTTTGCGTACCCGGCGGCATGCAACCTAACAAAATATTTAGTACCGAACCTGGTATGTACAGACTCATTATGAGATGCAACTTACTGGCTGCTGAAGAATTTCAGGATTGGATATCTGAAGACGTTCTTCCCTTCATTCGGAAAACGGGGAAATATATGCTACCGGGAGTGATGCCAGCCATCGATAATGTGAAGGACGAGGGGTTACGTCAGCTTGCCGTCCCTGAACGGTCGGAGGCGCGGGATAAACTGGTTCGCAAGGGAAACCTTGTCAAGAATAAACGGAAAGTTGCAGCGGGAAAAAGGGAGGATTAGCCGTCCAGGAAAAAATCAGACAGACCGAAGAGGAATTGGAGAAAAAAGAATTTCAGGTTTGCGATCAGGAAAAGGAAATTATTGAACTTAAGGAAAAGGTATTGTACCTGTTGGCTGAAATAGAAGTACTCGAAGAAGATAATGACAAACTTACGGAAGAATTGGAAAAAATGAAATCTGAAGATAAGACACAACTCGTCTGATTAGGAAAAAAGGGCCGTGAAACACGGCCCTTTTCCCAAAGAATAAAAATTTTCTTTTTATTTCTCGTAGAAATAAAATACAATGTCTGATACAACGAAAAAAGAAGTCATCAACGACTTTTACGACCACGCAGCCTTACTGACAACCGGAGTCGTTGGAGTCTCTTACGTTGCGAAAACCGTCGTCGGGAAAAGTTTGGGAGCACCGATGACGTTCGAAAGTGCGATGAAATTAAGTCTCGCCGTCGCGGGAAGTTCATTTGCCGTCGCGTATCTGAAGGACAAAGGATACGTTCCCAAAGTTATCGGTAACTAAGAATAAAATATGACGACAAACTTAGTAGCGGGTGGATTATTCAATGCCATCGCGTTTGCGGGGGCGGGATTCTTATTTTCGCATCTGAATCAGAACGGATACAGGAAGAAATCAAAAGACATAATCACGCGTTGGAAGAATTAGCCGAGGCCAAAGAAAAATTCTACGAATCCGAAGTGAAAAGACGGAATCAAGAATTACGTCGACGTCAAGAAATTTTAGACGCGAATCACGATATCGAAGAGACGAACAAGGCGTTGGACGAACTAAAAAATTATACGCGAAAAATGGATTTATCGGCCCCGAATCGTAAACCGAAATTAAGTGATTATTATCAACCGTCGGACGACATGCAAAAATATATGTACGTTACCGTAAATGTCGTCGGTCTCGGTGGCGGATACGTCCTCACGCGTGTATTTTGAATATTTTTTAAATCCTGAATTTAAAAAATTTTTCTACGTTGTGATAAGCAGACATTTTAAGACCGTTGCTTCGTTCCGGTTAGATACATTTCCCGTCGAACTTATATTTTTAAATTCAAGACTGAAAATAGATATTCTTCCACGAGCGTACGTGAACGAAAAAGATGTACGAACGATAACACTTCTTGATGTCATCGAGAATAGAACGATGTTTCCACTATTTCCTTCGTAAAATCCGTAGGGTGAAGATTGGGATTCAAAATTTATTTCGAATCCACCGACTTTGAAAATAATAAATTTTGTTTTTTTCTGATTGGCAGTGGAAATAGTTCCGGTTCCAAAAAATCCAGGTGGATATCCAGGTAGTTGTGTAAGGTCGTACTGGACGGGTGGATTTCTTCCGAGTTCGTTGAGTTCGATAATTCCGTTCACATTTTTCACGATCTCGGCCGTATTCCCTTGCTGTGCTTTTTCAAGACTTGTCACTTTTTCTTCGAGATCATTGTTCTCGAAGTAGTCGTATCCCATCCGTATACTCACTTTATTACCTGAATATAAAATAAGCAACTCCCGTTGAAACAGCTGTTAAAATTCCCAAACTTAAAGTTTGTGAATTCGGAACGGTTGGATCTTTCACAGGATGTAAGGTTTCAGTCCCTTTTTTATATGGATTTATCGTAGGAGATACAGGGCTTATAGGTTTTACGGGACTCTTAGGTTTTATGGGATCTATCAAAGGAGTAGGTGTTTCAACGATCCCTTCAAAATTCACTTTTTCATTCTTTCCAAAACTCATTCCATTTTTGACCAACGTTAAAATATTATTGTATCCCGCCAAAGGTCTTTGTAAAATTTTCATATCGGACGGTATTAAAATTAATCCGGGCATGATGGCAAAATTTAAGACGACGTTTGTATCTGCGATCGCCGTTCGCATGTTTCGAATGATTGTTGTCACGTCACTTTGAACAATACTGTCTCCCAAAACTTTTCGAAAGACGTCTTGCGTCTGTAAACTTTTAGCACCCGGGCCCGTAATACTCCACCGGGTTTTCGCTTGCGATCCAAGCACGGCGTAGGTATAAACTTCGAGAGACTGTTGAAAGAGGCGTTGCCCTAATTTCATGAGTTCACGCGATGTTTTCGGAATGAAAATTTTATAGTCGTTCGCTACATCCTTTGGAAATCTTCCCGTTAAATATTCGTACTCGATGTACGTTCCGCCGTAAGGAGTTCGTACGTAATGTTGACGCCGGATTTTACGACGGACGTCTACAGGTAATCCACAATACCACGTTCCCACATTCGCATGCGAAGATAATGTTCGTCTTTCCCATGTTTCGCGAACGGGTGTATGTTTTCGGATGGTGACAAGATCATCCTCCGTCAGATAATGATCCAGTAATTTTGGATTTTTCATGAATTTTTCCATTTGATAATGAACGTGAAATTTTACGGTTGACGTGACCAGTTGTGAATGGGAAATGGAATTATTCAGGTGATCTTCGGAAATTCCGGATTTGAACGTGGAGACATAACAGGCTGCCAGCGAACGAAAATAAGAATTTTTATGGTAATCCAACGGAATGGCGTCGACGAATTTTCCCGTCTCCGTATATTGCGGTGTCGTGTATTCGAGATTGACGGGAAAATATTCTGTTTCCGACACGTAAATTTTAAATGTATGTAGATCCATGGAAAATTCTGGATTCGGACGAAACATAGCGTACGACGCAACGTTACGCCATCCGTTCGTCCAATATAAATATTTCGTCCAATCCGGATTCGTACGAAATGTATCGGTGGTTACATCATAACTCGTGAGATCGTCGACCTTGTAAAAAATCTGTCTGGAATCTAACGTTCCATCTTTCGCGAATGTTACGACAAAGTTAAACTTGGATAATGTCGCGTTGGGATATTTTTTCAGAAAATTAGTTTTCATCTTCTGGAGATTTCCAGGGGATGTGCAGCTTTCACCTTCTCGTAATTTTTTCCGTAATAATTCCGGAATATCTGTTCTCCATCCATTTATATGACGTAAAGTTCCATTAAAACATTTCCCGGTACGATACCGTGAACGTTAGATTTCACGTCGAAATGAAGTTCGTTGTAAATCCCCGCATCGGTATAAACTTCGCTTTCGATGTCGTTGTACTTCGTCGTCGTGCCAAACAAAGGTTTTGTTCCATCGATGGGAAGCGACGTGATGATATTACTGGGACATCCACTAAAATCTATATTTTGGGATCGGTTCGTTAAATTACATCCGACCGAAACGTAACGTAATCCTTCGTGAATATCCACGGGACGATCACTTTTATGCGTCGTGGAAAAGGTAGTGTAGTGATCGTGAATCCGATCTTGATGCGACCGTCGGGAAATTTTTCGACCGTTAATCCATGACTTTCTAATTTTTTTCGTAAACCTTTGAACGTCCAATATCCCTCGTCCAACCTGACTTTTTTCCCGTCGATGGAAAAATAGTCGTTGTACCCTTTCCGGATATTTTGATAATTCCAGAACAGGGCGGCTGTTTTCACGTAGAGTTTGGACGCGTGGGTTAGGACTAACGGATTCAATAATTTTACCGTAGTTTCCCCATTCTCGATGTAGACCGTAATCTTCTTCATTGTTTTATATTTCCCCGGAAAATATAAAAAACTATGGGATTACCCTTGGATTTAGCCTTACGCGAACTTTAGTTTAACGTCAACGGCGGATACATGTCGATGGAGAAATTATACCGGGATGCATTAAAAGAAGGTGTCGAAGGCGTCACGCGAGAAAATGTAAAAGAATGGTTACAGACTCAACAGACTTACATCGTTCACAAACACATTCGAAAACATTTTAAAACTCAGAGGACCTACGTCGACGGACTTGCCCAACAGATTCAAATGGATCTTGTGGATATGTAGGCTTACAGTCATGCGAATAAGGGAAACAAGTGGATTTTAACGGCGATCGAAATTTTAAGTCGGTATGCATTTGCCGTACCCGCCTATCGAAAAAGTGCGAAAGATATGGTACCGGCCGTCGAACAAGTCCTAAAACAATTTCACGAAAGATTCGGACGATATCCGAATGTAGCCCAGTTTGACGAAGGGAAAGAATTTTACAATAACGGGGTCAAGGCATTATTAGACGACCACGATATTCATTATTTTTCGACGATGAAACTCGGCGGTAAGAAAGCAGCGATCGTTGAAAGATTTAACAGGACGTTAAAAACAAGAATGTGGAAATATTTTACGGAAAGTGGGTTTACGGAAAAGGAAAAGAAATGGATAGACGTCTTACCGAATCTCGTAAATTCCTACAATCATTCCAAACATCGAACCATCGGAATGAAACCTGCATACGTCAACGAAGAAAACAAGGACGAAGTCTGGACGAGAATTTACGGTTATCCGTTGAGTTATTTTCCAAAACCAAAATTTAAAGTGGGAGATAACGTTCATGCGATTCCAGGTTATAAGACTTTTAAAAAAGGATACACGAAAAATTTTTTCGAGGAAGCTTACGAAGTGACGGAAGTTTTTCGCGGTGATCCGAACATGTATAAACTTAGAGATCCCGACGACGATAAATATATTTTAGGACGATATTACGAACCAGAATTATCGTTAGATTTAAGTGGTAAATAAAATGGATATCGAACTGAATGACTTTGGACAACGCGATGATAATTACGAGTGGGATGATTGGGAGGAATCTAATCTGGACAATGACTTGTACGAAACAGGATTAGAAGATTTGGATAGACAAGACGACGAATTATGGATGATGGATTTTAAGGGAAACAATGAGGACGATACATCTACAAAAAGAAAAAGAGAAATTAATTCCTTGTATACGACCGGATCGTACGTAAATTTAAAATCCGAGTACATGAAAAAACTTTTCACGGAGGATTATAGAGTGAATCCGAACGACGGTCCAAATTCAAAAGATCTATTTTCACGATTAAATGTCGACGGATACTGGCTGACGTTCGATGATGTTAAAGTTGCATTTATCGATAGAAATGGAAATTATCTCTTATCGAAAAATACATCGAACGCACAGAGTCAACTGAATTTTAGGACCGCATTCGAAAAGGCGACGGAAGAACATCGAAAAACATTGAATAGTATCGTGGAAGAAGAAGTTCCGAACGGTGAGAACATCGATGCTATTTCCGAGGATGTTCGCGATGAAATACATCGTGAAAATATCGACGACAACATCGAATTTAGCGACCGAGTTTTACAACTCCATCGTGACGGAAAATTTACCGAACAAGAAGCAAGAGAACTCATTGGAATTACCGTACCCAAAGGAGAACCCGAAGAAAAAATAAAATATTTGAAAATAGAACGCGAAAGACTTCGGCAGGATTTACAGGCAGAATCCGATCCATCGAAGAAAGAAATTCTACGGGACGGATTAACGATCGTCGAACAAAATATCGACGACGCAAAATTACAGATGCGTCAAAAACCCGAATCCGAAGAAGGCGTACACCGCGTTCGCGAGAAAGTCCGCGAGGATATACGGACGAGATTTGAAAAATTTAAATCGTGGGCCAGGGAAAATTTAGGAATTTTGTCGGCCATCGCCATCTCCGTCGCGGGAATTATTACGACGGTCGTCGTCGCCGGAAAAAAGACGTTGGTTGGAACCGCGAAGGGATTGGGAGAAGTGGGAAAAGCGTTGGCGAAAGTCGCGAAAGCCGCCTTACCCGTCTTCATTCCGATCCTGACTATGTTGGCGACCATCTTTAAATGGGGTGCAAAAGGATTGGAATTTCTCGCGAAAAATTTATGGCTCGTCGCTATTATCATCGCCACTATCATCTACGAATACTTTAAGAAGAACAAAAAATAAAAAAATTTTATTTCAACATCATCCCATGAAATAAAAGGATGGAAAACCGTACAGTAGAACTTAATCCCAGTTTCAGTCGCAAAACCAGGACGGAACTGGTGGGAAATAGGACGAGACATCTAATCACGTTCAATCCCAATTCCGCCAAACCCGGAGAAGAAATCTACGTGAACATTCCGAAACTAAAACCGGATTCTGTTTTGGTTCCGGATAGTATGGCATTGGTCTTTGACTTTAAAAATACCAACGAAAAATCCTGGTTCCGAAATAATTTGGGGAAATTACTACAAAAAAGATTAGAAATCCGGTTGGCCGGGAAAAAAGTTTACGATAACAGCGGTGAAAGTTTGATGGAAGTGTACACAGATTTGTGGATGGACGAAAAACAACGTGCCGATATGATCGAAGACGGGATCGCCGCCGAAGCCGTGCGGAAGAAAATCTCGAAAGACGACGAAGACAATGCCGATGCCGATGCCACCGCGTTGTTCGGGATCTTCGGAACGAAACAACGGATAAGAATCAATAAAATTCTAGGCGATCACGGATTATACGCACCGTATCATTCCGCGAACGACTTACTGTACGTGATCACGTTACCGCAAGCCACGGAAATCATGAATGCTCAAAGTGGCGAAACCGTCGAGGGATATTCGTTGGAAAACATTGAGTTGGAATATGAATCCATCGAAAATAATAATCTCGCTCGAAAGTCCGAAAATTTGTACGGAACCGAACGGGAATTATCGTTCGAACACGTCACGTTGATGAAAAAAACCGAATGGGATAAGGGTGCGACAATCGTCAACGAAACTATCAACGTTCCACGACGAAGTATGAAAGCCGTCATGATGTTATTCACCGAGAAAACATCGACCGATAGCGAAGAATATGTATTTCCGAATATCGAAAAAGTCAAAGTGACGATCGAAGGTGTTCCGAACGTTATTTACAGTCAGGGTATGACGAAAACAAGGACGTACGAAGAAGCCAAACGGTTATTCGGATCCGATACAAATAGTCAACAATCTCTGATAAAATTTTACAAAGATAAGAAATTCGCCCTGGTCATTGACTTACGAACCGTGAACGATGCGACGACGTACGGAAACGGTGTTAAAATTCAAAATAAATTTCTTCATATTGTCAATAAACATGCGCCCTTAAAAAACGTAGAGTGTCTAAGAAACGTGTACCTTGGTTAACCCGTGAGTTAAAATATTATAAACGCCAAAAAGCATATCTTAAACGAAAGGCAACTTTATCTAACTTAGACGGCGACTGGGCAGCCTATAAATCATTGAAGAATCATTATAATAGATTGATTAAAAGTACAATGCGTCAACACTATCAAGAAAAGATACATAATAATTCAGGTGATATTAAGAAAACATGGAAAATAATCAATGAGGTGATTAACAAGTCAAAAAAAGCCAATAAAGTACTACAGCTTAAAAATGAAAATAACGAAATTATTGATCAAGCGGATATCCCAAATCAGCTTAACAAATATTTCATTGAATTAGGGGATAATTTATCTAAAGATATACCCTTATCAACGTCAACTTCCGACAGATATTTTACCAATTTTCAATGTCCAACTGACACTTTATCGCACTTTAAAGAGGTATCAGAGACTGTAATATTGAGATTGCTTTCTAACTTAACTATATCCAAGGCATCCGGTCTGGATCAAATTTCGGCTAAAGTTTTAAAAATTGCAGCACCATCTATTGCTCCGTCACTTACTTTAATTTTTAATCAATCAATCCGCACTGGGCATATTTCCATCTGACTGGAAAGTTGCGAGGGTTACACCAATTTATAAATCTGGGGAACAATTTTGCATGTCCAATTATAGACCTATATCCGTTATTTCAATTGTTGCAAGAATCATGGAAAAGCTAATACACAACCAGATCTATGAATACTTGATTAAGGAAAATCTACTAGCAAATTCCCAACACGGCTTTAGGCCGAACCATTCAACTCTAACTGCGTTGCTCGATATCACAAATAGCTGGTATCAGAATATGGACATTGGCCAACTTAATGGTGTGATATTTCTTGATTTAAAAAAAGCATTCGATACTGTTAATCACGACATCCTTCTTAGTAAGTTGGCAATCTATGGCATAAGGGGGTCGGCATTACGCTGGCTCAACTCCTATTTAACAGGTCGAATACAATATTGCCAAGTGAATGCCCATTTATCTGATCCTCTATGTGTGACAACGGGTATACCACAAGGTTCGGCTCTTGGTCCACTCTTGTTCCTAATTTACATAAATGACCTACCTAATTGTCTGGAACACACTAAAGTCAATATGTTTGCCGACGATACCCAAATTGAAACGGCAGGTTATGATGTTAATACAATTGCTGAGGAACTTAATCAAGATCTAGAAAACGTTTCAGTTTGGTTGTCGGCAAATAAACTAACTTTAAACAAAACGAAGACAGAATACATGATAATAGGTAGTAATAGAAGAGTCAATCATACTAACATAACGCCTAATATATTCATAAAAGACAGAGAAATTAATAGAGTCAAAACGACCAAATCACTCGGCTTAATGATTAACGAAACACTCTCATGGAATGCTCAAGTTGATCAAATTACAAAAAAGGTTAATTCAGGTCTCAGTATCCTTAAAAGATTGAGAGATATTCTAGATTACCAAACACTGATCAAAATTTATTTATCAATAATTCAACCACATTTCGACTATTGCTCACAGATTTGGGGTTGTCTGGGTAAAGTACTATCTGATAAACTCCAGAAGCTTCAAAATAGAGCATTTCGAATAATAACTCGTGAAAACTATGATACATGTACAATCGATGTTTTGAACAAGGTCGGTTTTCCAAATCTCGTGACTAGAAGAAAACATCATTTAGCCGTCCTAATGTTCAAAGCCAAACATAACATGTTACCAAATTGCTTAACGGAACTTTTCATCACCTCAAATGAAATACATAATTACAATACAAGACAGAGCGAATTCAATTTTGCATTACCTAAACCTAAAACTAATTTTATGAAAAAGTCTTTCGCCTATCGAGGAGCTGAGACTTGGAATAATCTGTCTGCTGACATAAAAGCTAAAACAAGTATCTCTACATTTAAAAATAGTCTAACTGTAAGTGTGTAATTTGTGTGTAATTTAGTTATTATTATTAGATACTGTAGTATATGTGTAATTAGTATAGCTATATACGGCTTATTGGAAGATCACCCGTCTTAATTTTTGTTAATATCTTGGTGAAATAGTACCGTTTTTAATAAAGTCAACAATAAAGTCAACTGGTTAAAGTTTTGTATGCCACTAATGAAATTTCTAATCAAACGAAAGCTGCAACGTTGGCGAAGTATGGCAATGTAGTGAAGGTGGATCGGGAAATGTATCGTGATTGGCCTAATGTCGAAACTGGTGTACGACTGGCAACAATGAGTGAATTAGCTGAGGGGATTCCCTGTCGTATTTTTATTGGCCCTTATCCGATAGAAACTAGATATCGTGGGCAAGTGCCTTTATATGGCAGATGTGGCGACTATGGACATCTTGTTGCTACATGTTCGAATGAAGTAAAGTGTTTCAAGTGTGGGCAAATTGGTCATATACAACGTCAATGTTTCAAGTGTTTTCTATGTGGCCAAATTGGGCATGTCAGGGCAGGTTGTCTAGAGAATCGACGTGACGTGTCCAATGAGAGAGATGATGAAACGTCGGAAAGTAATTTGAGTAACGATATCGGTTGTTATGAAGACGGTAGCGACGTCTCCCGGTCGAGTGATGAAGATATGGACCGTGTGGAATCGACAAGTTGTAAGGATCTAGGCGGCACCAAAGATGAAGTTATGAACGGGAAATACAACGATGCCAGCCAACATCACCCAACAGAACAAGGATCTGTCCAAACAGTCGAGAACAACAAAAGGACAGCAGAAGAGGACGTTTCCATATCTGACGAGGGCGTTCAGGTTCCTGTCGACTCCACTGACCAACGTGTCAGTGATATGGGAGGCTCACCTGAAGAAAAGACAAAAAATACCGATAAAGGGAAAAAGAAGAAGAGGATATAACATAATAAACATTAAGGAACAATTGCAGAAATGAGTGTGGTATCTTTAAATGTTAATGGACTTAAAGCGTCGTCTGCTGTTTGACTTTTTAAAGTATGAAAAATTTGATATTATATTTCTTCAAGAATCGCTTATTGCAACCGTTGAAGATTGTGTAAAATGGAACAAGGAGTCGAGACTGAAAGGGTATTGGCGTCTTGGCTTGTCAAATAGTTGCGGTGTTGGTATATTACTCCGCGATCCCAACAGATTCAAACACTGTACTTTTCGTTGTGATGTTGCTGGACGTATCATTTCTTAGGATTGTACACTCAATAGTCAGAACTTGCGGTTTATTAATATATATATGCCCCTACTGATTTAACTACGCGCATAGAATTCTGGATACACATTTCGTCTCTCGTAGACGGTTAATTATTGGAGGTGATTTTAATTGCATGTTAGACTTGGACAAGGATAAATATGGCGGAAATCCAGTCTCAGGAGATACTGGTGCTTTACATCTAAAGAAACTAATACAGCGACTTGATTTTGTTGACATTTGGCGTAAACAGCACCCAACTGATCGTCAATTTACGTGGCAAACTAAACGTGGTAGCATTAAATGTCGTTTGGACAGATTTTATTTTTCTTCATCGCTTGTAAGGGATCATGACGTTGAAACAGACATAATGATATATCCATATTCGGATCATGATCTTGTTCGGATCTTGTTAACGGTTGACAAAGCTAGTAGTAATGTTGGTCCCGGTGTGTGGAAGTTAAATGTCTCATTATTAAAAGTGCAAGAAGTTCGTGAGCAAATTGCTTCATTTGGGGACAATTGGAAAGATCGGAAACGTGATTTTGATAATGTAGCTGAATGGTGGGACTCTGGCAAGCTAAGATTTAAAAGGCTGTCTCCCTAAGAACCGACCAACGAGCTTTAATGCCAAAAATGATTTCCTCTTGTATTTTGCGCGTGAACTGTGTTTGCTTTGGTAAGATTTTAGCCGGTTTTAGAATTTTCAATTTTTATTTTGTTTTCGAGTTTTAGCTCATTTTAACATGTGTGGCGGCATTAGTGAAAGTCGGCACGAAACGTCGCCCATAAATCCCGGGTAAATCGCTCGTCATATTTCGGGAAGTTTTGCATGAAATTTAACATTTTTTTCAGAAATGCCAACAAGAACTATTCTTTATTAAACATTCCATATCAACTTAGGGCTATGCCATATTATTAAGTATATTTTTTTATATTTAGCAGATGTAGTTTTTGTCACTAAATTCTTCGCCGTCTAGTACGTGATTTGAATCTAAAAATTCTCGAAAGTGGCACTTATCTGAGCTTTGGGATACATTGATTGTAAAAAAGCAATCATTGAAGTTAAATAATCCACAACAAAACTTTTATGCAAAAGAAAATTGAATGAGAACAAAACGCTGAAATACGAGCTATTTTGGGGTTGTTTGTTTACCTGTCAATGTGCGGAAATCTCTTTGATGTTTAAAACAAGACGGTTTCAGGTAGTCATTCCAGCTGGCAAACTAGCCTGTGTACAGCCGTTGACGAAACGCGCGAGAGAACGTCTGTGAGTTGGATGCATAATCCTTGTTCAGGTCACGTGGATAATTCCCAGATTTGGGGACCGGCCTCTGATTGAACAGTGCTTTATTTGAATAATTTGTGACAAATGAAGCTATTTCATTGGTTAATTGATAAGTAGCATGCGAATAAAATAACAACATAAAAATGTTAAATTCAGATATTTGCAGATCAAGAATCAAGATTTCCTTCGGGGCATAGAAAGGTTTGAAAGACTTGAAATACAATCTGAAAAATAATTGATATATAATTGCATATATTTCTCGATGAAGATCTTGAATTGTTTTGAATGCGAACAATGCTGAACGATGATCATTGCCGGCAAGTCAGGTGTACAAGCTCAGTTCTTGGCGTACATATGGCGTATGTTTGTTTACAAAGACATAGTAAATTAAATATAAACAGTACACAACTGATTATTCAAAAGGATGCATTTTAAAGTAATTAAAAGTTAACTGGCCAAGTAAGACTCATTACATCTAAAGAAAATGCTTTATCGCGAGAGGTCGGGACATATAAACAGATAGTCAATTTTATATTAAATTGTCAATTATAAATTGTCAATTTCCGTCCGATAGTTTGTTGCATTTTATATATTTGTCAGCATTGTTCGCTGAGTGTCCAAGCACTAGAATTTTATCTTGATTTTCTAAACTTTGATACAGCACAAAATTAAACTCAGCAGATTATATTTCAAGTCTTTCAAACCTTTGTATGCCCCGAATGAAATCTTGATTCTTGATCTGGAAACCTCTGAATTTAAATTTTTTGTGTTGTTATTTTAAACGCATGCTAATTATCAATTAACCAATGAAATAGCTTCATTTGTCATAAATTACTCAAATAAATCACTATCCAATCAGAGGCCTGTCCCCAAATCTGGGAACTATCCACGTGACCTAAACAAGGGTTATGCATCCAACTCACAGACGTTCTCTTGCGCGCTTCGTCGTGAGTAAAGACTGTACACATGCTATTGAACTACATGCATGTGACGATTTAGATTGTTTGATCACTAAAAATATACAAGAAAAATATTCTCAATTCTGATTGGCTAAGTGCAGTGCAATTTTTTCGAAATACAGTGCAAAGGAAGAAATGCAGTGCATATTTCTTAATTTTTTAAATTTTTTATTTTTCAAATTTATTAATTTTCTTATTTTATTAATTTCTAAATGTGACTTACGCATGCACGTGACTGCACAATATTATTAATAAGTAATAATATGGTTTCTCGTGCAATTTGAAAAAAACGTACACTCGTGAGTTTTTCAATGACTTTTCAAAAGACTATAAGACATGTATATTATTAATAAGTAATAAAATAAGATGGTTTCTCGTGCAATTTGAAAAAACGTATATAAACGTATAAGTGTGTTTGTCAATGACTTTTCAAAGACTCGTCCTTCGGACTAGCGCAAATTTTGATATGCAGGCATGCAAGCTTTGAAAAACTCACTCGTGAATGTTTTTTTTTCCGAATCGCACTGGAAACCATGTACTATCACCTTTGTTCATGCTACTTTTTTAGTATGGATTTCATTTGTGCAATAGTTTCGAATTGTGTTCTTGATTAATTAAACGTTTATATAATTATATTCATTCGTAGCATTCAGATTTTCCCAATCATTTGTATGCTTAGTTTTAGCTGCTTTTTCTTTAATAAATACCTGCCGCTTATACAAACTTTATTTCTCTTTAATAGGGCGTGTTTATCAACAAATGGTATACAGGCTTCATTCTATAAAACATGCGACCTCTCATTTAGCATCCGTTATGAGGATACATTTAATAACGTTGGAGAGTCTAAATCTTGCTGGAATGCTTCTATGTTAAAGTTCTTAAGGTCACGAAATTCAATGATTTTGCCGTGCCCTTTCAATTTGGAGAATTTACGAATTTCATACACTAAATAATGGTCACTGTATATATTGTTATCTTAGACCGGTTTATTCGTGTAGAAATTATCAATTCACGTCTGAGAGTCCCTAGTTACTCTAGTCGAATCACTAAATTTTTAAGTACATTGCATGATAGAGATTTGTAGCTGGCATCATTTGAGTCATTAATCATCAAGTCACAGTTTATATATTGCCAATTATTAGACGTTCCTTGTCTACATTGTCGCCAGATTTCAAATGCTTCCCAAATCAATCGAAGAATTGAATGGCCTATATACCAGGTGGTTACTGAGAAACGTTTTGACTATGATTGTTATCATTTCAATGATGGGTAAGGCTTCGATAATATCGCTATTTATATATCTACCTCTCATTAATAGTATTTTTTAAGTAGAATCAAACACCTCCACTAAATCTACTTTTATTTTTTCCCACGAATGCCACGCATGTGTTTCCCTCTGTCACATTTGCTTCTGCATGTCACGGCTGTTTGATAGTGTTTGTTGGTATTTGGCAAACTCTATAGTAAATAAATCAATACATATAAAAATGTAGCATTATTGGAAATAATACCGAGTGCATTTCCAACTTATGTTAGTAATATCGCGCAACGTGTCTTCTATCCAAATATGCTAAATATATTACATTCCTGAAAGGCATCCAAGCTTAACTCCTACTTTAAATTGGTTAATTTATAGCTCTGGAGATGTATGAGTAATCTCGAAATTCACAGGGCAAAAATTAGTTTGCTGTTGTCAAGACGTGCTTTGGCTTTTCATTTTACACAAAGCTATACATCTGTGAAAAAAAGTGTGTAGATCTACAATCTGATCCATGACTTGAATAATATACTATAATTATGTGACCGGGACCGCTTCCAAAAATGAGCATCATTTTTAACCGAAAAATGTGAAAACGTAAGAATGTCACGAAAAAGAAGCATAATATAATTCGGAATTTTTTCTACTTGAGTGTTAAGCCATTAGACCTTGGAATACTAAGATCAAGCGAGCTTACTTGGAACTCTTACAATGACTGATAACAGGTAAAGCAAAATCGAATGATTGGATTCATAAAGAGGAATAGTTCGAAAGGCATGCCATCCATTGTGTTAAAATATTTGCACATATATACAGTAACACTTGTTAGATCGCGTCTTGGCTATTGTACCCAGGTGATTTGCTCGATGGAGAGTACAGTACATAATGCAATGCAGAATCAAATACAACGTAGCGCAACTAAATTTATATATACAGTAAGTACACTGAGATGCAAGGAACGACATGCTCTGTTATTAAACGTTTACCAGTTAGTTACTGGCTCGAATATTTGGGCTTCTCGTTTTCTTATTCAAATGTATTAAGTAGGTAGATTTACTCAAATACACTATACCTGTAGATTTGCTATTATTTTTACGATTAATTATTTCTAAGGGAGCAGACATTATTAATGCCGGGGGGGGGGAGATATTTCTAAACTCATGGTAAATTTTTCATGGCCCCTCATTCTTTCAAAATATTTTTCATGCCCCCCCCCTTTAAATATAATAAATTTTCATAGCCCCCCTTCTTCCCCCTGGGATTAAACTTGCATTCCAAACATATATTATAGATCACAGGCGGCCCAATCTCGCAAGCGACAGTATAGACTTGTATATAATAGCAATGTACGTATATTATAGTAAAAATATGTAATAAAATATAAATTTAAAAATGAAATTGACTTGTCTATTCGATAGTGTGTATTCTCCTTTTATTCCTCTTTTGTTGGACTAATATTGTCCGAGACTTTGCACTCGATCAGTCTCGATGGTACTTGACCGTTGCGAGATTCTGCCACCTGTGGTGCAATTAATGATTTTCGATGGCTGGGGGGAGCGGGAAATCAAAACAACAAGTCCAATGTGGCGGGGAAATTTATCTTTATCTTGTATAAAAACGACCTGTACGAATTGAACTAAATTTTGGCACAAAAATGAGTTTAATTTAAAAAACATAGTATGGCAAAAAGAGCCTGTGCAGAATACCTGGAAACAGTTTTAAGAAATAATCTCGGCGAGATGCAGCAAAACGTGACTATGTAAGTCTGTAATACAATTTATAAAGATTTTCTTAATACTCTGAAGTCTGAACATATATTATTTGAGTTTGAATCATTTGTCCTAGTTTAAGTTATGTGCCTTTATGAGTTTATGATCAATTTCCCAAGTTTGTTTATGCCAAATTGCTTACAAAAGAATTAAAAACTCTTGACAAAATGAAGTTCAATTTTAAAGAAAACTATTTTGTCATCATGCCATGCACAAAATAAAAAAAAAATAATACGGGTCGTTAAATTAATTATAAATGGCTTGTGCAATTTTGGCACATTTTTCAAATACCACTTGTAGCGTTAAGCATTAATTGCACTCCTTCCTGTGTGATTACCTATAATTATATAGCATTGATATTTTATGATTATTGTACATTATTTTTGTTGCCCCCACCCCTACCTTACTTTGATATTTTGGTAGCGCCCCCTAAGCGGTTAATAAATTTTTGCCCCCCCCCCCAAATATCTTCCGCCCCTCCCCCGCCCAGCATTAATAATGACTGCTCCCTAATGTGAATATCTCAGCAAGCTGCTCCATTTACTGTTCGGAGTACTCCAGATTTTCGGAACACTAATGGAGTGGGACAGAAGACAGTCACATGACTGTTCTGAACTGTTCTGTCTACCCCGATTTTCGAGTAGGGGCAGCCAGAACAGACACATGACACTGCCTATTTCACGTGATTGGAAATGGAGACGACAGATTTTGTGTATCCAATGCACACTGCATAGAGTGTTAAGTTATTTTGAAGGGTTAACCGCTATTTTTTCGACATGTACTTATTATATGCTATTTGAACGCCAGGGCCGGGAAAAATTAACGAGTAAAAATAGGTACGCATTGCGTACATGTGGTTAGCCTATAGGATTGGCAATTGTTATAACGTCATATAGCGATTGCGTTCAATATTATGAAGGAAATATCTTGGTTGATTTTTCAACCATTGAACCATAAAATTTTTATTCTTTATTCTTTGTCGTATGAAGCCAAACACCGTATAACATAGCCATAATACAGCAACCTTTTTAAAAACGAACCAGAAAATACTAAATTAACTCGTTGTAAACGGCTAATATAAAATTTTAAAACTCTTTATCGCTCAGTCGCAAGCATCGTAGGTCGGTAAAAGCTACCAACCTTTAAGGTCCAGACACACCGGGCGCGATACGACAACGCCACGCAATTTTTTAGTTTTTGAAAGTTAATGCAACAGCCAATGAGAGCAAATCTTAAAAGACATGTAGACCAAATAACGCAAAATGTTATAACGCTTATACATGTTATAACATGTTATAACGATGTTTCAACATGGCGGCTGGTCATGTTTCGGCGAGCTCCTCAAATAATCTCAATTTTCTTGTAAAGTGTGTGGATACGAATACGATAATTCACTTAAGGATAAAGCTCATTTGATATATGAAGGAAATCGAATAAAGTGGATGCAGGACCTTGATTCACTCAAGTATTTTATCGAAAATATCGTTGGCCTTAACGGTAGGTGGAGATCACCTGGCGGTAAATCTAAGCAGTTTAACAGTACAAACGCCGATTTAAGTATAACTTGGTACCCCGGGAAACAAAATTCACTGTTATTTCACGGAAAGGACGGCATAGCACTTAAGGATTTTGTAGTAAAAGTGTTAGAAGAACCAAACATTGACAGTCCTAATTCGAATGCAAAGTTTTCGACTCAAACGGCTGATCCAGTTGCCGAACCTTGTGAAAAGCTGTGTGAAATCGTTGCAGATACTAAAGCTGCAATTGAGACAGAGTTATATGTATCTAGTCATCATACTTGTGATTGTAACCCATGTGGAAATGACATTAAAAACGTCAAGCTAGACATTGAAGATTTGCAGAAACAATTTAGTTCTATTAACAATGTTATTGTTCTACAAATGGCATTATAGAGTCAATCAGTGAAATTTTGCTTCCCGGTGATGGCGGTGGTCTTACTCATGATCGCAGAACTGAGGCTACGGTAAATGAGCTGTTTAAAATCATTGATGAGAAAAATAAAGTAATTATGGATCGTGATAATACTATTAGGGAACTTAGAACTAAATTATTAGTGGCCGAAAGTGAGAGAGACTCACTAAAACAACAAAAATACTCATTAGATACGCAAGATACGTCCCAATGTAATGACACAATAGAAAACCAACGAAGTCTGTCGTCAAAAACAATACCTATTGACGAGACTACGGGTGAGAGAGACTCACTAAAACAACAAAAATACTCATTAGATACGCAAGATACGTCCCAATGTAATGACACAATAGAAAACCAACGAAGCCTGTCGTCAAAAACAATATCTATTGATGAGACTACGGGTACAAGGCACGAGAATAACACTGATATTAGGCTGAATAATGTAAATCTCATGTCACTCGGCCTTGCAAAATATCCCAGTGCCCGCTATAACAACCCTGAAAGCCCTCGCGACCATGTCTCTTGCGTTATCAAAAAATAATCCAGAAAATTGGTTAGGAAAGCTGCCTCTCTTAGAGGGAAAGCACGAGGCATCTTGTACTCTCAAGTCTGCTAAGCAAAATATTTCACAAACATCCACCATGAAGACAACAGATGCTAGAATGACGGCGAATGCCATCAAGACCCCAATACAACCTATGTCAAAAAATACTAAGCATAAATGTCTCCCAGTAGATTGGATGGAGAGGTTGCCTCTCATAGAAGGAAAACCTAAATTGCAACCAGTTCAGTGGCCAAATAATATCAGCTGCCCGGAATCGTATAAGAATGATAATTATTTTTTAGAGCTCAATTGGAAAAAACGGACACGTTTAACACGCAGTCGCTGTCACAAGCGGGACTGGATCAATCACCTGCAGCTTTTCCATCGCACTATGAAACGATAAAAATGCCGATTCCGACAAGAATTACTCATCGACAACAACTATTTTCTAAAACCGCGAGCACCACTCCCCACATTAATACGCTTTATTCTGATAGAAGAAGGTCCCATGAGCCTACGAACTGTATCAAGGTATCTACCGATATAAAAACGAATAAACAGACTATTCCTTCCTTATTTTTAATTAATGCTTGTCACATTCTGAATAAAATGGATGAGCTCAGCTCAGTTGCGGAAATTAATGGTCCTGACCTTATTTGTATTTCTGAGACCTGGCTAGATCCCAGCATAAACAATGGAGTTATATCTATTGGACCTAACTATACTCCGTACCGAAAAGATAGAGGAACACCTGGCGGCGGTTTAATTACTGATGTTAAAACTGCAATACCTTCTATCCGCTTGTTTGACATGGAAGAGGAAGGCAAAGAGGCTCTGTGGCTTTTGTTGAAACCACAAAGACTTCTAAGGCCTTTCAGTTGCATTGTTATATTATGGTTGCAGTCTATTATCCCCCAGGTCAAGCGGCTATAAATGAGATAACTATGATTGATTATCTTATTAATGGAATCGACTTTATTCTACAAAGCTATCACTCTGCTGGAATTATAATCGCTGGAGACTTTAACAAAATGAAATTTGGAACATTATTTAATTGTTTTGATTTGAGGAAAATTGTTAAGAAACCAACTTGCCAGAACAATACTTTAGATCAGATAATGACTAATATGTCGCCACTGTTTCAAGAAGTGCAACATCTTCCTCCCTTAGGTCGATCGGATCACCAATGCCTCCTTTTGAATCCAAAACATCGGACGAGTACACCCCCAATAACTAAAACATTTCGATCGATGAAACGTTCAAACTTAATAGCTCTCGAGCCAAGACTAAGCAGAACTGTCTGGGATGCAGTATACGAAGCAGAAGACGTAGATGACAAAGTCTCAATTTTCAATGGACTTACTAGTCAAGCTCTAGACGAATGTATGCCTCTGAAATCCATACGCCTACATCCCACGGATAAACCTTGGATGACTCCGAACATTAAAGCAAAGATTAAGCTTAGACAACGGGCTTTTACTCGTGGCAACATGACCCAGTATAATCTGCTAAGTGCACAAGTAGAAGATATGATTAGGAAAGCCAAATCAAATTACTATCAAAATAAAGCTAAAACATTCCGCACATCTGACCCTGCGAAATGGTATAAAGCAATTTATAATCTGTCCGAAGTAAGTAGTCAGCATGAAGGCCTAACAGTAAACTGCATGGGTAGCGAGGCCGCTTTAGCAGAACAATTTCAAATATCCTTTACTGAACCATGGAAAGACCTTATTAGAACAAGTATTCCCCAACTAGATGAAGCTGAGTCACTTCCCAAAAACTATCTTCCCCCCTCTACCTAGTATTGGCCAGATTAAGAGCGTCCTAAATCACCTTAACCACTCGATGGTGTTCCAGCATGGTTACTTAAACGATTCTCTAGCGTTCTAGCGCCAATTGTTCATGACATCATTACGGCTAGCATTAAACAGTGTAAGTATCCAAGTCATTACAAACATGGCCTGGTCACACCTGTGCCTAAAGCATACCCACCAACTGACGTTAGTAACGATTTTAGACAAATCTCTGTTTTGCCACATATTGGGAAAATCCTAGAGAGAGTACAATTACAACTCAATCAAAATGACATCATACTACGTCCCAGTCAACATGGTTTTACTAGTGGCCGCTCTACTAAATCGGCTCTGATATCCATCACACAGCCATGGTTTAATGCTACTCACAATACCTGCCGTGACAAAGCAGGCATCCATGCCCTCTTTATCGACTTTAAAAAAGCCTTTGATCTAGTTGATCATGGGATCCTGTTGAATAAACTTGCATTGATGAATGTTAATAAAAGCTTCTGGTTGTGGGTCAAATGCTTCTTATCTGGTAGAACTCAGCAGGTCAAGATAAATAAAACACTTTCATCGATCGAGGGTTGCCCAGCTGGAGTACCGCAAGGATCTGCTCTTTCGCCGACTCTTTTTAATATCCACAATGACGACTTAGATACGAGTGCTCCTTAAGATCTTGAGGTGAGCACATATAAATATGCCGATGACTGCACACAAAGCGAATGCATCATGAAGGGAGAGTGTATCAACATGCAGAAAGTCTTAGACTCCGTTCAGAACTGGTCGAACGCTAATAGAGTGAAGTTGAACGCAAAGAAAACGAAAGATATGTGGATTTGCTTTTGGAAATCTATCCCACAGCCTCCCAAACTTTATACTGGGGATGTTATGATCGAAAGAGTTAATTCATTCAAGTTACTTGGTGTTAGCTGTCAAAGTAACATGAAATGGAATTCTCACATCAAAGAATTTACTCGTAAGGGAAACAGGAGACTGTGTCATCTAAGGCAGTGCAGGAAGGCTCACCTTCCTACTGAAGTAGGATTGGCAACTTACTGCATCAAAATTCGTCCACTGCTTGAATATGCCGCACCAGTTTGGGGTGGCCTACCTCACTATTTAGTGAACGACCTTGAGCGTATTCAAAGGAGAAGCTTACGTATTATTGGTTTACCGGTCGATACACTTCCCCCGCTTAGTGAGAGAAGAGATAAGCTAACTCTTCGAGAAATGGAGGCAATTACTCAGGACGTAAACCATCCCTGTCACCACCTTGTCCCTATCGCACAGAAGCATGACTATTCCACTAGAACTAAAGAAAGAGGTTCTAATGTAGGTCGCATTATTTCCAGAACCGAAAGACATAAATCATCGTTTATGCCTCGTGCAGTTAAACTTTTTAATAATAAACTTTAAATTGCTACTGTAATAGACGGTTCTGTAAGTTTTAGGCTGAATGTAGGTTGCATTATTCTCTGAACTGAAGGACATAATCGTCGTCTGTGCCTTTGGCAACTGAACCTTTCTAAAAATACAAATTTTTATTGTAATATAGATGGGTTTTTTATGAATTTGTAAGTTCACTGTATTTTTTTACTTAAGGTGGATTATTATTAAAGGTTTACTTCACACTTGGAAAATTTAAACTAGGATTAAAGTTATCGGTCAGTGAAAATCGAAAAATCGCGTCGCGTTGTTAAATCGCATCCGGTGTGTCTGGCCCTTTAGATGTTCATATCTTGAGTTTAGTGCATGCTATGAACTCAACAATACCACCATTTGATTGTCGGTGAAAAAATCAAATAGTTCCTTACAATAACTTTAGTCATTATCAACATTGTAGCGATTTATTGCCTCTGAAAGGCAAGCGAGATTGTATATTAACGAATTACTCAATAAAAATCTAGACTGGCCGTACCTTTCGCTGAACATATAACTTCGGCCACGCTACAGGGTAATGTGACTCGAATCGGTTTCCGACGAACGGTTTCCGACGTTTCCCGAGTGCTAGGACAGCATTGTTTCGAAAATCAGTTTGTATTTCCGGTTGAAGCTGTCACTAAAAATTTAGATATTCTGAAATACCGAAATAAAAGATGCAAATCTGTAGATACAAGCTTGAAAATAACACTGTGAATAGTGTTTTGGATTCTGATTCGAACAAGACTATTACGAAAAAGATATGTTGAAAGGGACCAAAGTTCTGTTCAGCGAAAGGTTATGCACTTATGCGGCCTTTGTTGGTAATACATTGACATTGTTTACATTGTTCGGGAAAATTGTGTGAAATCGCTATAATGTTCATGTTGACATTTTACTAAAACCGTCCATAGGAATTGTTTCACTGAATTGAACGGTGGTATTTTCATCCACATAGCATGCACTGAACCAAAGATATATGAACCTCCAAAGTAAATCGACGATATGATATGTCCATATCGATCTGCTTTAATTATGCGCAATGAATAGCGAAAGAGTATGCCAGAGCCTTTAACTACAAAATTTCATAAACCAACGACTCTTTCGTATGCCTTTAAATTAACTAGAAAATTCCATAAACCAACGGCTCTTTCGTATGCCTTTAACTACAAAATTTCATAAACCAACGGCTCTTTCGTATGCGTACGCGCGTTTAATTAACTACAATATTTCGCACATGCGCAGACTAAAAACTGTCACACTAAACTTTTTTATGGTTTTCTACCTTCATGCCTGCGCATGCGCAGCTAACCACAAAAACGTTACAAAAGCATACTTAGATATACAAATAACATCAAATCATTATACTATTTATTATGCGAATAACTAATGAATATAGTAATGCCTGGTTGCACGCATATATAATGAACTAAACACTGTTTCAGAACTCCGTGTGCACTCCATTTTATATCGTTCCAGAACAGTGTTCCAAATGTTCTAGAACAGTAAATGGAGCAGCCTGCAGGAAGTATATTTACTTCCCACGACAACACTTTTGAAATCCTCACACAATCTTTTCAACGGGGTTTGAATGCCGTCAAAAGACTACACAAAATAAAGCAATCATACCTTTACCCGCACTAGGCCAAACAATCTGTCTTTCATTTGGATATAATACTCTTTGTATTCAAGCGCTTTCATGCAGAAAGCTTCACGCAAAGCATCCCATTCGGAGTACTTTAAAGATATTGATTGTATCGTAAAACAATAAGATCATTGACCATGCATATATGTTGCCTTGGTAAAATTAAGTGTACTTATTTAATAGTATTGGTTTGCGGAGAAAACTATTTTTAATTTAAAGTACCGAACATTCGAAATGTTTATATTTCGAAATATTTCTATAACTACAAAATGTAGGAAAAATGAATGCGGTATACTTTATGCAGTATGTCGATCGAGTTTTGAGCGCTTAGAGATTTGCTCTTTGAAAGGACAACTTTAATTGAATTTTTGTATTTAAGCTTCAGTGAACCGACCAGTCTAAAAGTAATACGTATATACGCTTATTGCCTTTATTTGTTAGATTCTTTCTCACTGAGTAATGAGAGTAATGACATATGATATCGCTTGGCCTCTCAAAAAAATAATTCGCTATAATGTTTGACTATGACTAAAACTATCGCTACGAATTAGGCCATATTGTTTCACTGAATCAGTAGTATTTTTCTCTTCATAGCATGCATGCACCGAATCGAAGATATGAACCTGTAAAAGTCATATAAGCTAGACAGGTGTTATATACGTTAATAAGGGCAGGTCGAGAAAGAGTTTAATTACGTAAAAATTCAAACACATTTCATGCATATACTATAGTTTCTGACATGGAAGTTTATTATACATTGGTAAAAACAGAAGGAAACCAAGGTAATTTGATATTGTGTGCCGTAATGATCTAAAGCCATTTCAAATATATATATATATATATATATATTGTTATCATTCTCGTAATTATGCGCATAATTACATACCTGGTGTTTATAATAATCCGCAAGTGAATTTAATTTCCAACGGAGTTTATAAACTTGTCGCAAACAACATCTTTTTAATAAAAGTTTAACAATCCAATGACTTTTGACGGTTTGCTTTCAAGTCAGTTCGGAGTCTCCACTGCGCATCCAAAGGGCACGTTCTGGTCTGGATATAACTTTCAGGCGTAACATGTACAGAGACTGGAAGAATTAGAATATTGAACTGTCTGTGCCAGTGTATAAGTAGTGCCAATTATACTAAGAAGCTTTCGTTGATATAGGGATGCACCTACCTGAGAAATATAAGGAGAATTTCGACTCGTTTAGAGCGAAGGCTCTTTGACGTCTGGAGTTACTAGAGGGAGTCAGGAAAATTACACGAGCTTTTATGCTAAGAATATAAAAGCAATCTTTTATATAAAGGGAGGCCTTTTCGAAGGGCTCCCCGAAATTCCCAGATCTGAGACTCTTACAGACCCTGTGTCCAACGTCACAGGTAACAACAAAATCCGCCTAGCTAGTATGAACTTATCATCCTTTCAAGGTAGGGTACAGTCCGTATGTAAACAAAGCCTCTGTTTACATTTCGGTATTCAAAATATTGAACTTTATTCGACAACTATTGATATTTTCATGCTTCTATAGTATAGTAAATGATCAATATACAACAATCAGCTGGCTTTGCAAGAACATAAAATGAAATAAAAACCTATCTAAAGTGCTTGTATCACGGCAGGAGACTCCTAATTTCAAAGTTAGAGATGTCATTAGGACGAATTTCTATATTTTGCAAAACGACCCCGAAACATCTTCCATTTTCTCCAATGACCCTCTTACTCTCTTTTCGACTCAGCAAAAATATCTGTAAAACCCTAGTTCATAACTCTCTATTAATGAATTCGTCGTCACAGATTAGAATGCCAAAATCTCAATACCGTATTAGGCAACATTTCACGTGACCTCCTCCCATCAACTACTGCACCTCATGCTGTAGATGGGGCATGCATTATATTGGAGAAACGGGATTACCTTTGAAAACATGGTTTGGTGAGCATCGGCGTGCTTTCATTGGCAATGATGCTAACCAGCTTGTTTGCAGACATCTTAATGCTGGGAATCACAGTGTTTCAGATGTGGAACTTCGAGCCCTCTGCCCCAACGATAGCTGTAAAAGACATGTGTCCCCCTACGGCATTAACGAACGTTTTTGCTATGGTTAACTCTATCTATCTTTGCCTTTCAAAAGCAGACATTGACAGACTTTTCATTCTTACCTTATTCCATACTTGTTTCATATATTTTGTTGTATTTGCTGTAGTTTTCTGTATATTTGAATTGATCTATTCTGTAATGTGATTTACATTTTTTTTGTTTACATTGTGTTTTGACAAAGGTTGGTTTCTTTTTGTCACGTGTTCGCTTTTATGTTCTTAGTATAAAAGCTCATGTAATTTTACCGACCACCGCTAGTAACACCAGACGAAAACAGACGAAGGGCCTTCGCTCGTAACGTCCAAATTCTCCTTATATATTTTTGTAGGCAGTTGGATACATACCAACGAAAGCTTCTTAGAATATGACTATCAAGTTATTCCACATGTTCAGTCATTATTTTGAATATGCAAATCATTCTTTCAAGAACAATTCATTAGTTTCACATGGTTGATTGGCCTTAAATTAGAAAATATATTCGCTTTAATTAATGCAGTATTTTTCTTTATTTTGATTTACGGCGATTTACACTACACAAACTAGGTATAAACTGTTGTGTGCTACCTGCTTACAACTTGAGTTGTACGTGGTGTAAACACGGTTCTGTAGAATGACTAGAAATACTTATTTCTAGATCAGTGGGCGTAAATCAAGCGAACAATTCATCTACGACATGGTAGGCGAGTTGTGTGCCTGACTTACACAGTACAACCATAGTTAATAGAATAGATGGTTTGGAAACTCGTTAGAATAACAATATAATTAATTTTCTACGTTAGTCAAAGTTTATTTATAAATCTGGTCGTTCAACGTCACGTGTGCATTGTATTTTTGTCAAATCCACCAATAGCAATTTCAAATTTACCCTATTGTTCGAGTCACGTATAGGTAACTTTCTTAAGACATTGCTATTGATTAATTGGGTAAAAATGCAATACACACCTGACGGTGAACGACCAGATTTGGGAATAAACGTTCTCAAACATCATTAGATATTCAAAGCATTTCGGGCAATGACATGGTGTAATTTACATCACGTGTAAACTCTGAATGACCTACCAAGCCTTTGTGCGTGCGGAGATCGCTTCGACATCGATCGTACCCTCACATGTAAAAGGGGGGTTTCGTGGCGCAAAGGCATGACGGAGTTCGCGACTTGCTCATCGGCCATCATAATTCCTGAGGAGAGATTGGACGTAAAGGCGAACTGTTTTTGGTTACGTGGAGCTACGACATTTTTTGACGTAAGAGTGACGCACGTAAACTCAAAATGTAACCAAGGCCGGCCAACTCAGATGATTTTCAAGGAATATCTGAACGAAAAGAAGAGGAAATACCAACAGAGAGTGTCAGGTGTTGAAATGGGCTCTTTTAAACCCCTTGTTTTCGGGACTAATGGTGGGATGGGGATTGAATGCCAAATGTTTCTTAAACAGCTGGCGCAGAAACTGGCAGAAAAAGATAATGAACGATATGCAGTTGTCATAGCGTGGTTGAGAACCAGAATTTCTTTCGAAATTCTAAGACCAGTAAATGTGAGTGTCAGGGGGTCTAGATCACCTTTCTATAGAAAAGAACTTGAAGTTGTGGACGATTTTGGACTGAACCGACCAAGGCCGGTGGAGTTTTTTATTTTTTTTTTCAAATTTTAGATGAGGTATATAGACGTATCAGTTCCTCTCATTTAAACGTTGTATTATAGAAATATTTTGAATACAACCTCGTTTCCAGGCTCTTTCCTCATTTGGAGGAAAAACCTGGTCGGAACTGGTCACGTGACCCATAAAAAATTGATAGCCTAAGAGGGGGATGGAAAAGTCTCATATTACATGTTTCCACTTCCGCACTTCACACTTCGATTGCCAAGGAGTGGCCGTTTGTACAATCGTCTTTGAGAATCATATATACTTCAAAATACTTGCTAAATTGATTTCTGTTTACCGTTTTAAATTATACAAACATGCTAAAATGCAGATTGTTATAGCAATAGATAAGTCAGGAAATCAAGCAACGAAAACGTATGACCGTATCCTATGAAATATTTGCCCTTTTATTCTCTCGAGTCTCGGGGTTCGGCAACCTCGTTGAGTGTTCGGGCGCAGTTTCATTTCACGCGTACGTTTCTGTTCTGGCTCTGGTTCAGATATTTATAATATTCTTATAATATGCCAACACCATCTCCGAATTGAATTCGTGATTATCACGAAATGTTAAATCGCTTTGAATTCGTTATAATCATGAATCTCATGCATGCGTAGATGGAATCAAAGTTAAATAGATGTGCGCATTTGTACGCAATGCGCATGGATTACAGTATTCATCAAAATGGCGGAAAGCAGTGTGGGAAATGCTGGTATGTATGAATAACTCATATTTTAATATATTTGGTATGTATAAATAATTCATATTTTAACATATTTTTAAATTTTAATCTAACAAAGTCTGTCTGATGGAACAGCTAAAAATGCAGATATTTTATTTCAAAGAACAAACCAGCAGTAGCGAGTCTCGCGCATTGCGATGCGGCAATTGTCGTAAACATCGGACTATAAAATTGTATTAATTAATTAATACTTATTTATATAAATACAGAGAGTAAAATCATACATAAAATTTATCCAATTGAATTACTATAAATCCAAATTATTAATCCAAAATGTATGTGTGAATCAATGTATCTAATAGCACTAAGGGACGGACCATTATTTTTTTGGAGGGGGAATAAAAAATTCTTTAAAAAATTGTTTGCAAAAGCAAAAAAGTGCAAATAAATTGTTTGCACACATAGAAAAGAGGAAAAAAATAGTTTGCAAGCTAATGAGATTATGCAACATCAACCAAGGTTAATGACAATGAACAGAGTGCTCACCAACATACCCAGGGTCTTCACTCCAAAGCCCTGGGATGGGACACGCTGGGCACATGTTGCAATCTACATATGGGTTAAATATTAATCTATTTAATACAGTCATTTCTTGGGGGGGGGGGTTCTATTTTTTGGTATTTTTTGTATAAAATAGGTAATTGGACAAGTACTGGTGTAAGACATTGTGTAGCGTAAATAATGAGAGGACCAGTATCAGGGCCTCTTTAACATACAAGCGGTGGGGGGATGTCTGCCTTATGCCCCCTCACGAAATCACATTTTCCTTTTCATTTCCCTTTTTCCTAAATTTACACAAACAAACCAGCGAAAAATAACAAATTGATAAACAAAAAGTAAGTTTTAGGCTTTATCCTTTCTCCTTGTTTAACAAAATCGATTTAAATTGTTACGTTTTTCTACCTGGCACTAAGTAATGATGATAAATTATTGTTAATAATTTTTTATTTTTTGTGCGTTTTTTCCTTCTTTTATTTCAAATACAAGTATACTTAGCATAAATTTTAGAGCAAATTTAAATGCTCAGAATGCAGGAAATGAAATTTCAGGGCTTCAAATTTCAAAAATTTTTCGGGGAAATATGCCCCCAGACCACGTGGCCGTCAGCCATTCCTATCCTCCTCTAATATATTATCTCACAGAAAGGTCCCCCCCCCCCTCACACGGGAAAATCTTTAAAAAAGGCCCGGACCAGTATACCAAAAAAACTATTAAATGTCTGTTTACATATTAAATTTATACTTCTGACAACACCACATGTTGTTCGATCACCAGCGCCGTAGCAACCGGGGGGGGGGGGCTGCAGCCCCCACAACAATTTGCTAATAATCATTCATTTTTCAAAATCATGCAGACCTTTATCATTTAATTCATCACAAACTGCAAAGAATGAAGATATTACCCATACTTTCCTGCAAGTTATCCAATATAAAGTTTAGTACTACAGAATTGTAATTTTCGCTGTTTTCTGACCATCAGAATTCTGTCAAATCTTCCCCAAAATCTAGGAAATGGCATTTCAGAGACTCTAAATTTAAAAATTTCCTCGGGTCTTCGGTCCTCGCTTTCAGCCCCCCCCCTCCCCCCAATCGAAAAGGGCTTCCTACGGCCCTGATCACACATGCAATAGTGTAATCGGGTACAAATTAAACTATATATATCAATTTATAATGAAATCCACAGCAATCAGATGGACAAAAAAATTGTTTGCAACGACAACAGCACCAAAAAAATTGTTTGCGTTGACGAAATGTCTATCCTCCCCGCCCCCTCCAAAAAAATAATGGTCCGTCCCTAAGCTACTAGTACTATTTGTGTTATACTGCTGAATTGTGCACTGCTTGAAATTTATAATTACACTACTCTACTATATTCTGCAGTGAAACTTATGTCTCAAATATCAGCAACACTAGCTAGTTTTGAATATTAGGCTCTTAGATGTAATATTTCAACAAGTAATTGTTGTTCCCCTTCCCTGGTCTAAAAATAGGCAAGTGGGTTAAGTTAGAAAAACTAGTCCTCACATCTTTGTTGATGTTGCATGGTCTTTATAGTTGTTGAGTAAAGCCCATCTACACGATACGACTAGTCGTATACGATTCTTATCCTGGCGCATGAAAACGATTACGGTACCTGACCCAGTCTTTCTATACCCATCAAATTTTTCCATGGGTGCAACAGCCTCAAAAACCCCGCCCATTCCAAATCTCTCGGTCGTGGAAAGGATTTGATGAATGTAATCTTTCATCACAGATATTGCACGTGTAAAATGACAAACCACATTGATGACATCTAACATTGGCATCACTTCCAAAACAGAATGAACATTTGTCCGAGTGGTGGTTTTCATCAGAGGCAACCCAGTTAAAAATAGAGCCCTGTCCTTTTGTGCAATCTTCCTGCATATCAGTCATTCTTTTTGTCCAATTTGATTCCAGATATTATGTGCTACCCATGGATTCCAATAGGGTTTTACAATGAGTAATCAAATCATTTAGTTATATGAATGAAGTGGATGGTTCACTTCTCCTGCAAACAGGCTCTTTGGTTTGTTAATTTGACAGCTCAAATTTTGCACACATTTTAAAGGAAGCTTTCAAAGTCTAGTTTCAGAAATTTCAAGAAAGATACTACTTGCCAATTCAAGACAATGTTTAATAGTAACTGGAAAATGGAACCTTGACAGTTGTTTGTGATCAAATGAGGATTTACAAATTTGCAGGAAACTCATTGCAGAAAATTTCATAAACATTGCTTTATTTAATTTCAGCCTATAACATCACATGACAGTGCTTGTGATGCCCCCTCTGCCACTTAATATATGTAACTTTGACTAAATCAACCCCCCCCCCCGGCCCGCCCCCCCAGCGAAAGCGCTCGAATTCTTAACGTTATTATATAATATTCAGTGAATCTTATTATGGAGGCTTAAAAATATATAATTATCCACTAAACGGAGTGTTGAATGTCTGCATGTTCACTATATGGAGACCTAAATATACAGAGTTTAAAACTATCATGGATATAAATTATCCGTATAGTGTTTAAAGCATTAAATGGATTAAATATCTACGCGCTTTGTCCATTTCAGTACATTTTGCCTTCATTGGCTATTCTCACGAGTTCTGATAAGAACCCTTTTTGCCTGTTAAGCAAAACATGTTGTTTATCAAACTCAACAATGGAACCTTGTTCCAACACCATAATTTTCTCACATCTCTGAATTGTAGTCATACGATGCGAGATTATTATTACTGTACAATCTTTAAGTACATCATGAATAACGTTCTGTATTTGTTCCGCTGTTTTCTTGTCTACTTTGCCTGTTGCTTCATCAAAAATTATTATTTTGTTTTCTTTCAATAAAACTCTTGCTAAACGAAACAATTGCCGTTGACCAATGCTAAAATTTGTACCGCCACCAGTGCACAGATGGTCCAGCTTTCCTGGTAAACTTCGAACAAGAAAACTCAGTTGCATCTGATCCAATACATTCCATATTTCAGAATCATTTATACCACCAGTTGGATTTAGGTTCTCTCTGATAGAACCGCTAAAAAGATCAGGCGACTGGGAAATCACAGAAATTCGTTGACGAGTAGATTGAAGATTTAGATACTCAATATTCACATTATCAACAATAATATCCCCTTCAGTTTCGCCAATTCTCATGAGCGCTGCAACCAGAGAAGATTTACCAGCACCTGTCCTTCCTGCAACACCAATCTTTTCAGAAGGATTTATATGAAATGATAAATCTTTCAAAGCTTTAGGGCCATTTTCATAATATCGCAACGAAACATTCTTGAACTCTATTTTCCCTGCCTCTGGCCAATCTTTGGGTGGTTGTTCATTGATCTCGTGTCCCTTTTCAGGTTTAATTTCAGTGTAAGCCAGAATTCGTTCACCAGACGTCATCTGAGCTTGCACATCTACAACACAACGAGTCGTACCAGATATTTCAATAGCACTTTGAAATGAATACAGAATGGCCACTGAAGCAATAACTAAAACATAAGAAAGGAAGTTTAGAAACACAGTATTTCATTTACCGAATTATCAAGCCTGAAATTTCTGTTAACACACAAAGTCTTATTTTGTGAAAACCAAATGCACTAATAGTTTCAATGAATATTTATTTCAAAGAAATCAGCACCTGTTGATTCAATTCCTCGAAATAATAACTAGCTCCTTTTCCTATTAGCCTAATATTTTTCCATTTTTCTTTTTCAAGTCCGATAAGATGTTTTAAAACCTTTCATGGCTGTTTTCGTTGATTATATAACTTAAAAAACAGTTCCCTATTATTCTGCGAACAGGTGATGACATATTGTTTTGGTGGTGTTTCCAGAGTTTGTGTTCGCATTCCCACAGTATGACGACATCACGTTGAATACGATTTTTGTTATCAATAATATGACGTCATAGCGTTGAGTATGATTTTTTGTATCAATATTATGACGTCACTCATTTGAATATTATATCAAAACTCTGCATGTATTTGTTCAGCCATTGAGTTGACAGGAAATTTCCACACTAGAAATAGAAGGATTCAAGCAACCCCTCAGGTTTCCCAATAGATGAAGAATATAAATTCCATATCAAGAATTTCATACTTAAAACAATAATGGTTTTCATGGTAACGTTTAAATGATATTATTGTTTGCTTGAAAATACGGAAATATGTACTTGCTTAATAGCCGCTAGACACATGAATACAATGCACTGAGTATATGGTGGCTATAGGGGGCCGCCAATGACGTAACAATAGGAGGATTAAAGTCACAATAAAAAGTCATTAACTAGAGTCATTAACAACAATTAGCGACGAATATATCATTAATGTTACTTAGTGATATCGATTTTATTAAAATAACAATATGGTGATATAGTTATCATATAAATAACAACATAAGGGTTTGAAGATCATTAGAATGACAACATTTTGATACTAATACCAATAATATTATAAATAGATAATAACAACATTGATAATAGAATTTTATATTCATCGCAAACGTTTTCGTATAAGAATCTCTGTACAACAATGGTATCATTGATTTCGGAGCGCCTTCCAGGAAAACCTGAGACTGTCCAGGTAAACTGGAGGCAAGTCAGGAACTTTCGTGGTGAGAAAATTTGATCAAGTTGTTTTTTATTGAATATATGCAAAGAAAAATTGAAGAGACGAAGAGAATTTTTGGTCATCAATTAGAAAATACTGCTGGGATACTGGGGTAAATGGAGATTGGACTTCGTGTGCAGAAGCCTCGTCGGCAGTAAACTTTGAAGACATTTGCCAATGTTGCCAAAGTAGGTTGAATTTAAAAACTGTTGGCTTTTTTAATGTGACTTCTGAATATAACGAAACAACAACGAACTGCAACATTTGTTAACTTGCATAATATGTAGTAGAGTTCTTCGTGGCATTATTTGAAATGATTAGCATGTTGGCGTTTAAATCGTCAAGTAAGTAGAATTCCTTAACCTCGTCGTCAATTAGTTTCACTAATTGTTCTATTGCAGAAAATGAGTCGACCGAAACACTTGGAGGTCTATAGATTGTTCGGACAATAAAGGATGCACTAGAAGGTTTATGAATCTCGATGAAAACAGCCTGAAGATTATCTCTGGTCAAATATTTTCGTTCGAAAAAGCTAAGAGAATTTTTAACCTATATACAGACGCCTGCCCCTTTTCTAGAACGATCAGACCTAATTAAATGATAATTATCTAGAAGTATATCCTGATTACTAACATCACAAAATAAATAATAAGACCAGAAGTCTTACTCGATGTCGGAATCTTTGATGTTGATGTCCCCGCGCATGTCGCCTCGCGCATCTTGGCCGTGTCTCGTTTCCAGTGCCCTAAACAAGTGTAATTTGACAAATTTACATGTAAACATTAAGGAGTGAGAAAGTTAAAACGATACCAATCGAGTTTTAGAGCTTTGGTGACCATTTTAAAAGAATATATGATAAATTCAAAGGTAAGTCTCTCGTATTGCATTGTCTTAAATGAATTCTCAGCTAAAATACGACAATAAATGGATCATAAACTTAGCGAAATTTTATACTGTTGACAACGAGGTTGACAGATCCATTGCTTTTTTGCCTTGAATAGCTTTACCATAGTCATTTTACCTTAAAATGTAGCTACTGAGGATATCTCTAAGAGATTTACACAGATTATTTGCACAATCTCACGATTTAATCATGCTGATAACATGAAAATCCTTGTGCCATTCTATACTTGGCATAATCTCTACATCAATAGTTCACTATTATTATATAAATTCAATATATTTTTGAACCAGTCCATATATTATTACACACAATGTAGTATAGTTAATTTGGCCATTGAGAAGTAAGGGTGTATTTCATTACACAGACACTGCTGAATTTTAGGTTACATGCCATTGGATTGATATATAAAAAACACTTGTAAAACACACACATTATCTTGTTGATAGAATAGTTATTTGCAGTATACTAACTGTTGGCATACTCTATTTCAGGACTATCAATTGTTTTTGTCACTGGCAGTCTTTGAAATACAATCTCGCTCTGTGGCCTTTACTGACAAGTTGGCTTTTACTACATATGTGGCACTGACACTTCTTTAATTAATGCACCAGTCAATGTAAACCCCCCAACCGGGGAGGGGCAGGGATTTTGACTTGGAGGGGTAGTAAAAGAGCAAAATTGTCCCCGCCCCCAGGGACATCAATGTCCCCTGCATGTCTCTCAACCCCAGGAAAATAGTTTTGTATAATCATAGATCAGCAATAGAAAATCAAATTCATTTATGTTGTTGTATTTAAACTTTTTTTGTCAAGAAAACTAACACAGCAACACAGGATATATATGTTAACCACCGTCCAAGTCTCCCATCATCGGGGACAAATTTATAATCAAAACTGACCACTTTCCCCGCTAAACCTCTCGCCCCTCCCCGGTTGGGGGCAGGGATTTACATTGACTGGTGCATAACTAGATGATTGCATGAAGCATTGCATGGAAGTTGATTTATAATTAGTTTATGAATAAACTCACACTTTCATTATAATGGTTGATCGAATATATCAAATGCATTTGATTGGTTGATGGTCCCTTAATGGTAATGGTAGTCAAATCTGAACCTATATAATGTCAATATACTGGAAAAGTATCAAATTAAATTTTAATTGTCAATGTTGTAGAAAGTAAATAAATCAAACAATTCTGTTTGTTTCAACTAACTAGTTCACTATCACTTTGGTTTTCAAATCAAAGAATCTTTAGCCTGGTTGAGCTTTTGAAAATAAAGTAGCTGCTTGATTGAACGCAAGATTATTTTATATGTCTAACGCCAGACAATTTCACTCATCAAGGGGAAAGTGGTGCCACTCAGTGAACTCAATCAGAGCTCAATGAGCAGCAGCACTCTCCCTCGATAAGTAAAATCATCTGGCATTAGATGAAGTGAAATAAACTAGTAAAGTAGGGTGCATTGGGGCACAATGCAGCTTACTGTGTTAACTGGAAAATATATTTATTAAGCAATACACACCCTATACTTGTATTTCAATTCACAGCATGATTTGATATGCTTATGTCTATTTGACCCAAGTACCTGACAGGAATGATATTTGAATCACACCTGTATTCATTGAACAAAGCTAATTTAAATGTACATTAATTGTACATGAACCATGTAAATGTGAAAACTAGCTAGAGCAAAAACACACCCACACAGCTTTATTTTTTTATTTTTCTTGAGAAGGAATAACTGAGTGACAATGAGACCAGTATCAACAATTTCAAAAAGGTATTGTACAAAAATATTACAAACATAAGACATCACTTAAAAGACAGAAAAAACACGAAGTATGTCACTACAGAAACTGTGTTCTGTGATATAGATGATATTGCTTTAAAGAAACTTGCAGCTTTTAGCAGTTGTCTAAGGGCCTGTTTATATCGAAACTGGCTGGCCCACTAAGTGAGACAGCCCGGTAAGTGAGATCTCGCTGTCTAGTTATTTTTATAGTAAAAATTATCATTTCTATGGACAAGCGGGCAGGCCCGGTTGCCAAGACCAGGATGGAAATTTCTCCACATAAACAATCATAAGCAGGCTAGCCCGGTTGCCGGGATGAAAGTTCAAAGATACTGCCGCAAGCTATTTTTAACAACTGTCAAAATAATGTCAAAACAACAAAATTGTCCCGGTAAGCGGGATGAAATTTTCTCAAATAAACACAAGAGAAATCATCCTCTGTCAAGCAATTACAATGTTCTAATGTCCAAACTCTAAAGTATTAAAAACAAGCAGAACAGACCACTTATTGCAAGTTGCTAGTAAGTCATATCAACATGTGATCTCGACAATATACAGTGTATAAACTAAAGTAATTCAGCTTCTACACATGAAGCGACTTTAAACACTATCCTTACACTTTATCAATTCATTGAAGTTTGTACTTAAAAGACATTCTATTTGTAGTATTAAATCATAAGACATATTCTATTTGTAGTATGAATACAAGTCACATCAGGATTTTATAATCTAGCGTCTTTGGACCCAAGTGATCTAGAGTTCTATCTTGTTAAAACCTATCCAAGGAAAAACAAGAAAGGGATATTGAAGTAATGGTGTTTTTGAGCCAAATAAATTCGAATATCCACAAGTATAAAAGCAGAACTCCGCATATACCGGAGACAAAATGGCATCATAGCGAACACATTTTAATGATGCTCAAATTTATATTCAGTGCGCTATATTTTAAAAAATATGACCCTGTTTGCTTTCTAAATACAACAAAATTACTGCTTTACCTTCTGTTCAAATAGTTCCACAGATAAATCGAAGTCACAGTTCGTACTACTTGAAAAAAAGCTGTTTTTACTGTAGAAATGACAACTTCCCAATATAATTTTCTATTGCCAACACTGCATTACACTTGTTTAGCTCGCGCATGCGCAGTATAAAAGATGGGACATGTTTCCGCTTGAGTGAGACTTCTGGTCTTATTATTTATTTTGTGCTAACATTGTCAACCAATCCTGTCTCATTCAAAGCAATTGATATCGATCGAGACATTGCCAATAAGATTTTTATTTCTTCAGTATGCTTAGCTAAACAAGCTATACTAGGTTACCCACAGGGCAGTAATGCTGCCTTTGACAGCAAAAGACAAACTACAGGGTGTTGAACGAGTCCTTCAGAAACATCCTATTATTGTTTAGCCTGCATGGCAGGCGGTTCCTAAAATTGGGCAAGCCTGGGAAATACCGCCTGCCATGCAGGCTAATTATTGTTATCCTTGTTAACCCATTTATTGACAGTACCCTACCACTGACTGAGTATTAAAAATCGTCTGGCGTTGGACAGGGTAAATACTAAAGTACCCCTCATTACTGTGCTGATGAATTAACAAGAGCCATTGGCAGATAGGTTTGTTAACCCATTTACTGGCAGTACCCTATACCACTAACGAGTAAAATCGTCTGGCGCTCGACAAGGGAAGGGCGCATTGCCAGCTAATGGGTTAAACCACCGTGGTTAAACATAAGATTTCATGATGCTCCAGGAAATGTAAACAAGCTATCAGTGTGACATCCCAGTTTATATATTTATATACTCGGAATATTGATTTCTCGGTACATACAAAATTATTTTAAAGTATAACAACCAGCAAAGACGTAAGGCACTAACTACCCTGCGCGGCTGCGCGCAGACTATATAACGACATATATATGTCATCCGTCCGGTCCGTCCGTCATTCATCCGTCCGTCCGTATCCGCGTTTTATCCTAACCCGGTTTTAAAACACAAAGTTTGCATTTAATTAAGGCAGTGCGGTTCGTCATGATCAATATTTTCAAAAGCGGCCAATTAGACCAGGGGTTAAAGGGCAATGACAATGACATGCAGGTGACATTTAACATTGCGTCTCACTAATTAAAATTTGCGTGTTTAATTTAATAGTGTTTATCAAAGAAAGCAAAAATATATACAAGATAATTTCTCATGTGGAGTTTTTTCACTTACAGTATACGTACTGCCTTGTGATGCAGTACAAGTATAAATACAAATGACAAAGCATTTGTAAATCCTAAAACATAATTAAATCATACGGCACATTTAAGATTTTAATATCGTATTTCAGCCGCGTTTATACTGTTTGGCGCATTCGCTGCGTTATACTCATTTACATGTATGTACACAGAAAAGCATGTCATTGTCCTTGCAGACCATAGGCAAAAAGCATTTGTCAACCATGCACATACCAAATTTAAGCAATCGTTAAATCATATACATATCATGGAAAGAATATGGAAATAATGTTGAATGAAAGCTAGCATTGCGTATAATATTAAAAGCACCGCATATAGTGCTCGAACCACGGCGTATAATTGCAACAGCATCGCGTATATAAATGGTGAAAGCACCGCGTATAATACTGGAACCACCGCGTATAATGGCGAAAGCACCGTGTATAATAATAATAATAATAATAAAACTTTATTTAATGAGGGATTACACTGATTACTTAATATAGTATTCTTCCCAATGGTCCTCGATATCTAATAGTAATATATAAAAAGAAAATCCTATTGAAAGTAACATTGACAATGAGTAATATGCTTACAATCGATGCAGCGGAATTTATTAACGTGATCTACTTCATAATTCAATTGAATAAAGTAGGTTTTGAGCTTCTTTTTATAGGAATAAATTGAATGATTTTCAATATCTTTTAATTCGGAAGGTAGGGAATTAAATAAACTTGCACCACTGAAGGAAATTTTGGATTTTGCTTGCGTAGTCTTAACTGATGGAACTTTTAAGTCTGTAATAGACGACCTAGTTGGAATTGGATGAGAGTCGCGAACAAAGACAAACAATTTACGAAGATCCGGCGGCCAAGATGTTTTTAAAGTATTGAATACCAATAATATTTTTCTCATTTTTATCAAATTAAAAATAGGTATCCAGTTCAGTTTACGGAAAAGCACAATCGAAGGCACTTCAGTTGATATTATGCCAAAAGCACCGCCGTATAATGCTAAAAGCACACAACAAAATGCCGTTTGATCACTTTAAGCCAGCTATGCTGCTATGGCTTTCCATAAAAGAAGACCAAAGATGAAACATGACCACATTGCCTGTTTGCCTTATGCCTGACCGCGCTGCACCACGGTTAAAATTCACTGGTACCGTCATGCAATGCGCCAAATAGAAAATTTTGATTTCGACCCACAAAACAAAATTAGGATCTGCTGCCTTGCTCGCTCGCTTCAGGCTAGCTCGCTGCGGCAGCAATTATCCATACTCACTTTAAAACCTTTAACATTAGGAAAGTCTGGATTTAATTGTGCATCTGGCCTTGCTGTATTCCAATTATGATGTTTAAAATAATTACTATAATTCTTGCTGATAACCCTGCTACCCTTTTTACTCGCTGGGGCACCTGTGCCCAGGCGACTATAGGTTTCTGCACACATTTTTGGTGGATGTCAGATATCGGATTTCCGATCGTCGTTGACAGCCACAAAATAGAATATTAATGAGCTTCCTAATAAAACAATTTGTATTTTTCAAAATGGCGGCCTTTCGTGGAGTGGGCAAAATGTTTCATAGAATTTCGTTAACATTTTCAACGAATTATACCTGTTTTCTATGGATTTTGCATTGTGTCTAACTCTGGGAATTTTTGCTAGTTTAGTTAATGCATTTTTCTTGGTGCACGACTCTCAAAATCCGAAATTTGGATATTTGAATTCCCGTGCACAATAGTCATATAAATATAGCGTACTGAATCTGAATATAAACGAGCCAAAGACAATTTCAAGGTAAAATGTTATAAATTAATAAACTACACAACGTAGTTTTAATAGATAACTACTTTAGGAGAAGCATATTGGTGTCATATCAATGCAAAATGTACACAACAACAGTCCGTAATAGTTGGCCTTGGAAACGTGAAAACTGCCTAATGGAGTAATGGCGCAAAAAGGATAAATTGTATTTACGGATGTCAAATGTATTAGTAAACAACAGCAACAGTATTCTAGCGATTTATGGCCTTTGAAAATCAAGCGAAATTGTATTGTTGACAAATCGCTCGCAGTATATACGTATTGTCGAAAATCGCTCATCATTGACATAGCATGAGTAGGTTTGTATTTGTATTTGTATTAAGGCCTAATGGTGCAAAAAAAATAAAAATACCACCGTTTCAGCGTAGGAAATTGTACTCACGGATGTCAAATGTATTACTAAACAACAGATTCTAGCGATTTTTGGCCTTTGTCTTTGAAAGCCAAACGACATTGTATTTTTTCTGTGTTGGTGTTGAGTACTCAGGTGAATATGATGTTTGTGATGTTACTCTGAGTGTATATCCACAACGGGCGAGCTTGAAAAATATGGCCGCCCACGGTGGGAATCGAACCTACGATCTTCGGAATACTAGTAAGTGATATTTCGGAACAGAATCTATAGTTCCTTCGATACCAATGTAATCTAGTAATATGATTTTTTTCTGTGTTGGTCTTGTGTACTCAGGTGAATATGATGTTTGTGATGTTATTCTGAGTGTATATCCACACCGGGCGAGCTTGAAAAACATGCCCGGCCACGGTGGGAATAGAACCTACGACCTTTGGGCTAGTATTCCATCTAATATCAAAATAGCATCCTTAAAAGTAATCATCAAAGCTGAACCAAAGTTAACATAGGGAGCTCCAACTTCATGCTTATTTGTAATAATTGAACCTTGACGTTTTTTTCCATAGTTTATATACCAAATTGTTTCATCATTTTGTTTCTCATTGGGTTCTAACTCGATTACAATAGACAGTGTTTTATTGCAAGGAGACGGTAATTATGTATCGAAATGATTTTGAAAATGGTCTGATTGCACGTGAGAGATATTAGTCAATCAATGAATTATCGACTGTTGTCCAATGGTCGAATGATTTTCAGGCACACATATAGCCCAGTGAGGCACAAATACAGTCCAATGAGGCACAAAGTCAGCCGAATGAGGCACAAATACAGCCCAATGAGGCACAAATTCAGCACCAGGGGGATTAATTTGAAGAGAACCAGGGCATTCATTAACGATTATCTGAGAGCTTGTGTTTATATATTGAGGAGATGTCCTAACTCCATCGTTCTTCTCGTGGTATTCAGTCGAGGTGATACTAACCTGCTCTTGCATCACATCGCCATTCTCCATATAATCTAGGACCTGTATATGAGTTTGTATGCGTTTCATTTAGCACAGATAATCTCAACTGTTTTAGGGTAAAATGACCATGACGGACAACATGGAATATGTGCCACAACCTGAATCCGGACGAAAGTCCTGAAAATGACCCCGCCCTGAAACGACATAGCTCTAACTTCCGAAAACAAAAGGCGATAGTCTTTCTGAAGTGCATATTCCCGAGCCGACGGCGCGAAGCGCCGTGCGAGTGTACTAATTCCCCCCGGCTATTTACACCCGGGGAAACGAAAGCATTAGCCAAGTCTAAAGTTCATCAATGAGCGCGGGAGTGGGTTACCGTGAGTGATTCGGTGGGTGGTCATCCTCACTGATCTCAAAAATATGGCGGACTGTCATGAATAGCGGACACTGATTGGTCCAATTTAAAGTTTGCATTATAGCGACTGAATGACGACAGCGAAATAGCAAACATTTCTTGATTTGATGATTGATAAATTTCGTGGAAATATATTTCATTTTTGCTCGCATTTTTGCAAGATTTTGTAAATTTCAAAAGCTTTCTCAGAAAGAAAGGGCGAAAGAATCGGCCCTTTGGCCCTTTGTGTATATGAAACAGCTAAACAAAGCAGCATATAATTTCAGTGTATTATTAATATTGATTCCCTTTTTTATTATATTGAATTTTTTAGATAAAAAAGAAAGCAATGTTATTTGCATGCGAGAATTTGAAATCATTTTATTGCAAACTCAAAGTTTATCGATATAAAGACATTTAATTATTAAAGGCCGTTTAATAATATTAGTCAGGCAGATAGAGGTCGAAATATAAGTGTTTACTCACCGATCGAGGGACAATTTCCTTTTATGATAGAAATGTTCTTCTCAACCACCTAACACACATTTCCGGATGTTGTCCGGTCCAATTTTTCTTGTGGGGCTTGTCCAACAAGCTTTTCTGTGATCATCGATCGATTTTTACAAAACGCCATTTTGTTTATGTTTTTCGCGCGAAGAAACGAGCCCTCGGTGTTTCTGTCCAGTGGCAGCTTAGATACTTCAAGTATGATAAATAAAACGCCAGAATCGTTTCCACAGTACGAACTGCCAATCAGGAGAAATTACTTTAGAAATTAATACAAAAAGATGTAAATTTTGGAATTATTTTTAGGACAAAAATATAGAAAGTCATTCAGATAGAAGGAAAAACACTAACCAATCGCGGGGCAATTTCATTTCACTTGAATTTGTTCATTTCAGTGTGCTGAACACAAATCCAGATGTTGGCCGTGGCGCCATGCTCATTTTTCTTAAGAGCCTCAGCACGGTGGTAAACGAGAAGACTATTCAATTAGGGAGCGGTCATAAAGTATGTGTACTGGGGATGTGGATGGTATTCCAAAATACTACCATAAAATTTGGCACTCGCCGAAACGCATCGGAAAATATTTAATACCCCCCTCCTCTCAAAGCCAAAGGAGATGAAATGTTTCGTCCCCTCCGTCCTCCCGCACACCCAACCAATCACCGTCTCCCCAAAAACATAAAACAAATAAACTCTAAGAAAATAACAGTTTTGCAAAATATTGCAATCCATTGCCTGTATTGAAATATTTAGCGCAGTTAATACTATTAATATGCCCTTGGTGAACACCCGGGTCAGATCTAGAAAAAAGGGAAAAAACATTACTCGAAATCTTAATAGCAATTTTTATAGAAAAATGCTCAAACCACCAATCATTCACTAAAAAATTGTGAAACAAACAAATTACTCACGAAATTACTGCTCTCCAGATCTTGTTGTAGTGAATATTGCCTCGACATCTTCATCGTCAGAAGCATCGCAGCTCCCCCATTCTATCTCTCCTTCATCTTTCGAGGATTCGGAACTTGATGGCGCAGCTGTTGCGTGTAGGACAATATCGATATCACTCAGTGCCTTTTTTAAGGAATTTTCACTGGGGGGGCAAAACAGGAAAAAAAGGCAGAACGAAAAATATGAGCCGTCGAGGTTTGGCGAACGCGCGAGTCTGAAGAGAGATTTTGTAAAACTTTAATTTATTAACTTCACCTAAATAAACAATAACTTCAACTCTTTGTAGCTATAATCGCTATAACCAGTGGCGTAGCCAGACCTTAATTTTTTTGGGGGGGGGGAGGCGAACCTCACGCCAAAGGCACGAGACCGTCTAGGAGGGTCCCGGAGCATGCACACCCGGGGAAAATTTTGAAATCTAGGGTCCCTGAATTGCGATTTCAAGCATTTTGGGAGTGAAATTCCGAAGAGTTCGAAGATTATAAAGTACATCGAAGACATGAATTTTTCCAGACATTTCTACTCGGAATTAAATAAATTGGAAAAGTCACCTTGAAAAATAGGAGGAGGGGTCAGTGTCACCTTATTTCCTCTCTGTGATGCTGGGGGGGGGGGAGAAAATCCCAATGTGATTTTGATCAGAAATGTTGCATTTAAATCATTTTAGGTTCTATGAGACACCATTTCCGCATTCTCAAAATTGCGTTGCTTTTTCATACGATACAGAATAAATCTGAGAAGAAATATTCATGCTATGCATGATGATGCATACATGTATTTAACAGTTAAAAATCTAAACTAAATCTATTCTTCTTGGAACCAGCATTTTATCGGATTGTTTGCATGAAATCTATCGCTATTATGAAATACTCGGTGAAGAACAATATGAATTACACACAAGATGGCTGTGGAGGAGGCTATGGAAGGGGCATAATCTCATTATCAAGTAAATCAACTGCAATTCTGACAGCAATCATGAGCATTTCTGCTTCGCACTTCGGGGGCAGAAATGGCTTTACTGTGGGGGGCAATTTTTTTCCCTGGGGGGGCAATTGCCCCCCCCCCAGATATATAGTTAAAAAAGGCACTGATATCACTGTTGTCCGACTTTTACACAATTCTCCCTCATCTTGGTCAAATTCATCTGGCTGAGGTGGGGCCTGAAGTGTTAATGAGGTATTACCTATGGGAACTAATAAGTGTCAATTTCTCTTTCTTTTTCAATTTAAGGGATTTGCAGAAATTGTAATAATTTAGGTACTTGTCCAGTTCATTCACTTTCAGTTTCTAAGAGCTCCGTCTTCAAATAATCTCTCCCAATCATAATCCTCAAACGTTTTTTTCTTTGTCCTTCAACTGAATCTTTCTTACATCTGCTTTTTTCTTTTTGTTTATCTCTAAATGCTCCACATATTTCTTCGCCGACTCCTTTTCACATGTAAATGTCTTGCAAAAGTGTTCAAACTCATCGTCTATGCTCAGCTTTCCTTGTTCGAAGAAATCCTTTGCATTCTTTCTTGGCTGAAAATCATCAACACTCCTGTAGCATACCTCCAGACTTTCCTAGTTTGGAGTCCGTCCCCCCACTTTTTGGAATGGATTGACGCCCTTGCATGGGGGGTACTTAACAAAACATGAGTCGGAATACTTTGTCTATGATTAATAAAACTACAGACTTTTATAATGCAATATACTTATATTTTTATGTTCCTAATAATTTGCAATGTAGCACAGTAGTATTTATGAAAATGTCTCGATCGATCGGAATCTATTAGTTTGTGATGGGGTCCATTCGAATGGGAATACCAACATTAGTACGAAGGACTTACAAATGAACATATAGAACAGATGACGCTTGCTGAAATTGAGGACTATGAACTTAAACGGATGGGTTATAACGCCTTTAAGGTATGTGACGATCTTACATGTCGGATTGATGGAGCTCCTGCCCCGGATGGATACATGAAGGCCTACACCTCACAGAAGAACGAGGACCTTTTCTTTAATGATCATCTGCGTCTGACGGAGTTTTTTACAGTAGTGTAACAAAGAGGGATATAAAGTCTATGCCAGGTTATCACTACTTCAAGAAAGTCCTAGCTTTCACGGAAAATCACTTCGAAATTGGAGAGAAATATTTTGAGTATGTTAGACACAGTCTGCACAGTCACCTTGTGCATTCTGTTCTGAATCAGACTGGGTGGGTTCAAAATGCACAAAAATCCCTAAACCAATGCCGGACTACTCTGCACATGGTCTACATTATAAGAGTGTTTTTTATACCAAACTTGAAATCGACGGAAAGCCCCGTACTGTTGATGATTTTCAGGAAACAAGGAAAGCTGAGCACAGAGGATGAGTTTGAACACTTTTGCAAGCCATTTACATGTGAAAAGGAGTTGGCGAAGAAAGTATGTGGAGCATTTAAAGGTAAACAAAAGAAAAGAGCAGATGTAAGAAAGATTCAGTTGAAGAACCAAGAAAAAACGTTTGAGGATTATGATTGGGAGAGATTATTTGAAGATGGAGCTCTTAGAAACTGAAAGTGAATGAACTCGACAAGTACCTAAATCATTACAATTTCTGCAAATCCCTTAAATTGAAAATGAAGGCGAAATTGTCACTTATTAGTTCCCATAGGTAATACCTCATTCACACTTCAGGCCCCACCTCAGCCAGATGACTTTGACCAAGATGAGGGAGAATTGGCTAAAAGTCGGACAACAGTGATATCGATATTGTCCTAGACGCAACAGTTGCACCATCAAGTTTCGAATCCTCGGAAGATGAAGGAGAGATGGAATGAGGGAGCTGAGATGCTTCTGACGATGAAAATGTCGAGGCAATATTCACTACAACAAGATCTGGAATGGTTGCAACTAACTGGAGAGCAAATAATTTCGTGAGTAATTTGTTTGTTTCACAATTTTTTAGTGAATGATTGTTGTTTTGAGCGTTTTTCTACAAAAATTGCAATTAAGATTTCGAGTAATGTTTTCCCTTTTTTCTAGATCTGACCCAGATGTTCACCAAGGGCATATTAATAGTATTAACTACGCTAAATATTTCAATACAGGCAATGGATTGCAATAATTTGCAAAACAGTTATGTTCTTAGAATTTTATTTGTTTCATGTTTTTGGGGAAAAGGTGATTGGTTGGGTGTGCGGGAGGGGGGGGGGGACCAAACATTTCATCTCCTTGGAAAGGAGGGGGGTATTAAATATTTTCCGATGCGTTTCGGCAAGTGCCAAATTTTATGGTAGTATTTTGGAATACCATCCACCCCCCACCCCCCAGTACACATACTTTATGACCGCTCCCCAATTGAATAATCTTCTCGTTTACCACCGTGCTGAGGCTCTTAAGAAAAATGAGCATGGCGCCACGGCCAACATCCGGATTTGTGTTTAGCACATTGAAATGAACAATTTCAAGTGAAATGAAATTGCCCCGCGATTGGTTAGTGTTTTTCCTTCTATCTGCATGACTTTCTATATTTTTGCTTTAAAAATAATTCCAAAATTTACATCTTTTTGTGTTAATTTCTAAAGTAATTTCTCCTGATTGGAAGTTCTTACTGTGGAAACGCTTCTGGCGTTTTATTTATCATACTTGAAGTATCTAAGCTGCCGCTGGACAAAAACACCGAGGGCTCGTTTCTTCCCGCGAAAAACAAGTAAACAAAATGGCGTTTTGTAAAAATCGATCGATGATCACAGAAATGCTTGTTGGACAAGCCCCACAAGAAAAATTGGACCGGCCAACATCCGGAAATGTATTTAGGAAGTTTAGAAGAACATTCCTATCATAAAACAAAATTGCCCCTCGATTGGTGAGTGTTTTTCCCTCTATCTGCCTGACTATATAAAGAGCACTTTAATTTAGAACGTTTTGCGAAGCGTTTGTGCTTGAATTTTACCTTAAATTGAAGCTTATATTACGTACTAGAAAATACATGCATGCAGAAACCCTCGCCTTGTTGTCAAAACCATTGTATTTTCCGAACATGAAGTATCTAGAGTAGTTGTCATGGTAACACGATAATTTTTTAAGAATATTCTTACAAATCGCCTAAAAATATCACTTTTAATTACAAAATTATCAATTTCCCAGCATATATATGTTAGATATGTTATTGTACGTAATATAAGCTTCAATTTAAGATAAAATTCAACCACAAACGCTTCGCAAAACGTTTTAATTAAAATGTTCTTTATAAAACTAAACTGCCTTTAATTAAATGGCTTTATCGATAAACTTTGAGTTTGCAATAAAATGATTTCAAATTCTCGCTTACAAATAACTTTGCTTTCTTTTTTATTTATTTAAAAAATTCAATATAATAAAAAAGGGAATCAATATTAAAGATATACTGCAATTATATGCTGTCTTGTTTAGTTGTTTCATATACGCAAAGGCCGACGGGTTTTAAATCCATTATAAAATCAATATTTAAAACAAACTTACCTTCGCTAACGTCGGCTCCCTTCTTTTAGCCGATTCTTTCGCCCTTTCTTTATGAGAAAACTTTTGAAATTTACAAAATCTTGCAAAAATGTGAGCAAAAAATTCATCAGACATCAATCATCAAATCAAGAAATATTTGCTATTTCGCTGTCGTCATGCAGTTGTTATAATGCAAGCTTTAAACTGGACCAATCAGTGTCCGCTATTCATGACAGTCCGCCATATTTCTGAGATCAGTGAGGATGCCCACCCATGAACGATGAACGGTGAGCCATGCGTCCGCGTTATTTGATGAACTTTAGACTTCGCTAATGCTTTCGTTTCCCCGGGTGTAAATAACGGGGGGAATTAGTACCCTCGCATGGCGCTTCGCGCCGTCGGCTCGGAGATAATAACATGCCTAACATATGTATGTTGGGAAATTGATAATTTTGTAATTAAAAGTGATATTTTTAGGCGATTTTTCAGTTGAAAAAATATTCTTAAAAAATTATCGTGTTACCATGACAACAACTTTATAGATACTTCATATTTGGAAAACACAATGGTTTTGTCAGCAAGGCGATGGTTTCTGCATGCATGTAGTTTCTAGTAGTGTTTAGAGGGGTTGCTTTTAGGGGTGGTCATTGGAAGGAAAAATTCATCTAAGTATAACATTTTACTAGAAATACATGCAAGCAGCAACCTCTCGCCTTTTTTAACAGATGAAGAGTATAGAAATTCCATTCAACATGAAGTACTCCATGTTCAACATAATATTAGTCGCTATGGTAACATGAACATAATATGAGAAAATAATAGGAGATAATGTTTTATCAAAAGAATCATTGATTTTTATAATTTGTTACTAAAAGGAATGTAGTTTTATGTTATGTGGCTTTCAATCGGCTAAATGTTAATGTAAAATGTAACGGTATTAAAGCGTTTCGAAACTTTGCCGTGGAACTGCAGGGGAAACTGAAACACTCGTTTTGTTGACAGTATAGTCAGTAGTTTCCTCGAAAATACGGTAAAATGTATTAGCTTCAAAGAAGCAAAAGCTAGTTTTTGAGTTATATTTTGGTGAAGCTATATTTGCTAGTAGGTAAACGACCATTATAAACACGCATAAAAACACGATACGCTGTATTAATTGCCCCAAATAAACAGTATTTAAAATCACTACATTTATACATTTTCATGTAAATACCAGCTTGCATAAAAATATATTATTTATTGAGTTAAATGGCATAAAAATTTCGCCGATATGAATGAATTCGAAAACACAAAGCAAGTACGGTATGTAATTTTAATACTGAAATGTTTATAACACTTACTCAAGATAGCCAAGAGTTAAGACAACGATTAAATTTATATTGAAAACATCTGGTTTGTCTTCGACAAAATTTGTGTTTATCAGTTTATGCATGCCTTTCACACATTGATCATCATAAAACTGCAGGCTTGTTTCCAGTTAAATAGCGAAATACATCGCAAAAATACATTGTAAAATAGCAAAATACATTTTTGCAAAATTAAAAACCATTTTTTAGTGCGAGCTATAATTGCACGTGCATGCGCAATAACGTCGAAGACCGTCCATCACATAATGGAGAACAACTTTGCACTTCGCTATGTTTTCAAACACCTGGGTGTGAATAGCCGGGCGGAATTAGTACCCTCGCACGGCGCTTCGCGCCGCTGGCTCGGGGACAAGAAAATGACCATGGACCACCCCAGGTAAATTGCTAATTCTGCATAAAATAACTAATATGCCTGGCAGAAATTAAATATTCTTTTTTCCTAAAAAAATTGTCATGGGGTGAAAAACTATGCTTAATTTAGTATAAATATTGTTGATTTCATAAGGATTGTCATTGTTTTCTTTAAATATAAATTCTCAAAATTTTCCCGGGAGAATGCCCCCAGTTCCTCTTAAACATAGTGTTGGAAGATGGAATCAGGATGGACTTAATTTTTACCCTGGGCCCCCAAATTTCCCTGGGGGACCCTGGGCACTTTGCAGTGCATGTTGATTTTGGAATAATTTTATATACCCCGTTTACACTACGCTCAAGTTTTGGTACGGCAAAGCTAATATTGGTACCCGTACCGCTTTTTTGGTTCTTGGACTACCTATTTAGCTAAGCCCCGTTTACACTACTCTCAATTTTTGGTACCGTACCACTTCTTGGTTCTTGGACTAGGTAGTCCAAGAACCAAAAAGTGGTACGGGTACCAATTTTATCCGTGCCGTACCAAAAATTGAGCGTAGTGTAAACCGGGCTTCAATTGTAGCCTCTCTTTTGGTTAGATATTATTAAAAGGATGTGTTCACAAATTTTGAGGGCGTGGATTCTGCTCGGCTAAACTTTTCACAACAATGTGCAGTGATAAAAAATTCTTAAAATTAGGTATGATCTAATACATATGAAAACGAAGAAGTGGCATTTATCGGGCAGAGATGCGGCGAGCCATTAAAATGGCGGCAATTTGACGAAATATCGAAGGACACAATATCGAAGATAAAATACGCTGATCTGGATCAAAACTTGATAAAACCTTCTTTGAAATCTTCTTTAGCCGTTTATCATTATGTAAAAGTACAACAACTAGATGATATTTTGCAAGATTTGGCGATAAGAAGCAAACAAGACGGCAAAATACGGCTGAAATCGTGTTTCGGGGTAAGTGAAATAAAATGCATTATATTTAAAGTAAACATTGACAATCCTTATGAAATCAACAATATTTATATTAAATTAAGCATAGTTTTTCACCCCATGATAATTTTTTTAGGAAATAAGAATATTTAATTTCTGTCAGGTATATTCGTTACTTATGCATAATTAGCAATTTACCTGGGTGGTGCATGGTCATTTTCTTGCAAAATATTATACTTAGACAAATTTTTTCTTCCAATGACCACCCTAAAAGCAAACCTTCTAAACACTATAAGGACTTCAGAAAGACTATCGCTTTTTGTTTTAGGAAGTTAGAGCTATGTAGACACTGCCGTTTCAGGGCGCGGTCATTTTCAGACTTTCGTCCGGGACTCAGGTTTTGGCACATACAGTACTGCCAAGAAATAACTTGTCCCGCGTCTGCCCGCGTCCCGCCTCCAGAGCGCCCGCGTCTTGCGTCTACTCTGCCCGCGTCCTGCCTCCAGAGCGCCCGCGTCCGGCCTCCACGACGCCCGCGTCTTGCGTCTGCTCTGCCCGCGTCGTGCCTCCAAAGGGCCCGCGTCCAGTCTCTAGTTAAAAACTGCGTCCGCTTGGACGCAGTCGTCGTAACATAATCGGAAAACGAACTAATCTGTCACTGATCGTAGAAGCAAAGAATAAAAAGTTGAATCCGAAAACGAGTTTCATTGAACCTATAAGCGTTACATTTAGTATAACCATTTTATAATGTGATACGTTATACTACAGTAAGCGCAGTGCTTTCACAATGCAATCACACGTACTTGAGTGGCGATTGAAGCGTATATGACTGTATATTGGAGCGTAAAATAGACATAAACTATATATAAATATAATGTAGACGCATATACTAAACTCAGTGAGATCACGACTACAACGAGTATATATCTCGCAACACATTCATTTGCTACTCAAATTCTGACTTACCTCGTAGAAGTTAAGACTGCCGATTAGTTGATATGCAATTCTGTATTTGAATAATGTTATGTCTCCGCAACTCGTCAGTATATATTAAAACGAAAATGCTCATTTACAATATATATAGTGCTTTTGATTTTTCATATAAAATACCATCACTACGAGCCACTATATAACTTCATTTACAGCAACAAGTTTTTGTTATTTTTCCAAAACAAAGTAAATGCACATGGTGATATGTCATATAAATTGTAATTACCATATAATTTCGGGATAAATGACTTCTCTTAATCCCTTAATGGAATACCTGTACATGTCCAGGAAACAGTCTTTGTGTTTCAACACGGTTGAATTACTGTGACTCATCGCTTGATTTTCAAAGTTGCAGTATAATTCGCTAAAGCTGAAGTGAAGAGCTCAGACTAATAGCACTCAATCCGTATTACTATCAGACCAATAAAATGAGGTATCGATCGCTTACTCGTCAACCAAAACGTATGTTGGGTTTCTTCGAAGAAGATATAAAACCATACGCGTGCATTTTGCCAACCGGCAACGTTAAAGAATACTGGGTTTAAACCAAACGTTATACGAAGGTGCGAAAGTAGAGATCAAATACGAAAAGGAACTTTACGAAGCACAAATTCTGAAAATTCATGGTAAGTTTAATATTAGAAATATAAAAATCTAGGTCTGTAACGCTTGTGTATAAGCATAATAACGTGGTGTGAAATCGCTAACATGAATATTTTCCGACGCGCACGGTTTGTTTATGAAAAGCGAAACGCGATAATTTCCGACGATCTACGAAGAGAACTCTTTCTCAGCTGCGTCCTCGCCCGCAGACGCAAAGCGGACGCATGGCGCCCGCACAGTGGACGCACCCGCAAGCGCCCGCAGACGCACAGTGGACGCACGACGGATGCACGGCGCCCGCAGGACAGACGCACCCGCGGGCGCCCGTGGACGCACAGTGGACGCAAGATACCCGCGTCTTGGACGCGGTTTTTGATAAGTTATTTCTTGGCAGTACTGTATGCCATGTTGACCGCCATGGTCATTTTACCCTAAAACAATGGATATTACCTCTGCTAAGTGAAACGCATACAAACTCATATACAGGTCCTAGACTGATAGTATTTCCCTCGCATTCTACGTTCGGTTGCTTGAAAGTCTGGCAGCAACTATCCGATATAAGTTCGACCGTTCTCAGTTCTGCTTCGGCAGCTTCGCCTTCGGTAGAATAAGTGTTCACTGAAGCATACTCGCCTTGTTTTAAGAGAGAAGTTATCCGTTTAATTAATAACGTCCTTGCCCTTTTCGCCTTCGAAACAGATATTATGACTTTCTGTTTTCCATGTAACAGATAATACCTCACTATCAAATTTCCATGTACCGCCGCTATATGTGATTGCCAGTCGTACTTTCACCTGTTTCTTCGATCTTCCAGTGAAGCAGCCCATTTAAGTTTGTTCTTCTTATAGCAGAAATAGCCGTATAAGATATTTACAACATTTGAGGAATTCTCTGCGTTCAATTTTCAAATGCTATGAGCATCATCATCCACAAAACTTGATAAAGATTCAGCTAATTTTTCGGATGCTAGATCAGAGCTAAATTCTACACCTTCGCATGGAGGTCGCCGACTTTGATATGAACGGATTTTTTCAAGAAGTCTCAACCATAATCATAGAGAATAAATATCTGGTGGTGTATTGTTACCAAAGTCAATCTTACAAATTTTATAAATTTCATGTTATGAACTAGCTTTATAATTCTCCATGTGTCGACCACATGTGTTCATATGCAGAGTATACGGTTTGAGTCGATATTCTTAATTTGCTTTAAATGATCATTAGCGGTCTGCAATGTGCAGTCGTGGGCGTAATTTCGGGACGAGTGTACCGCTAATTCCGCACGACTTTTTACACCCGGGAAAAGGAAAGCATTATAGCGAAGTTTAAAGTTCATCAATAATCGCGGGCGCATGGCCGCTGGCCAGTTGATAACTGTTCGTTCGCCACGATGCAACGAACTCCCAGGTCATCTCGCACTCGTAAATCTACTTTACCTCGAGACGACGTTATGTCGCTTCCTTGGCCGGTTTCAAATACTTGGCCTTCATCGCCTTCGGAGTCAGCTTCTACTGCTGTTGTTTACACAACAGCCATTTGCTACAGCTTCAACACTACAAATAGTTGCTTCGACGATCGAAAATGATCGAGAATGTTAGTTCCTTCACTGGTTCCCGCCATGTCAGTCATGGCATTTTCCGATGCAAGCTAAAAATTATCAACCTTGTTCGACGCCGTTGTATCCTCGTAATTTCCCTTAACAGCAGGCTTAGGGGAACGTCGGTTTCTTCTAGTGTCGTGGCTTTCTTTAGCGTTCCAAGTGTTCAACATTGGCCTTAAATGGACCATTTGAGAAAGATTACTTAACTTTGACGTGTTCCAATGATCATGTATTCTGGGTTTTTTTTTCACTTTTGGTGTTAATTTGTTTGAAAGAAGCCATTGATGAATATTTTCTAATTCATTATTTAAGGAGTCTTCCACATTACATAAACTAGACGAACGGGCTGTAATATTTGTGTCGTCGACATACATTGCAGCATGTGAGTTCTCCAAGCAGTTAGGGAGATCATTAACATAAATAAAAAAGTAGAGGACCAAGGTTTGGTCCTTGTGGAGCCCCACAATTTACCTTCTTAGAGGAAGATGTTGCACTATTGACCACGCAGAATTTTTTCTATTAATGCAAATACGATTAATTTAATTAAACCGGTCAAGGCATTTGTTTTGAATTCCGTAAATAAAAAACTCTTTAATATGGATATTATGATAAACTGTGTCAAATGCTTTGCATAAAGCAAGGAAAAGGACATCGTTTTTTCCCTGTATCCATGTTCAGAAACTATTAATTTTTAATGACCTTTTCGAAACCCAGATTGACATGGGGTCAGGATATTCTTTTCGGTTAAAAACATATTGAGTTGAGGACAAACAAGTTTCTCAAAAAGTTTTGCAATTATCAAGAGCATAGAAATAGATCGATAATTACCTCCCACCTTTCTGTCACAGGATTTATAAATTGGACTTACTCTTGCTATTTTGAAAGTACTATCAATAATTGTCTGCAGGTTAACAAATAGATATTTAATACATGAAGTAGTTAAAAAATGTAATCTAAAAAAATATTGCAGAAAGAGCGGTATAAAAACATAAATATCATATAATTTTTTAGAAGAAATTAAACTGAACTGAAAACAACGTCAATATCTAGATGTGAAATGAACAAGCTCTTGTTCTGTCTAAGAGCTTTCAATATATTATATAAAAAATTACGAGTTTTCAGTAATTTTTGAAGTATTATGAAAAGAAATAACATCAGTAGTTTATCAAAATTATGGCAAGTTGTTTCAATTAACTGCCCAAATATTCCCATGCAAGCAAGTCTGTCAGTTCAGTCGTAATCTATATACGCAACGAATTGGCTATCGGTCAGCTCATGTAAGGCTCGAGTTCACAGAATAACCATCCAATATATAGGGCGAGTAGCACTGGTCGGAAAATCTTTGAAAATCCATGGAAAGTCATAGAATGGAAATTGTATGGACCTTTATTGGAAATAGAATGGATTTGGTTATCCATAAAAATTGTATACTTTCCATGGTATGAATATATAGAATGGATATACTATGGATTTAGTGGTGCAATTGCAAATTTCGTAGTATATATGGATTTCACATTTTTCCCCAGTGTAGCTCAACCAATCAGATCGCAGAATAGTTCATAATGGTGGACGACTGTATTAAAATGTATAATTATCCAGTTATTTGTTAGTCAAAGTTATTCTTACACATAGTTTCGCACGATGACAATGTTATACTGCGCATACGCGTAGAAAAAAAATATTAATGTGTAATGATATACTTACCGGCGGTAGAGGAGTCCGTTACAGAATACAACTCAGTTGTGGATACAATAGTCAAGAAAACTAAGAAAATTACATCCATTGCGAGTCCAAACCAACGTGCTGCCACATAATAAGCATACATAGCTTCGTGATGACGGTCAGTGAGACTAAATAAAATTTAAAGTAGTAAAGCTACATTTAATTAATGAGATTCGTCACTCACACAGGGGCCTGTTCTACGAAAGTTGGATAAAATATCCAGTGGATAAGTCCTATCCAATGGATAAATCTCCTATCCAATGGATAGCTATCTGCCGAATTAAAAAGGCGTTGTACGAAGCACGGATAGCAGGGTGGATAGCTATCCGTCGGATAACTTTAATATTAACCGGAGAAAACAGGATTTTCCTGTCGTTGCAATCTTTCGTTTTCCCACAGCGAAGGGTTTGCTATCTACTTATCGATATTTCTTTTTCAAAAATTTTTGACTTCATTATGCGAAGGAAATAGCAAAGACTGCAAGTTTTGTTTTCTTGTTTCAATTTTAAGTACATTTTCTCGCAAGATTTGATTGGCTGATCAAAGGAATTATTAACGGTGATCGAACAAATGAATGGTGTTCTTGTTGTCTATTCATGTGTATATTTGTTCGGCTTTGAAGGGAAGTCATTGTTTCTTTTAACAACTAATGAAATTTAATGTTTGGGTTCAAACTTAACTAGATAATAGAAGCAAAAAAGGGAAAAATTCAGAATACTTAACGTATAAATACTGACACCGGTCTGCGTAAAAGATGGCAAAGCAATGACATTATTTAACTGGCAAGTGAGCTCAGTGTACGTCAAGAGCGAGAGAAATCATGATTCATAAGTAAGTTTCCAGGTAAATTCGGTGTCAAAAAAGTCAAAAATATACAAACTAAAATTTTTAAAAGGTATCGGCATGTTGTGGAGAATAAAAAATAGTTCCAAAAACAACATTGATAAAGGTTTACAAGGCCATTATACTACCACATTTCGACTACTGCAGCCTTGTATGGGACAATTGTAGTGACTACTTAATTGACAAATTACAAAAATTGCAAAACAGAGCAGCACGTGTAATTACTAGTAAAACGTACGAAACAAGATCATGCGATGTTCTAAAAGAACTACAATGGCAACCTTTGAAAGAACGTCTGAAGCATAAGAAACTATTTTTTATGCATAATATTAGGAATAATAAATTGCCAATTAGTGCAACAAATGTGTTTGATATCAAAACAAACTTACGGTATATTAATCTCCGTAGCAACAACCAAGATTTCAGCCTTGATAAACCGAATACGAATTTTATGAAAAAAAAGCATAAGCTATGCAGCTTCTTCGACCTGCAGTATTTGGCGCCAGAGGCCAAAAGTTTGTGCATTAGTAGCCGGAAGTTCAAAACTATTCTTGATCATTATTCTCCACAGTGATATACTATATTGTATAAGTTCTCCATTAGACTATTGTGATTAGTTCGTTTAACATTACATTTTATACATTATGTAATTTTATGCATGTTTCTAGCTTTTTTTTCTGTACTGTGTAGCACTCATGGTTGTAACTTGCACCTGTATTCGTCATATTTTGTAACTGCTTTTTTTAGTCGAACGGCCTTTTGAAAAACAGGTGCGTATGTGCCCTGAAGAGCTACCGTTTATAAACGACGGCGACGACAACGACGACGAAGACGACGATGACGACGATAATAATAATAATAATAATAATAATAATAATAATAATGGAAACTCTATTTTGACATTTTATGTATATACAATTATAAATCTCACTAATTAAGGTAATTTATAATTGACTACTTGAACTATTAATTATTGATAAAACTATATTACAGGTATAAAACTAAGAGAAAGCTCATTCTTAAATGTTCATGAAGTCCGGATCGGACCAATCCTTGTTTCTACAACAAAATATATAGTACGTTGTTCTGATGGCGATTGACATTATTTTCTTAACACAAAAGTTCTGATGTTTTTTATCAAGACCAACTTCGTTCAACATTTTTATAAACGTGCTACATTCTTTTGAGAAAACACCTAAGGCACCAATAGACAAATTAATAAATTTGACAGTTTTGAAATGGTCTTTCTGCTGCGTAATTAGGTCCTTGTATCTTTCCCTTTTGCGATCGACGTTGTTTTGGAGATTGGATTCATATCCGACAGAGAGTTCGAGTATGTACAGACAATCATTTGAAATCGAAAGAAGCAGATAATAATAATAATAACAATAACAATAACAATAACAATAACAATAACAATAACAATATTAATAATAATAATAATAACAACAACAACAACAACAACAACAACAACAACAACAACAACAACAACAACAACAACAACAACAACAACAACAACAACAACAACAACAACAACAACAACAACAACAACAACAACAACAACAACAACAACAACAACAACAACAACAACAACAACAACAACAACAACAACAACAACAACAACAACAACAACAACAACAACAACAACAACAACAACAACAACAACAACAACAACAACAACAACAACAACAACAACAACAACAACAACAACAACAACAATAATAATCAGTTCTTAAAAAACCTTAAATAGCACTCATTCTTAGCTTCGGACTCGTGCAATTTTGATGCTCTTTGAAAACCTCACTCGTGCTGCGGAAGGCTTATCCAAATTGCACTCGAAGCTATCCTATTACCTATACTTACATTGAACTTCGTAAAGCAATAAGAAATTACTAACCGAAAATGAAGGCTGTATAGAGGATAAAACCGAGGTTTTGCTGCATTGATCTATACAGCTTGAACGGTCGTTGTTAGTTTCATTATATGGCACATATTTGTTTTCGTGAATCGTGTAATTTGGTTGGCTTCTAAAGAGGCATGATTGTATCGTATTGTTTTGGTGATTACCCAAGGGTAATACGAAATCCATGCCAGAGAAATGTCAACATAATCATTATCGGGAATATTTGTTACATATTTGTAAAAGGTTAACATATAAATCGGCCCATGCAATGTAATCCGTGAACTCCTTGGATTCCGGATTCCACTCCTTGGATTCTGGATTCCTCTCTTTCCGGATTTCACTGTTTGGATTCCGGATTCCTCTCTTTGGATTTCGGATTCCGCTCCTTGGATTCCGGATTCCACTACCTGGATTCCGGATTCCAGATCGGTCATGGATTCCGCGGATTCCAGGAAGTTGACCCAGGATAAGGATTCCGGATTCTTCCGATGCTTGGATTCTGGATTCCACTGTCTGGATTGAAAAACTAATAAAAGTCGGATTCTGGATTCCTGGATTACCTTACATGGGGCGATAAAAAAACCTTGCCTGAATTACTAAGCGCTATATAAAATATATTCTAAAACATATGTAATTCCAAGTCTCCCATGTGAATGATTTACATCTTGCGGCAGTCATCTGCTACGTACCAGTCGACTATTTCACTGCGTAATTGTGCGAACAAATGACTCGGGCGTGAAATTCAATGGACAATTTTTTGGCTAGCAAGTAAAAGATCACACATTTTACTACGCTCACTCCTTTGGTTGAATTAATGTGCGCATAAAACGAAAATGTATATTTATGAAATCTGCTGTGTTGGTGTAATGTACTCAGGTGAATAAGATGTTTGTGTGATGTTACTCTGAGTGTATATCCCCACCGGGCAGGCTTGAAAAATATGCCTGGCCACGGCGGGATTCGAACCTACGACCTTTGGAATACTAGCCCAATGCTCTTCCAACTGAGCTACGCGGTCAGGACGGTTCGAGTAAGCGATATTTCGGAACTGAGTCACTTCCGAAATATCGCTTACTCGAACCGTCCTGACCGCGTAGCTCAGTTGGAAGAGCATTGGGCTAGTATTCCAAAGGTCGTAGGTTCGAATCCCGCCGTGGCCAGGCATATTTTTCAAGCCTGCCCGGTGTGGATATACACTCAGAGTAACATCACACGAAAATGTATATTGTCCTTCATATTTAAAAGAATTATAAAACTATATAGCGTAACTTTTTTTGCATTTTTTCGTTCCGTTGCCTCGTTTTCGAGATATTCCTGTTAGATTGATACACGTGTCAAGTTTCCACTTCACACAATGCATAACGAGTTTTCAGATGAAGCTACAGTGTATATATACTTGCTATTATCATCTAGTATAGTGTGCAATTTTGCTGTTTTACAACATCAAATACCTATAGGATATAAAAACATTTTTCAGCAAACTCATCAGTCATATTTGTGACGTAGTCATTTTGAAAATCAAAATAACTGAAATATCTCGAAAACATGTCAGCGGCGCGGTAAACTCTTTTCATTTGCCCTTCAAACCTATGGCAAATATTTATTTGGTTAATTAGCTCATTAACTGCTTTTTGGCTCGTTTTTCGTCAAGTTGGTCGACCTGAGGATGTGTCAACATTGTCCACCAACTTTAGACATGAATATTTTCATTTATCTGACGGCAACACTTGTATTCATTACTTTTAATCATTGAATGACAAGATATTCATCTGTCCCGGGGTCGTAACTGATGGAAGATGGATGACTTTGGGACAGAATAAATTTGTTCAAAGTTGCTGTTCAGATATCAATTTTTCAGACGTAGGAACTTCATTATTTCTTACTTCATCTGGGGCCTGTCCATATGACCTGGCTTGGAGGGAGACAACATTTTCAATTCCAGTTTTTTCTGAAATACTATCCTGCTACTATCCTGTCGAAGTGCGAAGTACCCGTTGGCAGAATTCCAGCTTTGCAAGGCAAGAAATTCACCATGATATACTGTACAGTAAACACTCCATCCCAACAAGGCAACCTGAACTTGCTTTCAAGAATGTGTTTTGCATAGCCTAGATCATATAAACAGATACACAATAGATCGTGAAACTACAACTGGAAAATATTTGTACGTGCTCGTGTGGCGCGGGCACATCGCGCGTGCATGTGTACAGGTCGCAAACGTTAAGTTCCTAAGTTGTCGTACGCCTTTGGCGCGAAAGAACACTCACATGCAAAACAGAAGAGCACGTCAGTTTACGAAGGAACAAGCTTTTATATTTTTGTATCTGCCAAGCAGATATATTGCTGTCGCAAACATGCCGTTAATGCTACCCATAGCCAGTCAGCGACGAGCTTATACAATTGAGCCAATTCATGATAATTTAAGCCAATCAGCGATTAGTTTACATCAATTGTTTACATCGCGCCCGCATCTAACCTGCGAACCGGCATCGTTTGGCCTCGGGATTCAATCTTGAATATTCTTTGCCATTTTCACATTATGGCTTCAATAATATCTTGATTTTAATCTTGAATTGTCTGTCTTGTTTTCACGATTCTACTTAGGATATTATTCCTAAGTTATCTATCAACATGGGAACTTATCCTCATCTGGTAAGTAGTCTAATACCACATATTTTATTATCTACATCTATACTGTATTAAACAATCATTGTGTCAAAACATAGCAGACAATAATTATTGCCAATGAATTATATCACACGAAACTAATGTTCACAGATATTGAATTAAACCCTGGTCCTGTATTACTGTAACTCTGTTCAAAACAACAGTAAAAATTAACTAAGCTGTTTTCTAATGTAGTGTTAGAGCAAAGGTTTATAAGATGTTATCAAGTTAAAATACTTATACATTTTGGTATTACACATTAGATTATTAGAGTTTCAAAATTAAACAAAATTATTACACATCGCCATGCCAGACCAACAAACTTGGGTATATTTCGTCTCATAGCTAGTTTGTCATTTGTTCCACTGGAGTCAGGCTACCCTGGCAAGTGTTGGCAAGAAACGTGTGTGAAATGACATTTAAATTGTTAATGGAAACTGCTTCAGAAGGTTTAGATTAATTACGTTCTTACTTGCTTAGGCCAAATTGTGTATTATGACATGATTTGTAGTCTAGTGCGCTGGTTGGCCAGCTTCTGACTTTTAGTACAAGATTCCCAATGCTGGGATATCAACACGCTGAAGCAGAAGCCTGGCCATTCAATTTCACTGGCCTTGGTACATGCGAACTGCAATCTCAAAAAAATATGTAAAATTAATATATGCGATAGTACCTCAGCACAGGCAGGTATATTTTAAGCGCATATAAATCAGAGTTGCAAAACCTGTTCAAATTTCTTCCGGGTAAAATTTAAAGTTTTCAAACCTTCCTCAAAATAAATTAAATAAATATGGCTTAATCAAATAGCTATATACTACAGTATATAAACTTAACTGGTGCTGAAAGCATAAAACACAGTAGTTACATGATTTTAATATATAAATTTGCCATAATAGATTTATACTTTGGACAAATTGGACAGTCCTTACCTACTACGTCTACATCCTATATCATATGTTGAATATAAGATAATATAAAAAAATGAAGTCATAAACTCGAGATAACATTTAAAATGTGATGGTTTCTGAATTTGTAATAAAAAGCACATGCAGCGTCACACATCTAAAAATTGAGAAATCAACAACTTTGTTTCCCGGTTGATATTGACAGGCGTATTGCCCACTATGAACAATTTGTCAACAAAACGTGCAACTACATTGTTGATTACTTGTTCATAGTAGGCAACACAACCTTCCTGACGATATCAACTGACGTTGTTGATTTTACGCCTGTACACATATTATATAGAGATCAGCGGTAAAACCATGGCAACAACACTCCAGAGGTGGTATTTGATAAATATCATATTTCTGTATACTTGTGGTTTTGAAAGGCATTTGAGACTGTTTAGGTCTTTAGACTCTCTCCTCCGCAGAGGCTTTTAAAGAATATGAAATTCGAAGCAATTGAAATTGCGCTAGACTGACTGGTATCTGGTATGAAGAGAACCGGTCATTAGAAGTGTGACCCAATCACCCAATTTCACAATCAGCGAGGCAGCGAATGCTCTCAGCCTCAAACTTGTTTCCGATCAAGCAAAGTGCTAAAATTTAAACCAAGCAGTATAGTGCCCTGCATGGCAGTTTATGGCAATGTTTGGAGTGGTTGCAAATCAATGGCAATATAATCTCTATAACAGACGCTGCCAATCCTGCAATATACTTATGGTTGTCTTATAGTTTGTGGGAATTGGACAGTGTAGGTATCAGGTATGTAAATAATGACTTCGATTATAGGACCTCGATATATTCCGTCGATCAGATGTATTAAATATGTATGATAGCTACACAACTCAGTATTTAAGCTGTACTATTTTCGTCCGAATCCGACATCACACATGCTAAAATTTCTTCCTCAGCTTTGTCTATAAGGCCATATTTATATAATTATTACAATGTTTAGTTGCCACAGCATTGATGGTTTATTTCATTTATAACTATTAATTATTCTCTAAAAATATTGCAATCGTGTAATGAAATAATCTCTGAATAAGGGAGTAAAGGGACCGGTCATAAGGTAATTACTAGAGGGGGGTGGAGGATAAATGAAATTTCAAGTACATATTTCCATACCCTCCCAAACACCTGTGGAAAAATTTTCGTAACCCCGCACCCTTCTATCATTAATTCTGTTTTAAGATTTGTCTTGCGTTTATCTATATTTCGAAACTCTCCAGATAACTCTTTCATTTCTTGTAGTGGTAACCATATCCTCAACATTTTCCGCAGTCTCCGATTCATCACCACAGGCTTTTCTGATTCTGACATAGTAGCAATGGGCTGAGGGTAAGAACAAACATAAAAAATTGTTTTTGGTTTATTTCAAACAGAAAAAATGTGCTTCCATTCAATGTGACACATTCTCATCAGGATCTAATAGTGTGAGCTTGCTAGCATTGACAATTCAGATGTATCATATTTATACTCCAAAAGTTCCGCGGATACTGAATCCTACTTATCATCTGACATTGAGTCAGACTGAAACATATATACTTTGTGTTGATTTAATAATAATTATAGCGAAAAGAACTATAATAACGATGAATGTAGAGAGAATCTTTAAAATTGCTGTACCTATAGTACTATGTTTATTTACCCTAATCACTATAAATGTTTAAGTTATTAACTGTTCTCAGAGTACATTATAGGATACATTAAAAGCTTTAGAAAAACAAATTAAAGAATGGCTTCTACAATACTGACACTCGTTATCATATTTAAAAATCTGGGCACAAATACATTCAATATTCAACACTAATTATAAAATGTAATTTTTTTCCCATACCTATATAGTACTAAGATTTTGGTACCCCCTAGAGGTTCTGTTGTTTTTCTTGTACCCCTCCCCCCTGAGAGGTTCCGGATTTTTTTCGTACACCCCAAAAATATCCTCCACACCCCCTAGTAAATACTTTATGACCGGTCCCTAATATAATAATGCTAAATGTCAGTTTCTTATTGTAACCATGATGAATAGCTCTTAGTAATATAGCCTTGTGTTATTGGTGGTGCAATGGTTTAAGGCCACATAAAATAAATTCCTTGATTCTCCTCACTACACTTTGAAAAAGAGCCGGGAGGTTTATATTTTATATTTATAATTTATATATCAATAAATAAATAATTCCTAACATTTAATATTAAATTTTCTGTGAGTTTTGAAGTGAAGTGTCATAAACCAAAATAAACATATTACAGTACACATTTCTGTCATTTCCAACATATCTCCACGAACAAGGACTGAACCCTTGAACTAAATGCAAACTTCCTGCAAAATGCAATGAAATTTCTTTCAAGTCCCTGTCGTTTGTTTGAATTGGCAGTTTAAAATGGCACTAAAACCCCAATATAAATATAAAAAACCTTAACTGTCTTGAAATATTTTGTTCGGCGGTACATTTATATTGTATAACAAAATATAAAAAAGCTTAACACGGCTCTTAAAATGCAGTTGGGCGGTGATGAGAATCAAGCAAGTTATTTTATGTGGCCTAAGGCACCTCTGATGCTTGACACTTACACATTTTAATTTTACAGAATATTTTCAGTTATTGTCTTCTCAGTATTCTCCAATGTCATAGTCATCTGGTATAGGTACTATTAATATCACAATAGTGCCACCAAAACTTGTCAGCCTCAACTGCCTCAATCAACCATGATTTACTTGTTTAACTTTTTTGGTATTAGCTACCATTGGCCACTAAACCTTCCTGACTGACCTCACCTATGGCAAACCTTCCTCGCGGGCAATGCCCGCGTGTCCGCAGCTTTTTTGCAACTCTGATATTTTATTATAAATGAGCAAGGCCAACTTGCCGGGCGGGATATCATACTAGAGTACCGGATTGATTCTACAAGACTAAGACGGATTGATTCTACAAGACTAGTCATAATCGGGATTATAACTAGTGAACCAGATGAAGTAAGAAACAATGAAGATCCTATGCCCATAAATTTTGATATCTGAACATTACAGTAACATTGAACAAAATCATTCCTTGCTAACGTCATTCATCTTCCTTATGTTAGGACCCAGATACCAATGAATATGTTGTCATTGAAGGATTAAATATAATGAAAACAAGTGTTATTTTCAGTCAAACGAAAATATTCATGTAAATGGCCTGAAACACACGTATTCTGATTGGCTTAGAGCAAAATGTAAACGAATTCACTTTTTGGTCAACAACAAAATTTTCAAATTTTCATTATGCTTCGCGTAGAGCAGAATAACGGGGCAATGATGCAATGTCCGCGCTTCCCGATACGCTTTGCTACATTCTCGTGCGGCATAAAACAGCTTTTTGTTAAAAATGTAACTTAAATTAACCAAAACATGTCGATATATTTTTCGGACTTGAAGGCCAACAAAGTTCAAATATCGCTAAAACTTGAAAGCTTAAATCGTAAGAGTATCTGCTTTACAACCGTTGATCCCATTATAATTAAGTTCATACCTGAGCAAAACTTTTGTGAATTCTTTTTGTCTATTATGCACGCGAATAATCCTCAATCCCTCCATGGTGTTTGAGAAGTGGGAATACAACGGACTGCCAGCTTGAGACATTAAACGTTTGATGTCCATGGCAGAATTAAAGAATAATTTTGACAAGCCAAAACAAATTGTAATTGTGATTATGATAAGTGGCGTTAACAGGATGTTGCTTATCAAACACAAGATAATAGCTCCAGGCGAAAGCGCCGCATCGTGAACGAAATTCACTAAATAAAACGGCAGAAGGTCATCTAGATTGTTGATGTCTTGCGACAATCTGTTCAGAATACGACCAGCTGGGTTTACGGCGTAAAAATGACTTGGAGCTTGAAGGAGACAAGATACCATTTTGTTGTGTAGTTTGTAGTTTGCTCTAATCGGTACGAGAAAAATGCAACATTTCGCAAGGGTGGTGACTAATACTGTAGCAATCAAAGATACTGGATATACATATAACGCTGTGTGAAACTTGTCTGTCTGGTTTGCCAAATTTGGTAATGATGACACTTGAATGTCAACCCACAAGATCAATCCTAGCAAAAACAAAGCGATTAAAAATAATTGGCAAAAAATATTTCAATATAGTACAATACATACCATTCGAAATTTTAATAATAATGAATTTTTTTGCCCAGATCATTTATATTGTTCTATTCCAAAGCCTTCCCGCGGGGACTAAAAATAGTTTAAGCCCGCCGCACACGAGCGCACTTGTAGCGCGTACTTGTTATTCGTGACAAGTTGGATCGACAAAATTTCCTCGTGTGCGGGCAACATTTACGGCATTTTCGTCATTCGTGACATGTAAACCAAATATCAAACATGTTTGATATTTTTCGTCATTCGTGACAAAAAATTCTCATGTGCGGCGAGCAAACGACAAGCGCGCCTGAATAGGAAAATTTGCGCATGCGTGCAGCAACTTTCAGAATTAAAAACAACATGGCGGATCAAAATCACGAGCTCGTGTCTTGTTTTTAATTCTGCAAGTTGCACGCATGCGCAAAATTTCCTATTCAGGCGCGCTTGTCGTTTGCTCGCCGCACACGAGAATTTTTTTGTCACGAATGACGAAAAATATCAAACATGTTTGATATTTAGTTTACATGTCACGAATGACGAAAATGCCGTAAATGTTGCTCGCACACGAGGAAATTTTGTCGATCCAACTTGTCACGAATAGCAAGTAGGCGCGACAAGTGCGCTCGTGTGCGGCGGGCTTTAAGTCGCATACACCGGGAAAAAAATTCGAAATCCATAGAAGGTCATAGAATAGAAATTGTATGGACCTTTATTGGAAATACAATGGATTTTGGTTATCCATATATAATTGCATATTTCCATACTATGGATATAGTATCAAAATAGTATGGATATGCTATGGATTTAGTGGTGCAGCTGCAGCTTCCCAGTGTCAAAGTCGCACCAAGTCGCACAACAATAAACAACAACAGATAGCCCAAAAACCTAATTACTATTGTCCCAGTTTACCAAGGCACATAACTTACTTCTGTTGTATTCTATGTTCTGGTAAAGTAGAACAATAGAAGCTAGGCCTTTGGTTGATCAAAAATTGTAAATTAGCTGGAACGTCCAGTTGGTTGATTCGATTATATTGTGCTACATTCGTTTTTACCTTGTCCCGCTATAATTGCCAATAAAATCAGAAATAGGATTGTCACTGGCGCTCCATACGTGAAATACTTTGCATGAACTTTGATGGAAACATTTCCAACCTGGCGATCTTCTTCTGCTTCACGTAACTGTTCAATTTGTGCTGGATCATCGCCATCTTCCACATGCTGAGGATCGTCATCAATAACTTTTTCAATATTCTCTTTATTTTCTGGGATCTCCTTTTTTACTTCTTCCACAGTTCCCTGAGCTACAACTGCACCTGCATCAAAATCATATTGTAATTATTATTGTCTTCAATATTATCTGGTTGTGAAAGAAAATGCTCGTACAAATCATTTTATTATTTTAGGAATATATTATATACGGTCTTATTTTTTTATGATGAATCTGTATTACTAAAAAAAAGAATTTGTTAGAAAACGCGATACTCAGTTAAAATATTTTGCTCGCTATATTATGCAAACGAATCCAATTCCCTGAGATATTCAATCTTCAAATATAGCGTTCTGCACAACTGAGTCTTCTTTCGTTAACACAGGATTTGATTTGGAATCGCAGTGTGGCTGCGCAAGGACAGTTGTGGTTGGACATTCCATCATTTAGGCTTTCATTCGGCTTGCACGTGCCCGCAGAAATATTTGAACTTTGGACATCGACTTCTTTTGTGGCTTTTAACAAGTCTATCATGTCACAATGAAATTATAGTCGACCAGGTTTGTCTCATTAACTTTAATTCACATATCTATTGTTTTATGTAATATTTCAAATCCGAGTCAGTGTTTTAGACGTATAGTTTCTAAATACAAGTGCCATGAACAATGGCGAGGCGCAGCCAAGCCATTGTTCATGAAAAAGGGGATTTGGAAGCCAAGTTTAAAACACTAACGAGGATTTGAAATTGCTTCTCGCACATCATAATAATGAAAACTTTATTAAATGGATATTTAGCTTATATATACAATTGCAAATCTCACTTATATCAGGTAATTTACAACTGGCTACTTAAATCACTGATTATATATGCAAAAATTATACTATTAAGATAACAAAATGACAGTACAACGTTTAAACACTTAACAGTTCCGGATTCATCCACTCCTTGTTTCGACAACAAAATATATAATACGTTGTTCGGATTGCAATCGTCGTCATTCTTCTAATACAGTAATTCTGATGTTGCTTTTGAAAACCAAAATCATTAAGCATTTCTATGAAAGTAGAACATTCTTTACTGAAAACACCAAGAGAACTAATCGAAAGATTTACAAATTTTACAGAGTTGAAATGTAATAATAATAATAATAATAATAATAATAATAATAATAATAATAATAATAATAATAATAATAATAATAATAATAATAATAATAATAATAATAATAATAATAATAATAATAATAATAATAATAATAATAATAATAATAACAATAATAATAAAAGCATTTATTTTAACACGATAATTTTACAGGATAGCTGATGTGGTCGTGTAACTAAGTAACAAATTCCACGAAAACATGACTATAGAGTAACTGTTCACTAAAGCATAATTGTTCACATAAAAACACATAACAAACAATCACATTATTAGACACTTGCATGACCCAAACTATTATACACACACTTCTCATACATCATTAGATATTCATAGCATTTCGGCCAATGACATGGTTTAATTTACATCACGTGTATCTATCTGGATACCCCGTCTAGACCAGAACTTTAATTACTTCAAGTGGGAAGAGCTTTGAACAATAGGAAAATTGAGGCGTAAACAAAAGATTATGCAAATATATTTAATTGCTATGTTTAGAATTATTTCTAAATACAGTAAGTTGTATTTAGAAATTTATTCTAACTACACTTTATAGCTAACACTTTTCCTAAACGTTTGGAAACTACATAAATATAGGAAAACCAACTTTTTACCAACTATCATAATAAACAGCGCTTTAAACACTATAATACAGCAACTTACCAGTAATGTTTACCGTCTATAAAATATATATTCACTTCGGCTCTTTCATTTTCCACCAGATAGCGCGTTATCGCACACACAATCTGATATATCGTTTTTCGGATCCCCAACCTTGTCAGCCGAGCGACAATACTGTGCACAATGCTGTGCTCAACACTTTCTGGTTCTCGAAACCGCTTTTTCTTATATTATAAGAAGATACCATGCTCTTTTGCCAATAAAATTAATCTATTCACGACGAAAGCGAACTGAATGCTTCGTTGCGCTTCATGCAAACTTTCAAGCGAATGTAATCGTTAATGCCCACGCTCACTTTTTTGAATATCTAATAATTTCATGCCTCATTGCTATGAAAGTCTAATGATGTGTGAGAAGCAATTTCAAATCCTCGTTAGTGTTTTAAACTTGGCTTCCAAATCACCAGTGCCATGAACAATGGCTCGGCTGCGCCTCGCCATTGTTCGTGGCACTTGTATTTAGAAACCACGTCTAAAACACTAACTCGGATTTGAAATATTACATCTATAACAACTTAAGCGCTTTAACAGACTTTTTAAATTCTTTATACGTTCTACTAATTTTCAGTTCAAGGCTCAGTCCGTTCCATAGACTAACAGCTTGAAAGGAGATTGATTTCTTAAGAAAGTCCGTGTTCGGTTTAGGAAGTTTATAAGTCATTTTATTTCTAAGTTGGTAGCGGTGAACATTTTAATTTTCGAAAAGATTGACTGCAAAGTTGGAGGAGATAATTCATGATAGCATTTGTACGCTAGGTATACAAGTTGTTGTTTGTACATATCATTGAGGGTGAACCATTTAGCTTTGTTGATGACGTCTTTCCCAGGGGTGTTCCAATCGAAACCAAAAATTATCTTTGCTGCGCGAACATGTATCTTTTCCAATTCATCAAACAAATGTTCCCGCAAGATCCCCATATCAAGATTCCGTAAGTTATATAAGGTAAATTAAAACAACTTTGAAGTAGAAGACTAGTCCAATTTTGCGTTAATCGGTAAGAAATATAATGATTTAAGGAGATTTAGTTTTTTGCCAAACGATATAATTAAAGATGAAACATGGATGTTCCATTTCAAATGACAATCTATTTCTAGACCTAAGCATCTTGTTGACTCGACACGTTTTATCTGACTTTCACCTAACTTTAATCACTGAAGAGGACGAATAAATTTTCTTCGACTCATGATCATATACTCAGTTTTATCTGGATGAGGTGTTAATTGATTGTGGCGACACCATTGTGTGCGATAAGGCTCTGTCTGGTGGAAAATGAAAGAGCCGACGTGACAATATATTAGACGGTAATGTATTATTGCTGTAGTGTTTAAAGCACTGTTTATTATGATAGTTGGTAAAAAATTGTAATTTTCCTTTTCGTATATTTATGTAGTTTTCAAACGTTCAGAAAAAGTGTTACATCTAAAGTGTAATTAGAAAAAAATTCTAAATCTAAATTTAGAAATAATTCTAAACATAGCAATTAAAAATATTTGTACCGGGTGGCCCAAAAAAAAGTACTCCTGTTTGATTCGTAATAACATCTAAACAAGTATAGCTTTTAAAGGCCTACTCTGGGGCGGTAAATCGCCTTAAATCGCCTAAAATCGCATTAAATCGCGGGTTAAAATGGTCAAATTTATCTTAAATCGCCTAAAATCGCTTTAAATCGCCTAAAATCGCTTAAAATCATGGGCGTACTGGGCGGGGGTGGGGACGGTGCGACCGCCCCCCAGTTCCTGGCTGGGCGGTCGCCCCCTGGTTTTGTTGGGCAAACAAAGCCAGCCGGGCAATATTCGCTTCACAGTCGGGCAATATTGGTTTATTATAGAAATAAATGGGACAAATTCTGTCAATTTTGTGGGAAATTCTGTCAATTATGTGGGAAATATGCTATCTAATAGGAATTTTTTGTAATCACTTCTCCCCCCCCCCAATCACTTCTTTCCAACCCCTAATATTTTCCTTCCCGTACGCCCATGCTTAAAATCGCATTAACTCGCCAACATGCATTCTGTTTGATACATTCAGTCAATAATGTACTCAAGTTTATCAATTGCTGCTATTTTGCTGGCAAATCATGTATAATCCAAGTGTTTTGCAATCAAAAGTAATGCAACATGGATAAATCAAATAAGTGGATTAGGCTGACAATATTTAGTCACTCAATAGGCTCCGGTCGTTAATAAAAACAGAGCCTTTTTCTGCTTTATGCAGACTTTACAATAATTAGGCAATTCTGAGATATGAAAGACCCATAGATTCCATTACACGACCAGCAACAAAATTGAGTTAAACTGGTTAATTTCATTATTGGTGTAAAATGTGGAGGCTGGGCTACAATTTATATGGACTATGGTGGCTGGGCTACAAATTAATCTATAATATACATGGCTTCTCAAAGCCTAATTGCTGTTAGAACAACAGTAGGAGACTATGATAATGAGAGTCAATGAGTACGAGTATATAATAAGGTCATCCTGCAATTTATGCACTGTTGCATGTAGATCGAGCACTGCATTGTATACAATGGTTGTACTTCGACATGTGCATGGTTATACTCTAGCTCCTAGTTATAATTATATTGGCTATCATACGAAAAACATCTGTGAGGTTTAATATGAGCGAGATTTGCAAGTTTCAACTCTCATCTATTAAATTTTCCAGATCTGTATATAAAATAAACAGTAAAACAATTATTACATCGTACATACCATACAATCTTTGTTGTTGCTTGTTTGCAGAACACTTGACAAATTATCAGGTAAAAGACTTAAAACCACGATGTAGTGCGCGGTGTGCCATTTGTTTAATATCATTTTGTTTAGTATTTTTTTTAAATAATTTAGAATTCCGACCATTTATATGCGATGTACTTCATGTAAATTAAACTTTACGGCATTACGCCGACAGTTTCCGAATGCGTGACAATACTGTTTCTGGATATAGATATCAAACATAATTTTATAAAACATGTTTGTTGAAACAGTTTAAATAAAATGCAAGCTAAATAAAGAAGTATTGACAAGATACAAAACAAAACAATTTCACTTACAAGGGTGACAAGGTAATTTATAGGAATATAGCTTATTGTAACTGTATAAATATATTGTGCGTTTCTACTGTACTCCCTGTGGGCTGTGGTTCTTTTGGAAATCAAATATCTATTATATTTTGCAATTAATAATATTAAAGTTTAGCCTAAGACATGTGTAGTTTAGTTATAGGTTGGTATTTTGCAATTATGTACCGTACATGCCCCTTAAGTAGAGTATATTTATTAACTGTTTACAATATTTGTTGTATATAATGTAGCCATGAATGCATGACCACATGACCCCACAAGATGAACTCCAATAGCTTCTAAATAAGACAATGGATGAAAAGTTCACGAATATTGAGCTTTATATATGATTCGGGTTAAATACAATAATTATTAACCTAGCTTTATATAAAATGTACATACATGTTGTAATAATTGTATTTTGCTTCATACAATGCATATGTGTCAATGTGTGTGAAAACATTACATTCAGCTCACTCCCCTTTGGGGAGTTTTTCAGTCACCGCTTACATCAAGTATTAGGGTTACTTATGTTAGTCTAGACTATATATCTTTATAAGAATGAGAATATTATATCACTTTTCTAACTGTGTTTATTCTAACCCACCCTGCCATATTTTGCCTTGTGGGAGGAAACCGGAGCAAAATATAAAATTCAATTACCTTGAAAACACAGGTCTAAATTGCAATCCCTAAAATTTAGAATTTTCTTTAAATCGCCTTAGATCGCCTAAAATCGCATTAAATCACAGTGCTTGAAAGTCCCAGTTTTTCCTTAAATCGCCTAAAATCGCCCAAAATCGCATTATATCGCAGCGATTTAAGGCGATTTACCGCCCCAGAGTAGGCCTCTTTTAAAGAGAAATAACTTGCATCAAATAGAGGAAGGACTAACTTAGACTTTGATATATTACAGTTGTATTTCACTTAAAAATTCACGGAGATATTAATCTTTAAATTCGGGAGGATATTTCTGGATGTGTCTGAAATATGCAAAAATCGGCGTATCAAATATTAATCGAGATTTGCCCTGAAAACATGCACTATTACCAGTAAATAAATGACACTTGACAAATTGTTTATTATGAAACAAAGTATTATGATATCTACAAAATACAAGCAAGATTCATTCGTCCGAAATTCGCGTGTGTTCCTAGCACGAATACGTTTCCTTATTTCATGAGACCACTGCATCGCGAAGGATCGTCATTGGATCGTTCTTAGTTCTGAATTAGGGCATGCTGTCACAACGGAATTGTGAAGCTCTTCTAACTTCTGCAACGTTCTGAAATCTTGTTAAGAACACCCAAACTCTTTTGCCGTTTCTTAATCTTGGCAAGTTCATGGAGTAAACTGAGATTATATGAAACACAATCAAACCATACAACTCCATAAGACATAACAATTAAGCAACTCCCCAGAGACATGCAACATTTTTGGAATAAAACGTAACAAAATTGTAGCGTTGATACGGTGATGTGTATTTGCAAAAAGCAATATTATTTCCTTCAATAAAGAATATTCATCCTGCTCTAACCGAGAAATAATCTAGTCAGTCTGTTTGAACCCATTAAAAACATAAAAAAATTAGGCTATTTAAGAATACGAAAAATTTAAGCGCCTGCCTTCCATGGTCAGTCTTTCATGTACATTTAAGTTTGCAAAGACCTAATATTAAATACTTTCATGATTTCGAACGTTCATATTTCAGGAAACAATGAGCTAAGACTTACATGTAAGATGTCTAAATCTACGCCATATCCCTTACAAACCTTAACGATAATTCGCTGAAATACAAGTTAGCCTAATATGTCATTAAGCAAACAAACGCTGGAGTTAATATTTGATATGCCGATTTTCGCTAATTTTAGACACATTCCAAAATATGCTCCCCATTTTTAACATTAATATATCCGTGAATTTTTAAGTTAAATACAACTGTAATATATTAAAATCTAAGTTAGTCCTTCCTCTATTTAATGCAAGTTATTTCTCTTTAAAAACTTTACTTGTTTAGAAGTTATTACGAATCAAACAGGAGTAATTTTTTTGGGGGCAACCGGTATAATCAGTTCTTTACCCCTCAACTTCCCTATTGTTCAAAGCCCTTCCCACTTGAAGTAATTAAAGTCCTGGTCTAGACGGCGTATCCAGATAGACACACGTGATGTAAAGTACACCATGTCATTGTCCGAAATGCTATGAATATCTAATGATGTGCGCGACATAAATTTCCTTGTTTCTTTACGGAATTACCGTTGTTTTGTATTTTGTATTTTGTATTTTGTATTAGTGTTATTATATTTAGTGGTTTCGGTAATCTATTGAATTAAAGTCTGATGTTTTGTATTTTTACGCCTTGCGAGTTTGCATGAATAGACGTCGCCAACATTATATTTATTTACTTCAAATTGAGTAGCCAGGGTGACCACAGTTTTGGTTAATGCAAAACAGAAAGCATCTCTTTCGCTTGTTTTCAATAACTTAAACATTTTTTTAAGTTTTGGCTATTCCGTGTTTGTTATCTGCAAACGACAATGTGGATTTTACTCGAACATCTATAAAATTAATATCTTCAATGCACAAAATTATAGTTTAGATATAATTTGAAGACTGTAAGTTCATACCTTTATCCAACATTAAGATGTAGTCAGCTTCATTGGAATGTTTGTGTGTGACTAAGAACACAATCCGTTCTGACAACATTCTTTTTAAAACATTCTTAAAAATATTTTCTGCGACTTTGGCATCTAAAGAACTTAAGGGATCATCCATTAAATATATATCTGCCCGTGAATAAACCGCGCGTGCCATGGCTAGACGTGCCCGCTGTCCACCACTCAATGTTGCACCGTGTTCGCCAATACGAGACAAGTCTAGTTTCGGGAATCCCTTAAAATCTTTCTCCAACTGACAAGCTTCGACAATTTCTAAATACCACTTTTCATCATAGGCTGAACCGAATAATATATTCTGTCGAATGGTGCCTGGAAATACCCACGGTTTATCTGAAACATAGGCGATGTTTCCAGAACGCTTTATTGTTCCCTTGGTAACACGAAGTTCCTTATTAAGAATACATGCGAGCAATGACGACTTTCCACTACCGACAGAACCAGTGATAATAACCAAACCCTTTGTTGATATCTTAAAAGAAATGTCCTTTAACAGTGACACACTGTTTTCTTGAAGATTTGAAACTCCTGATGCGGGTAAATTACATGACACATTATCTAGCCAAACGTAGGGAGTACAGTTTAAATGCCCCGAAGCTTTCATCTTTTCAGATGACTGTTCAACACATTCTGATTGGTCAGCTGCAGGAACTCGATTCTCATCGGTCGTGACATCCATGAAATCATAGCTTTCCAGGAAACGCTGTATCCGAGTAAGCGCCATAATTATGTTCGTCGTAAAATGAGTTGACAGTGGGATATCGAAAAGAACTGCATCGTTGATGTTTGCAAAGAGCAACATCATTGTGATCAGATGGTAAGGTGTAAGTATGGACTTGTCTGTCCATATCAGAACCATTATTGTCACAAATGTTGAAAGTTGTTGTCCAAACGTAGAAAAAGAAAAACTGACGGAGGAAATGATCAACCGCTTCGCCTTAAATTTGATTTCTTGCCTAAATAAGATAAAAAGAATCAGTGTAATTCTAGTGTAATTCGTATTTTACTACAGTACATTGCCTTTTCATTTTACAGCCCAATTTGCAGACTATCGCCATCGTATCGATCGATATAATAAACAGTTATTCGATATTATCTTGTCTAATATGTAATTATACGCCAATACTGATGGGAGGCTGGCGTTGCTCTCGTCATTTTATGAATTTTCATGTTGCCAGATCATCAGTTTTTTAAATTTCTTTTGAAAACGGGAAAAATGAAAAGTGTAACACTGTTAACTAAAGAACTATCAGTATCTCAGTAGACATGTTAGTTTGCATTCGATGGGCTTTATGTTGATTTAAAATTCAACATGAAACGCTGCATAAAGAATCACAGTCATCCGTGTTGCTTTGCGAGCTACAATATTTTGATTGTTTCGTTTTCAACCATTTTATTAGACACCTTAGTGAAGAAATATTGACATCCGAAGCGTATGAATATCAATCTGGATTCTTCTTAGACGATGTCATATTTTTCATAGTTGGAATATGTTAATAGATCATTTATTGAGATTTTGGTGTGTGTGTTGCCTTAACCAATGATTTTAGGAAGTTTTCTGATTTTATAATAGATGGCTATAATCATGCTTCTGATCTGTATTTTCCGTTCGTGGAAGACCAACAAGTGAGGGTATATCAAACATAATATCGTTGACGAGTTCAACGTACTTCTTTTGGAAATAATGATTGAAAGAATGCATGAGAATACGGGGGATTTCGAAAAGCGAGTTCACCGAAATGCTGCTTCCTCAAAGCATGGACGAACTACGTCAACGTAACAGGCGATTGGACAGGAATCAGGATTTCATCAAAACACCAACAGATTAATTTAATGTTGATAAAATTTGTTGCTTCATTTAATTAAACTTTTTGCCTATTAAAACGTGAACAGTTTTTCTTTCCAACACTGAATCTTTCAACTATTTTGCCGTTTTGCACAAAAAATGTAAAACTATTTAAAATTTAAAAATATCGTATTGTCATGGCAACACTTGTGGCACAACGCAAGGCAGCGTTCAGGGTTGGCCATATCCGAATACTTCATAGGCGTCGGAAGATAGATAAGTGGGGGGGGGGGGTGGCATATTCATATATTCGTGTTCACAGACCTTAAAAACAATCGATTTCAAAAGAAATTAATAATGCAGGACACGAATATATGAATATGGTCCCCCCCACTTATCGATCTTTCGACGCCTATGGAATACCTCGAAGTTCATGTTAAACCAATGACATTGATCATGTTTGGAAAATATAGACAAAGGGTTGTTGCATGCATGTATTTCTAGCCTATGTATAATGGTTGTACGCTTCAAATTACTTGTAGCACAACTCGCCGCAGCCATTTTAAAATTACATTTTTAAATTCTTTCACCGCTTTGTGAATGTTTACGCTTGAGGGTTATGCAATAGTTCCATACATTCAAGGTGTCACAGAACCAATCAAGAGAATATTAAGTAATTGTAATATTAATGTTGCCTTAAAACCCTTTTGGCTTTAGGCCATATTTTGGCAAAGCCAAAAGATCCGTTAAAACAAATCAGAAACTCATGCTGTATATTCTATACCATGCGTTGACTGCGAGAAAGAGTATTTGCAGGGACGCCGGAAAAGGGATGGGGCAGGAGGGACAGCCGTCCCCGTTGCCCTTTATCAAGAGGGGCAAGGGGGGCAATTGTTCCCTTTCAATTTAAAGGATTGCCTTGACGAAATAGCGAATTGTCAGAAATGTTAGTGCAATTCTTTTACGAACTCCATTCAGAGAACGCAAGAAATGCAGTCATCGAGCTTCACGAATACCAGTTTTAGCACAATCGCCTGGCGAAGAACCCCCTCACACCCTTATCATCCAATAAATAGAAAACATGATTAGGCGAAGTTCGACTCCCGATGTTTTTCAAACATCTCTCAGTATATATCAATTCAAAAGTGCTCATTCACGAAAATCTTCCCCCCTTGCCTTCACATCGTTCCGGCATCCCTGAGTATTTGGGTCAGTCTAAACTCCAGCTTGGTACGCCGTACGCTGCTAAAAAAACATCAAAAGGCTGTTTCAAATTTAGACAAGGGAAAATCAGCTTTAGCAGAACATGTATGTTACACCAAACACGAGACTGCGTGGGAAATTTCCATAGTAATTGCCCAAACAATCGCTATGGTCAAAGACTATGCCTAGAAGCGTTGCATAAAAATATGAGTAATCGATATCATGCTTTGAATAGGGATGACGGTGCCTATTTGCCAGAGGAATGCATGCATCTCATTGGCAGGTGACGTCATCTCTTGGGTATTTAAGAAGCCACATTTACATCTTTAGATCACCCCTGATGAAGGCACTAGATTGGAGTGTCGAAACGTTGGGTCTTGATTACAATTCGACTTGGCTTTGTAGCCTAATCATTTAATTAAACCAGAGTAGCGAGCGAAACATGATTGATATAGCTGGTTGCAGTGAACGAACAAACTTTAAAACTAAGAAAAGGTCATAATAATGCTCAGCATAGGAACGTTATCAATCGTTCTTGGCTGCGATGTGTATTGAAACCTATACCTTGGTTCAGTGTATATATTAGCAATGATTTGTTGGTGTGGGAGGAAAATAATATTTAGGTCTAAACTTACCATCTTGTGTTTTTAATCTTGTTCTCATAGATATGTTCCAAACAATTAAGTTTGATAGAACGAATGCTTGTCAGAACTTCTCGCAGATATCCAAGCCGTTCTTCTGCCACGCGTGAAGCATTTTGTCGTAAATTAAGATCAAGTCTTGTCACTAAAATACGAAACAAGGAAACAAAAAAAAACAGAAGGAGGCCAGGAACGATTGTCCATCCATATAAGAATAAAATCCAACTGATGTAAATGACAGCGGAAATAGTTTTCCGAACCAAATATGGAAATGCTCTGTCTGCCATTGTGACTAAACATTGTGTATCATTGCATACCAATTCCATTATTTCACCCGCGTTGATTGTTGTTTTACTTTGTATCAACACCTGTAAGAAAATTATACGTTTTTTATTTATATGGCATCCACAAATTAGAGAGGGACGAATTCCACGACAGAGATACTGTTTCCAATTCATCAAGATCTCTTTGCTGGCTGTACATGATGTAAGAATGGGTGAATAATATATAGTTTTGTGGTACACATGCGTCCCGGTCGTTGATATGTATAATGTTATGAAGTTTTGGTCATTCAACCGTCTCTTCAGCCCAAACATACCTGCGCTATTCTTGTTAACTATGTTTATAATTATGGGGAAAATCGCATAATCAGGAATTTTTAGCCAGAAATTTAGACAACATGGTACATTTGTCGTATATTTCTATTTGTTTTAAACATTGTATGCATGCCAGCTATGTGTTTGTCCTGTATTTAATACAATAACAAATTCCATAACATTGTTCTATTCTGGTGTTATATATAAGGCCACAACAAGTTAATCTTTAGTTTCTGGTCCGGCCTTACCTTCGTTTACGACACGGGCGGCCGGCGGTTAGGACTTAGGACATAATTACAATTGTGGCTTTGCCCACATTTTTGTGGTCTTTCTTGTCCCTTTTCATGCTAATTGTATCAAAATGTTATGAAATTTTACATAAATTGCATTTATATTATTTATAAATCGACATGTATGACAGATTAAGAAGGATTTTACAGATCAAAATGATCTATTAATATTTCTAGTTTTTTTTTACCTCGTAATCTCGAAAAGGCAGCGGTTTTTACCATTCAATACTACATTTTGCTTGGTCTTTTTAGTGTAAATTGAATGTTTATCGTTCTATAAGTTAAATCCTTCGCGAAAACAAAACTAATCCTGAAATAATACTTTACTGAGAAAGGACGCGGGTGGCGGACCAGAAACTAAAGATTAACTTGTAGTGGCCTTAATAATTTACATAAAAATGTTCGAAACAATAGACCTTTCTTATAATTATGGCGTCAGCGTGCGCAAGCTATTTTGTGACGTCAAACGCGGATAAACACTTCGTCTTCGATTTTCTTGTTCGTTTTGTTTTGAAAGTTTTTCTCCAGGAAAACCCCACAAAAGCGGTAGGTTTTGCTAATTTTATAACTTATTTAAATCAATTAGTAGGTAAGACGTGATGTTCTCAATGCATGTTGATAAAATTTAGTGTATATTTCCCTCTTGAACGTTGTCAAAGTGACTGAAAAACAAAGCAGTAATGGCTACGGATACTAAGACGAGAGATTGTCTCATTATTTTATTTTCGATTTTATGTCCCTGTTTTACGGATTTTTAAACTATTTTTTGTGTTTTATTAGAAGTCAACAGTCAAATTATCCTACATAAGACATACCATACTGCAAATATTCTGGAAATTGTTATAATTCGGCCTCTAAAAAGAAAATATCCTTCATAAACTTCACATTCTGACTGGCTCATTTCGGCACTTCAGCCCTCAATCAACTCTAACTACTGTACACTCCACATTATAAAAAACCATTTGTTCATATTCATATTTATATTGTAATAACATTCACTATTACAGTATTATTCAATCTTATTTTTATCTTATGTAATAACTGTAAAATTCAATCACTCCATATCTTACAGAAAAAATGACCATATTCTCTGCTGATTTTATAAATTCAGTCCTATGGCTCTGCACTATACAGCAAAAATTTTCCTTGTATTTTGGTAGTTGTTCATGCAACATTTATTATGACAAAAAGTCAGGCATATTTATGGCCGATGCTCGTCGTATTCCCAAATCAGTGATGTTAATTAAACAAATCTGTGCTCATGTGATTTTAAAGCTGAAGTGCCATCTGAAGAGAAAATAAGCCAGCCAGAATATGAAGTTTGTCATGACCATTTTCTTATTAGAAGCCGATTTTTTACAATTTTCAGAGGATTTGCAGTATGGTATGTCTTAATATGTATGAATGTATAACTGTTGACTTTTAATAAAACACAAAAAATAGTTTAAACATCCGTAAAACAGGCACAAAAAATCGAAAATAAAATAGTGAGACAATCTCTCGTCTTAGTATCCGTAGCCATTACTGCTTTGTTTTTCAGTCACTTTGACAACGTTCAAGAGGGAAATATACACTAAATTTTATCAACATTCATTGAAAACATGACGTCTTACCTACTAATTGATTTAAATAAATAAAATTAGCAAAACCTACCGCTTTTGTGGAGTTTTCCTGGAGAAAAACTTTCAAAACAAAACAAACAAGAAAATCGAAGACGAAGTATTTATCCGCGTTTGACGTCACAAAATAGCTTATGCACGCTGACGCCATAATTATAAGAAAGGTTTATTGACGTTTTAACTTAAGTTTATAACGAACATTCCACTTGCAAAGTTTTCCTGGCTTTATTATATCACATTATACAACGCTAACAGCATAGGCGTACCGGGGGGGGGGGCGGTAGCCCCCCCAGTTTTTTGGGCAGTCGGGCAATATTCGATCAGCAGTCGGGGAATTTTTCGGCTTGCAATAAAAGAAAATGGGACGAATTCTGTCAATTTTGTGTAAAATTAAGTCAATGTTTTGCCAAATTTTGTGATTTTTCGAAAATTTGTGGTATGTTCCGAAAAATTTTGGTTGTTCGGAAAATTTTTTTGACCCCTAAAATGGTACACTGACCGAAATTTTTTTGGCGACGGGGGGGGAGGGGGGGGGGAGGTCGCCAGAATAATTTTTCCGGAAAAAAGTTTTTGGTACTAGTCGGGCAGAATCCCGAAAAGTCTGGCAATTTTCTTTCCGCCCCCCTAATTTTTTCCTTCCGGTACGCCCATGGCTAACAGCTTGAAAGTTTTGTTGGTCATGTTTGAAGTAAAGGTTTTTCCATTAAAAGCGATATTTTCCAACAAAAGTCAACTTTTACTTTATCGTCTTCAATGTAGTGCGGCGCCGTATTTGTTTTGTTTTGAAGCAATCTGTGACCGTTACTTCTTTAAACTAAACTATTTAAACTGATTGGTTGATTTTATTATCACATTATTTTCCCACCAATCAGATCAATTTGTTACAGATTTTTGCACTGTAATTACACAAAATTTCACTGTGATTACAGAAAATTGCACTTTGATTACAGAGAATTACACTGCTGTTTGGGATTAACTGGACTGTTAAACAAGTAATTAATGTTTTCATTAATACCGCAATAGTAAAAATATTTTCATTCGGTCAATGATGAAATGCTCCATTCCTTCTGTGGAATGGAAAATTTCATCTTTCACGTCTTGAAAATGTTTTTAACTTTGCACTCATAAACATTCATCATTTGTATAATTTCGCTCTGTTATGATATACTGGGGCCGCCTAAATCGCCAGCGGAATTGGCATCCCAAACTCCGGCTATCGCCAAGAACGGCTGCGACACGCCGTTGGGTTGGAGATGAATTAACTCCCTCCACGTAGACAATGTGAAAATATACTTGCTCTGCTGCAATGCGAATGATAGAGTGATGAAGTTACCTACCTTTTTATAAATCATACCAACAACGGCCGCTCTGGATTTTATCCCTAATATGGGCGTGATTAAATTAAAATGTCGAATGCCAAAATTTGTAAGTATAGATCCAATAATCATGCCCCATACGTTGACAAGATACTGATTTCTGGATTCTAGATCATGAGCAGTAATACTCAGCACAGAATATATTAATTTTAGAGTAGAATAGCGATACAAAATATTTCCCGAGATGCTAGAGAAACACGTTAAACTTAAAAGTCCATATTCTTTCCACGAGAAACATTTCAGCATTGCTTTCCAAAGTTTGGGTTTTCTCCTTGTTTGATTTGCAGAGATTTTTTCATTTCGCCAAGTCTTCTCCAACAGTTCGGTTCGATACTCCGAGCAATCTTCTTCTCTGACAGGATCAAGATCATCTTGATTTATTGGCTTTAATCTTCCTCTCCACAACAGGTCAACAATCCACCAAAGCGTGAGTTTAGATAAGAAGTTGGCTTCATCTTTTCGATGAACTTTTGCGTTCATAATCGTTATTCACCCTAGGAATAATATAGAAAAAATATAAAGGTTGCACTCAAGTTACACGTGATCAAATTAATCCTAGAAACAGTTCATGGTTTTTGAAAAGAGCATAATTTCCGACGCATAGTCAAAAAGAAATCTAAAATTCGTAGATATGATTTGGTGCATCTTATGCTCCCTATAATCTCCAAGCAAACAGCGCGGAGCGCCGTTTAGCCACTGAGCTATAATATTACTGGAGGAGGTGCTCCTATCTCTCGTCAGTCAAAAAAGTGTCCGCAAAAACATGGCGGATTTTCACGTTTGCTGACGCTATATGGTTCCTCCGGCTCATGGCATTTACCACTGACCAACCGCGATCCTAAGCATCCAACAAAGACCTTCGCCCCCCTGTTTTTGCACAAATATTTTATGTTTTCAAGACAAAATCATGCCGTTTTTCTCTGCCTGTGGATGCAAAAATTCGCTGTAAAGACTTTAAAAGGAAGAATATTTCTTCTGAAAGGTAAGATTAGTGAAAATTTTAAGTTTTTACTTTTTATTCGACTAATTCTCGATTGGCAAAGTCAGGGGCCGATATGCGTACTATATTAAAAATCGAGGTATAAATATGTATTTGTCAAACACTTATATTTTATATTTACACCAATATTTCTGGAGCAGACATAAAAAACGTTGTACATGATTATTTATACATTGTGTACATACATTTTGTTTCTAGTTTCAGCCACTTTATACATTGTGTACATACATATTGTTTCTAGTTTCTGGTGCCAGTTTTATATTTATAGCTTAAATAGCAGCTCATGCAATCTGTACTGTAGTTTGCTTTTGTTTAATAAAGAGCAGTTAGCACTAGATTGTATACAGTAGAAACAAGCTGTATTGCATCCTTCACAAATATTATTAGAAACTGCTAGTCCTGCTAATTGCTAGGTTTTGTATCACATTTACCAATTGGCTGTGTAGTTAGGCTTTTCTTGTGGGGTTGTGCACTACATTTCAGTCAGCATCGAGCTATCATCGAGACATCAACTTGTGCATACCCAAATTTGCATGATTTATACTTATATTATTCTTGCATTGGCATTACCTTGAATGCTAGTATGCCGGGTCAACCTCTATGCCTCATAAAAATCTCCAAAAAACCTCCTTCACTCAGAAAATACCTCTTTCATGGGAGTCTTGATTTATGTTTAGACAAAGCCAGATTTATTTAGGTCACTTAGAAGCTAACCCATTGAGTCACATTGCGCCCTACTTTATTAACACCAGATAATTTTACTCATCAACTGGGGAGAGCGATGGCGTTTAACTCATTAAGCGCCAGCGCTCTCCCCTTGACAAGTAAAATCGTCTGGCGTTAGACAGAGTAAAATACTAAAGAGGGTCGCATGAGGGTGCAATGCGACTCAATGGGTTAATTCAGATTTATACAAGATTAGTGGCGCACCAGAGCTAACAGTTCCAATGCAGTCACAGCTGTAACTTGCAAAGTAGGGGTGGTGGTCTGAGCTAACTGGCCAGAACCTACAGTATGCACCCATTGCAATTAATTTTGAAATGTACAGTTTCACACCATAGAGTAAAACAATCATAAACAAAGTAACTTTATTTCTCATTTCTATTACAGGCATCAAAGTGATATACAAGAACTGAAGCAAAAATGTTCTTGCTGTAACAGATATATTGTATCATGATAGTTAACATTGATGTGTATGATCTTATTTGGGTGTAACAATGTGTACTAATACAGTATCTGTAGTAGTAATCTGTTATCGCTACCAAAAGAAAATTGAAAAGAGATAAACATGCCAGACAGCCAAAGTGATGTCACAGCTCATCAGCTCATGGGACTACAAAGTGATAATTATACTAGAATAACTTGATTATACAGTTAGTTCAAAATGATTGGGTCATTCAAGAAAATATCCACACCCCTAATGCTAATGGAAGACTAGAGATGGGAGGTTTAGCTTCCTCCCACTTTTGGACACCCTTAGCTAATACTTTTACTATTATCGGCAGTTGAGTTCTGCCCACTTCAGACAGCACCATTTCCTTCTATGGGGTTAGTGGTTATATTTTCTGGAATGACTCATTGGTGATTGGTAGTTAATAATTATTCATTGAAGAACTTATATTAAAATAATACAATTTCAACTGCATCATTGTGGTAGATAATTCTGCAATAAACAAGAATAGATTATATAGGTTATTCTAAAAGAGAAAAAGCATGAGAAATCATATCAAGGGAAAATGAGGAATACAAAAGAAATATACTAGGTTTTCAGACGATGCTCGAACTTAATTTGTTGGCAAGTTGAGTGACCCCCAAGTTACAGAAACCATAATCCTATGTATATGTACACCAAAACCTAAAAAATATGAACTAATATAAAGGCCCCAAGCTCTTCGGCTGAAATGTCGAGGTTAATGTTTGTCTTAGGTTTAGCTATACAGTTGCATCATCCTACACTAACTAGTTCGAACCCCCACCCAAGAACTACAATCATAGTGGTTCAAAACTCCTTAAGGTACTCCGACAGCAGAATGAGCTTCCTTGAGTACCTTTAGCTTTTGCATATAAATTAGTACAAAATATAAAATACTATAAATTCTGAAATCTGCTGTGTTGGTGTGATGTACTCAGGTAAACAAGATGTTTGTGTGATGTTACTCTGAGTGTATATATCCACACCGAGCAGGCTTGAAAAATATGCCTGGCCCATCATATTCACCTGAAAATATCCCACCGTGGCCAGGCATATTTTTCAAGCCTGCTCGGTGTGGATATACACTCAGAGTAACATCACACAAACAACTATAAATTCTCTTTGTTATTCCCTCAAAATATTGTGGTATATTGTGGTACTGCTCACATTATACTGTACTTTCATGTCATAAAATCAGTCCCCAGGGTCAAATTAAGATAATTTGATATTTGTAAAATGCACAGTTTCTTGCCACCTACAGAAAATTATAAATTTTCAACAAACTGCAGGCTTATATTCAAAACATAAAATAATGCAACAAATAGAGCATGTAAACAATAGATCAAAATACCATTTTGCTCACGATTTAAATGAAACGAAAGTTTATTACTTTGTACAACAAGGCTTTAGAGACCTTTACATACTTGTAGCTAAAATATAATACATTGTACCACAGTTGAACCCAACAATTTTTGTAGAAAATTCGCTCGAGTGTAACTCAGTGTGTGAAGTTATGAACTGAGAAATATTTTACCTGTAGTTGCGGCTTCGAATATCGTTTTTTGCGGATGTATTTCGAGGTTTTCTGTCTTTCGAGGACGAGAATATAATGTGTACGACTTGCGCACATTTGAACCAGTGGTCAAAGGTACAAAAAATATGAAAAAATCAAAAACTACGAGAATATACTGCAAATACTTCAACAAGCAAAAATATTTTAATAAGAACCAGGGGGTGTGAAAGTCGTAGCAGGCTCAAAATTGAGCCTGGTCAGTGGTAATTACCATGAGCCGGAGGAACCATATGTCGTCATTCTGGCGTCAGCAAAGGCCGAAATCCGCCATGTTTTTGCGGACACTTTTTGATGCCGAGCACGTCCTCCAGTAATATAGTATAGCTCAGTGGTGTTAGCCCGGGGCGGGGCACTAATTCCGCCCGGCTATTAGCGAAGTCTATAGTTCTTCATTGATCGCGGGCGTGGGTCATAAACCGTGGGTGGTCATAAACACTGATCTCAAAATAACGGCTGTTTGCCAGGAGTGGGATAAACAAGATTTCAATTTTCAAAAGCATATATTTGGAAAATCACGTTTCACACAATGAGCTTTGAAGCAATCTTTGTTTGAAGAAATGAGAAGAATTGATTTACTGTGGAAAATCGCTGAATATAGGGCAAGTTTGCTTTGAATGTTTAATATTTATGAATTTTGTTGCTTTAATTACAGTAAAACGATGCACTGCTTTCCTTTTCAATGAAGCTGTATTAAAGTTTGCTAAATTACCCTGTTTAATTTAAGAAAAAAAGGTGAAATGTAAAGGAGAGCAAATTAATTTGAAAGCCGAACTGAAATTACCGAACATTTTCAATTTATTTTCCTTTATAAAGTAAAAACAGTTTATTGGAAAAAAGCAGTTTATAGTTTAATATTAAAATGAACATTTCAAACATTTTACGAAGCGATTCAGGTTAAATTTTACATCAGAGCTCACAAAATGCAGAACAACATATCAACAGTATATATTTCGGAAATTAATTATTATATAGTTAAAAGCAACGATCTTTCAACTATTTTTAGAGTGTGGAACAAGAAATATAACAAAATTTAAATTTATCTTGTTGCCATGGCAACCTGACGTAAACGCGAGTCTGCGTTCAGTGTTGATCAATTTCTAATACTTCATGCATGTTAAATCAATGTTTGGAAAATACATGCGAGGGGTTGCTGCATGCTTGTATTTCTAGTTTTAAGTTAAACGCGGTACTAAACGGGCTTCGTATAATGCAATTTTATCGGCCGTTTAAGTTAAACGTCTTTGATACAACCGGCCCCTGCTATTTAGGAAGGTAGTTTAAAAACTGAAAACCTGAACTCATGCACTTTTTAAACAATACAATCGTAAATGGCTTGAGGTACTTATTCCTGAATTGCTTATACTTTATAGTAACATTTACCAAACCAGTAACAAATTGGTTCTCAAGATTACCCTCCCCCCCCCAAAAAAAAAAAAAATCAACTAAATTCATACAATGTCAAACAACTGTTCAAAGTTTTCTGCCTAGTACCTGCGCGCTGTACATGCGTGGAAATTACTATATATCTCACTCGAGAACATTTCATCCTTATATTATATATACCGAGTGAACAATAACACAAATTATGTAGTAGTTTTTGAGTTTTTTTCAGATGAGTGTATACCAAACCAGGCAAGCTGAAAATTCTACTTGACCGCGGCTGGGATTCGAACCCGCGACCTTCGTATTTCTAGAACGATGCTCTATCGTCTGAGCTACAAGGTCAAGCTGAGAACGACCTGTTAAGTTATGATGTTAGTTGCATTCCGGAGGTTAATCCTTCAATGCGTAAAGCCAGCTAGTAGTCTGGAAATGTTGTATGTGAATGTTGTGTTTTCCCACGTTTACGATTCCGCTCGTGTAACGTTTATGTAGTAGGTTTTGAGTTGTTTTCAGACGAATGTATACCAAACCGAGCAAGCAGAAAATTCTACTTGACCGCGGCTGGGATTCGAACCCGCGACCTTCGTATTTCTAGAACGATGCTCTATCGTCTGAGCTACGAGGTCAAGCTGAGAACGACCTGTTAAGTTATGATGTTAGTTGCATTTCGGAGGCTAGTCCTTCAATGCGTAAACCTTGTAGCTCAGACGGTAGAGCGTCGTTCTAGAAATACGAAGGTCGCGGGTTCGAATCCCAGCCGCGGTCAAGTAGACTTTTCTGCTTCCCCGGTTTGGTGTACACTCGTCTGAAAACAACTCAAAAAATTATTACATGACGTTACACGAGTGGAATCGTAAACGTGGGAAACCACAACATTCATTACTTAAGGTGGCGACACCAATATTGCCACTTGTCCAAACTGAAACTTGTAATTATAGTTGGAGCCAAAATCTTAAATTAATTTTCTGTTAAAATAATGAAGCAATTCCCAGAAAAGGGGAAAAACAAGAGCCGAAATCCCAACATTTGCTCTTTCATGGAACAAATTGAACGGAAAACAGCAAATTTAAGGCATTTTCCCAACCTTAGCTTTGCCTTTGTCAATTTGCCAGGAATTTTTCATCTTCTTTTATTAATTTCTACAAGAAACAAAAGTTTAATAATAGAGATAAAAAATATTTTGTTTTTGAGCAAAAAGGTGGGCAGAAACTTTAGAAATCCTTCTGAAAAGTTTGCACTATTTTTAACCTAATTTCTGTAATTTGGACGGGTTCCAACATTGGTGTCGGCAGCTTAAGTATCTCTAGAAGCCGAACGGTAAAGTATTTTGGTGAGATAAATACTACGATTAATATAACATGATTGTTTTTCAACCCACTGCAAAAAATTTGAACCTTTGATTAAATATAGCGAAGTAATACCACCAAATATGACAGGGGGCATTTTTTATTGGAACACCCTGTATATATATATATATATATATATATATATATATATATATATATATATATATATATATATATATATATATATGTGACAAGTAAGTCATATCTCGAATACGCATGCGTGCTACATGTCGTAGTTTTGAAGCAGCGTAAAGAGCCATGAACGGACTATGACTTTAGTGTGTCTTGCTCACATTATCAACTTCGGACAGCTGTTTCGCCCTTTTGGGGCTCATCAGCACAGTGTAGCTACACTTCATGGGGGCATAAAGTGGAAAACACGGAGTCTGCCAAATAAATGTTAATTTTGCCTAAAGATTAGACTTTATTCTAAACGAAATTTTGTACCAAACGAAAAGCACATGTGATGTGACTCGACGTATAGCAAGTGTTCTCATTGCCAAGCCCATGCAAGAATTCCTTAGATTAATATCGGTAAAAACATGCAGAAAGTCTGTTTACACTTGCAATTACACTTGCAATTACACTTGAAATTACACTTGCAACTCCCGACAAGATATTTTAGTGGCAATCTGCAATGTGTTTACCCCGCGATTGTGACCTTAACTTTTGTGCAATTTGCAACAATTATATGGCTTGAAATCACGAGAGTAATATTTTCAATACTCCTCTAATAAATGCAAAGATTTTGTTCTAATTAGGTTGCTTATGGCGGTTTTCTTTTAAGTGATTTGGCTGTAGCCTGTAGGAAAGAATTTCTGGCTGTGCTGTTACATATCTGCACCTCTAAATTAAGTAAAGCATGATTTTAAATTTTATGATTTGTTGATTATCGCTTGGCACACACGAATACCAACAATTATTGCGGTGTCTGCGCTTTATATTTTGCCTGAGCGTTTCTTCATGGTTTGTCAGTTTGTTCGGATCAATAGCGACATTTTTTTAATCGCTCAGTAAAATTCGTTGACGTTGCACTTGCATGCACGTGCTCTGAATTTCCTCTTCTGCGGGAAAATTATAATTAATCTTGGACTCTGAGGACCGCTTCTTTGCTGCGCTTTATGCTCCCAACAAGGAAAAATATTCCCAAATCATGCACCTTATAAGTTTGTATCTCTAAACAGCAGTATTGCAGCGATTTATGGCCTTTGAAAGACAAGCGAAATTGTATTGTTGACTATAACCGCTCAAATCTCTAGGCAAAATAAACAATAGACAATTCGCATTATAGACTGGTTTTTATCTTGGCAGAAAAGCATATTCCCGGAAAGAGCATACAAAAATTAGTAAAATTGCAAAGTGTTGTTGCAAAATGTTGTAAAATGCGGAAAATACAGTGCGAACCACGATTTTAGTTATGTATGAGATTTGCATGGCCATTATGTTTTCGAATTAGGAGGGTAAAACATAAATTAAATACACGTGAAATGTTTTTTGTTTGTAGTGGAAACATCGTTGCAATGTTTACATTTCATATTGGTCACGTGATTACAAAATCCAGTGGTTCCTCTATAAAAGAGGTGGTCCACGGTATTAGTTCCATAAATCATCCGGCAATATGGGACGTAGGAAAGACAGAAGCCGAGAAAGCCACTATTATAAAAGAAATTGCAAAGGGCAAAACAACCAAATCAATTGCTGAAAGAATAAATCGCCATGCGGTCACAGTGACAAGATTTTTGCAAAATCCTTCAAAGAGGAAACCTCCTTCTGATCGCGGCGTTAGAAAATCAGTGTCAAAGCGGGATATGTATCGCCTGAGAAGAAACCTACGTAAAATGCCAGGAGCAACAAGTGAAAGAAAAACCACCGGAAATCGTATCCTTGGGAAGCTAGATTCCATCAAGACTATGATTAAAAGGTCTTCCCTGACACCTAGGCACAAACGTTTGCGGATGGAATGGTCAAGAAAGTACACGAGGACCGACATGAAGTTTCTTCTTTTTACTGACGAGTCGAGAGCGTCACTAGATGGTCCTGATGGCTGGGCTAAAGGATGTGTTTTCAATGGTGATAATTGTCCTAACAGGATGAAACGTCAACAACGTGGTGGTGGGGTTATGGTTTGGGGCGGAATCATTGGAAATGCTATCATTGGTCCCTGAAGGTCTAAAGTTGTCCTCATCCACGTATTGCGCGATCCTGAAAAATTCCCTTGAGCCATGGTTGGATAACCCTCTTTCGGCAACATTGAAGAAGATTATATCTTTGTGCATGATAATGCACCCGTCCGTGGGCCGTTGGCCAAAATTATTTCGCTTCGTGGCAACCCCCTGTGGAATAGATTTTCTGTGGTTCAATGCATAGTACCATAGATGCTCAATTACCACAAAAAGTTCCCAAGCAAAACACTTGCCAAACACCGAGAAATGGATGATCAGTGATTATCTTCTATTAAATTGTATTACAGCAAAAAATGGGAAATTTTGTATTCAATTACAACAAAAATGACTTGCATAACCAGAAAGCTTAGAAAAAACCGCATATAAGACTTTTAAACAGTTTTTTATTCTTCAAATAGACTTTGAGTTACTGCTGTTTTAAATGTGAAAATTGGACCAAAAATTCGCAACAAGAACTGGGTACTAGGTCAAAAACGCGTTTTTGACAGCGTATAACTCGAAAACAATTTGAGCTATAAAAAAACTGTTTAAATGTCCTTTATGTAGATGTTTGTAAGCTTTCTGATGACGTAAGTCATTTTTGTTGTAATTGAATACAAAATTTCACATTTTCTTGCTGTAATACAATTTAATAGAGGATAATCACTGATCACCCATTTTCTTGGTGTTTCGAAAGTTTTCGGCTTGGGAACTTTTTGTGGTGATTGAGCACCTATGGTACTATGCATTGAACCACAGAAAATCTATTCGCCAAGGGGTTGCCACGAAATTGGTTTTCTAAGCACTTTTTCGCACAACGGCCCACGGCCTAATATATTATTACATTCCTGAAACGCATCCAAGAATAATTAACTTCAGATCTTCTATGTTTTGCCACCCATGTGTGTCCCACTGTCATGCATGTTTGCTTCTGTCACAGCTGTTTGTTAGTGTTAGTTAGTATTTGGCGAACTCTATAGTAAGCCTATTGAATAAATCCAATACATGTACGTAAAAATTTAGGATTATTTAAAAATAATACCGAGTGCATTTCCAATTTGTTTTAGTAACATCGCGCAAAGTGTCTCTTATCTAAATATATTATTACATTCCTGAAACGCATCAAAGAATAATTAACTTCAGTCTTCAGATCTTCTATGTTTATAGCCACCCATGTGTATCCCTCCGTCACATTTGCTTCCGTCACAGCTGTTTGTTAGTGTTAGTTATAGCATTTGGCGAACTCAATAGTATTGAATAAATCAATACATATAAAAATTATTTAGGCCTTATTAAATTAAGTAATACCGAGTGCATTTCCAATTTATGTTCTATAATATCGCGCAACGTGCATCTCCTGTCCAAATATATTATTAGCTACTAATTCCTAAAACGCTTCCAAGAATAATTAACTTCTACTTTAAATTGATTATAGCTCTGGTCGGAGTGGTATGTGAAATCTCGAAATTCACACGGCAAAAGTTCATTTGTTGTTGTCCGCAAGTTTGCAACGCGTGCTTTGGCTTTTCGTTTTAATTTGATATAATGCTAATGCGTTACACTATGATACCAAATAATGACTTTTCAGTTGATTCATGATACGATATCATGTAAAAGAACTTTTTCATTATATCATATAATGAAACAGCGCCGAAAAGTCATTATTTGATATCATGCAATAGCGTAGTGCTCCATCTGTCCAAAAATTAAAACTGTCCAGAAATCAATTAACCTTGTAATAACTCAAACTTCCTGTAACTTAAAACCTCCGGTACATGAGCCGAAGGCTACAAACAAATCTCTTCGATTACGATCGATCTGGTTCTGCTTTGCGCTTTCAACAACTAAGAATCCTGCTTGCATTCGATTTTTTTAATTTAAATAGGCTGAATTTATGGCGAGTGGTAAACGTTGCTGGGAAGAAACAATAACTAGAGCCGTGCAAGGAGCAGTTTGGTCCGTTTGGCAGACAGAGAGCCATTGCATTTAATATCCACCCCTCCCCCTTTATGAATGAGGTCTCTAAGATTTTAACCTATAAGAAAAAAAGATCAAGTGCCGACACAAAAACCTCAGAAATTTGTAAATGTTCTCCTTACGCATAAGAAAAATCGCAGAGATCAAAAGATGCCGACAGGCTTAACCTCTCAGAAAAATCCATCCATAGGGGGAGGGGGTGGGGCTGTACATTAAAAGGGAATGCACCCAAAGGACCGAACTAATTCTCGCCGCCGGCATAGAGCACGACTAGCACAAGTTTAATTAAGTTCAAACGTTATAAACCAGGTTTGTATGACCTACATAGTGTTTCATATAAGTACCGAGGCATTAAGCTTTGAATATTTATCAATATCTTATTTTACATAAAGGCCGCAGAGAATTATCCTCAGAATAGCACCCCTGAACAGGCCGAGCTATTTCTATAAATAACGATGGTGGCAACAATATAATAAAAATTAATAATAATAATAGCCGGCAAACTTTGCGAACTACGCCGCACCAGATATCGAGGGCAGTGTTGTTTGCTCTGGTTGTTTTCTGTTTATATCATGGTTGCCACAACGGATGTTTGTAGCTCTGGTGCTATTCACTGGGAAAAAAGAGTGAAATCCATACCACGCAATTTGCAATTGCACCACTAAGTCCATAGTATATCCAACCTATTTCCTTACTATATCCATACTATGGAAATATATAATTACTATGGATAACCAAAATCCATTCTATATCCAATAAAGGTCCATACAATTTCCATTCTATGACCATCTATCGATTTTCAAAATTTTTTCCAGTGATTCTGAGTATAATTTTCTGCAGCCTTTATGTAAAATAAGATATTGATAAATATTCATAAAGATAAAGCTTAATGCCTCAGTACTTATATGAAACACTATATGTAGGTCATACCAGAGTCATACAAACCTGGTTTATATAACGTTTGAACTTGAACTTGTATTGGTCGCGCTCTATGCCGGCGGCGAGAATTGGTTGGGTGTGGACGCGGCCGCCACTCGCCATAAATTCAGCCTTTTTAAATTAAAAAAAATCGAATGCAAGCAGAATTCTTAGCTGTTGAATTGAAAGCGCGATACGGAGCCAGATCGGTCGTAACCGAAGAGATTTGTTTGTACCGCACTTGTACCGGAGGTTTAAGTTAATTTAACGGAAGTTTGAGTTATTATAAGGTTAATTGATTTCTGGACAGTTTTAATTTTTGGACAGATGGCGCACTACGCTATTGCATGATATCAAATAATGATTTTTCGTCGCTGTTTCATTATATGATATAATGAAAAAGTTCTTTTACATGATATCGT